ACTTTGCAGAGATGGTGACGTGGAGGAAAGCGGTCTGTTACGATGCGAACTGGTATTAATGCTGCTCGACATCCCATTGTGTGCTTTGCCATGCTGTCAGTGGTTGGTGGGTTTGACAAGTGGTTGAGACTCAAGTACATCCACACCCCTTTTCCGGGTGGCTGTGACAGGCACCATAATGCCAGGGTCTCTGCAACACTGGGGATCCAAGAGCTGGTCGCATGCTCACATTGACAACGGCCTGAAGCTACCTTTGCTGGGCATACTTGATTAGTAGCCGCGGTTAAGCCCTGAGACAGAAGAAACGTCTGTCTGTAGTAAGAACCAGAGCCAGCGGGTACCGTTTTTTTTTTTTTTTTCGACGGACCGAGCCGGACGGCAAATATACGGAATACCCAAGTAGAAAGCATAGGAACTTTCTTTGTAGAATCCAAATTTATCCCGGCAAATAAAAAAGAACAGCCCCTCCCTCCGGTTCCCCCCCTTCCCTTGGGCAGTCGACTGCGCGGTAAGAGAAAGGCCCCATGTCAACACGGCGGCAGTGATACCTGTCTCTCCGAGAACTTGGAATCTCCTCAAAGTCTGATCTGATAGTAGTACTCCTGTTGCGTTCCCTTAGCCGGTGACATGTCTGCACTAATCGTCAGAGAAGAAAACACGAGTCACTGAGCCGTGACGCGGGGATCGGCGACGACAAGCATGTTGCTGCTAGCCTGCTAGTGTTGCTGTTTCACGATTTGCCCGGAGGGCGTGGGTAGCCTAGTCGGCAGCTCAAGGGCAGCCAGCGCGTGCAAAGACCCTTGTCAAAGGTGTACGCCAAGGCTGCTGAAAACACCCTGCAAGACCCAATGGAAGCCCTTGGAGTGTGACTCTTGCCTCGAGGCATGCAGCGCGGTACCAGTGGCAGAACGTCTTTGACGCCTTCGCCTTCCCTAGCCGACCTCGTCTACCGTCGATGCTGACAAAAGGGAAAAGGGCACACGCGATGGAATCCCAGAGGCGGTGTATTTCTCTTCTTTCTCCCTACCCCCGCCATCTGCCCCTCCCATGGTTATCAAGCAAGCAAGCAGGTACCTAGGTACCTGGGTATACCTCTCTCTGCGAGGTGCCGCCCTCAGTATAGGTGGGTGAGTCGTACTCGGTCTGCGTCGGGTACGAGGGGGCTCGCTTCTCTTTCCTCCTTCTCTTCCTCTTTCTCTGTCTCTGTATGTATGTGTGTGTGTCCCTCTCCCTCTCTCTCTATCTCCCCTCCCTTATTTCTCTCTCTCTCTCTCTGTCTCTGTGGAAAGCAGCAGTTAGCAGGGAACGGTGCCAGCACAAAACAGGGAAATCAGAAAATCAAATTCTTTTTTTCTATATTTTTTTTATATTTTCTTTTTTAATTTCTTCCGTCCTTCTCCCCCCGTCCCCCTCCGTTCTCTCCCGTGTCTCCTGTGGTCCGAGGAAGGGAGTGGAAGGTGTGTTGTAACTGACCGCTGTTCTGTTTGCTGCGGATCAGGCAGAAACTCGTTACTCCGAGTTTCATCATCACATGACAGGAAAGCCCTACAGGCTACAGCTTACAGGGCCTACAAGGCCACCTGACAAAGGCAGGTACCCAAACCTACCTAAACCCGACCAGAGTTGCTCCTTCCCTGTTTGGCGCCACCCCAGGGGACGGTTGGGTTGGCGGGGGAAGGAGCGAAACCCGCGACTTCCCAGTCCCTTCCCCCAGAGGAAGAGAAAAGGATACCTCTATCCTTCCAGGAAGGTCAACGTCAGTTCTCTTCAGTGTCGCTCGGTCGATATTCAAGATGCGCTTTCCTAGGCCATTGTACAGGGTTGCACAGGGCTGGGACACATTGTCAGTCGGATCTGGTCTCCCCCCCCCTGCCGAGTAACTAACTCCTGCCGTTCTGTGCGGATGGCATTTCGCCGAGATACTATCAGGCAGATCATTTCAGGCTGGGCTGCGTCGCGGAGGGAAGATCAAGCTACTGGGGGGAAACTTGTCAGAGTCGTCACGGCAACGAGAAGTTCCTCGATCTACGTACGGAGTAACTACGGCGTTGTGTTAACGACTCATAGTTTACCCGGCTTCATTATGACCTCCATATACCCCGGTACCTACTACTACTACTACTAAGACAAACACCAAACACTACACTGCATGTCCTGTGGAATAGCATTCACCAAACCAGTGGGTAGATAGGGTACATGATATCATACGGCGAATCCTTCGAGAATTGGGATAAAACCATGATGTGGCTGAATCATTTTTAGAGGGAGGAGAAAAAAATAGCGCCACCAAGACAAGACGCGTCTCGCGTACCTGCCCCTCGGTTGTGTAGTACACATAACGAAGGCGCCGCCGGGAATAGTTACTCCCCTTCACCGGGAGTCCCAGGGGAGGGAGAGAGGGAGAGAGAGGGGGGGGGGGGGGAAGAGCAATCAGACAGTGGCTGAGCTGTGATCCCATGACAACGCCAGGAAGAAATGATGAAATGATGACTGCTTTTCTATCCTGGTCCGACGTGCATATTCTACCCTCGTTACAACCAGTGCATCGGACAAGGGGCAGCAGGGTTGGGAGCCAGGGTCTGCATGGGGAGTGCCAATCAGTTGTGTCCACGAGATATATAGATACAAGACAAGATACAAGACAGAGACACGATGAACATTATAGTTGTGTCACTTATGTCATGGCAGGTGGTAGGTAGAGTGGAAAGGCTATCTCAGAGCTTGTACAGATTGTAGTATAGACAATCATTAAAGACAATCATATCTAGACAATCATTTCGTAGATAGCAAATGTCAAGTATAACTACGGTGTACTCTACAACAGGGGTGCGGTGACATACAAACCCAATTTTTGATAGCCACAGGGAATGAGCATGAACTATTAGCCGACGCGTCGTCTATTGGCAAGAAAAAATTTTTCTTGCAAGGCAATGCAGATTGGGCTTCTGGGAAGCCAGTGCAGAAAAAAAAAAAAAAAAAAAAAAAAAAAAAACTTTAGCTAAAAACCAGAGGGGCAAAAGAGGGGGGAGGAGGGAGGGGAATTGAACAGTTGTTTGTCTCCGTCCTCGACTGACGTGGTTGAAGTAAGAAATAGCCATCATCGTCGAAACAGTCAGGTGCTGTTGGGAGTTCGCTCGGTAGTAACCAAGGGAAAAACAGACACAATTGTTTGCTACTCGTTGCGTGATGGAGCAGGCACAACGACAACGCTCGCTTCCCCCGTCGCCAGCAGGTCGAAGCTATCTTCGCTCGCCGCAGTCACCGGACTCAAGCCGTCGTCCTCGTCGTCGTCGTCGCGTTTGCCCTGCTCCTCCCCTTCTCCGTTGGGCTCATCATGGCCGGCGTCTTCCCATCGTTTGTCTCCAATCCATTCCAGGCCATCGCCCGCACCCGCGACTCCCCGAAGAGGACGACGGGTCTGCTCGCGTTCCATAAGTGCAAGGGAAGAAGGGGAAGGAGAAGAAGACAATGGCAGGTTGCGGAGATGCCATTCACCCAAGAACAGACCGTCAGAGTCTACCTCCTGCCGAACTTTGAGCCAGGCATGCATATCGTCTCCATACATCGTAGCCAGGTCGGAGGTCTCGAAGTTTTTGGCCCAGTGCGGTCTGGCGCCCAGGTCGCGCATCAGCCACTCAAAGGCTTCATAGTACCGTTCTCTGCACGGCGGGTCCCGCAGGTACGGGCGGTACAGGGTTGCGTTGAGATAGAGCGTCGGCCCGTTGGCACAGGTCGGGTCCAGAAAGGGCCGCGGGTTGCGGTTCAGCGAGGTGTCGGCCACGCGAACCTCGATGGGACAGTGTACCCAGACGTCTTTGCTGCTGAAGGGAATGCGGGCCTGCTCGGAGTCGCCGAGCAGCCAGGCCGACAGGCGGGTAATGGCCTCGGGACCCTTTTCCAGCGGCAGAGCCCACTCATTGACAAACTGCGAGTATAGGCAGTTCATCAACAGGCCGTCGCGAGCGGGTTCGACCGCCTCGGTGACGGTGGCTCCCGCGCGAAACCCATACTGCATGCCAAACACGAACCACTCCACCCACGGCAGCACGCGCGGCACGTAGTTCCCCAGGGCCAGCAGGTTGTGGTAGATATGGTAGCCGATCCATTCGCCGTAAAAGGTGGTGGGCGGCGGGCACACGGGGAGGTCGGTCTTGTCTGCATGCCAGACAATCGCGCTCTGCTGGTACGGCATCCACCACACGCGCACAAACTCGTGGGTCGTCCACAGACCCGTGGCCCAGTTGTCCAGTACAGAAGCCAGAGTATGCCGCGACTGATGCCAGGCGATCTTGAACGTCGCCTCCGCCTGGAACGTGATCTCGACGACGATCCCCAGCGCGCCCAGCGAGACGAGCGCCGCGCGGAACAGCTCCACGTTGCTGCTCGGACTGCAGCGCACCAGCTGGCCGTTCGCCAGCATCAGCGTCAGCGACAGGATACACTCGGAGAGCAGGCCATGGCGCAGCGAGCTGCCGTGCGTGCCCGTGGCAATCACCCCCGCCAGCGACTGCTCATCGATACTCCCCAGGTTCGACAGCGTCAGTCCGTAGCGTTCCAGCTCCTTCCCCAGATCTCTTAACCGGATCCCCGCCTGCACCGTCACAATCTTCTTGTCCTGGTCAATCTCCAGCACCCGGTTGAAGCGGTCGAGGTTGACCAGCCACGCAGACGTGCAGGTCAGGTCCGACGGCGAGTGGCCGCTGCCCACGGTAACCAGGCGCCGGCGGCAGCGGCGGGCCACCGTCACCACCTTCTGGATCTCCTCGATCGACTCCGGCTGCACGTACAGCTCCGGCCGTGAAAAGAACGTCTTGGCCCAGGTGTGATGCAGGTGGTCGGTCGACGCGCGGAAGGCAACGGCGGGGTCGAGCCGCGACAGCTCACGAAGGACGGCGGGGTCCATCGTGATGTTTTTTTTTTTTTCAACGAGTAGATGTGGTGTGGTGGTTTCCAGGTAGATAAAGGGGTGATTCAAGACATTGTGACTATTTGCAGGTCTCTTCCTGCTTTGGATAGCGAATTTTCTGTATTCAACTGAGGGAGATGGAGGGAGAGGGGGGGGAAAAAGAGAGATCGTAGCTAGTTAGCTCATAATGGCGACATTCCCGGAAGAGACCCAAGAAGCGGCCGGGAGTTCGGAGTGGATCGGGACAACAAACAATAACAGTAATAATAATAATAGTAGTAGTAGTAGTATGAGAGTAAAAGTGAAGGCAGAATTGGTAGTTGCTCGTATTAGTTTTGGCGATGGTAGTTGTTGTGATACTACATAGTCGCCTTGAATCACTGTAGGAGGTCGCCAGTATAGGAACGTGGAAGATAATATAGAAAAATTGAAATATAGACTGATTCCCAAGAATACACAAGACTCTAGATGCTATAACATCGATACAAGGAAATCCCAGCAACAGCGCCTGCCATGCGACCGGAAGAAACTCCAACAACCACGCGTCAAGGAACCCAAGCCACCAAATAAGACAGAACCGAAGGTGTAAATACATAGTTAAAGAAGAGGAGGAGGAGGAGGAGGAGGAGGAGGAAGAGAGGGAATTCACGATCGGATTGCCTCGATCGCAGCGTTCAAGGGGAGGACCCGACGGGGTTGGTTCCACGAGCGTCGGTCCCATTTCCGAAAGGCATTGAGACAGTTCTCGGGGACGCCACCGATGGCCACGAAGCTCTTGGGGATGAAGGGGCGGTCCTGGAGAGAGGCCGACAAGATGCCGTACTCGTGGGCGAAGACCAGGGCCGAGGCGAACTCGGCGGGGCGGTGCGATGCTTGTTCGCCAACGAGACTAATGAAAATAAATGGTTAGCATTGGAGGAGAGTAGCGTAGAAAAAAAAAAAAAAAGAAAGAAAGAAAGAAAGAGAGTACATACACGTAAATCTCAAAGAAGGTATCCAGAACGTAGATGCCCTTGGCTGTGATGTCTTGCTGGCAGAACGGTTCGATCTCCTGGACGGTGTCGTTGGGCCGGATGACGGGCGAAGAAGAGCCAGGCCGGCGCATCCAGAAGCCTTGTTTCTGGCCCAGTTCGTGGTCGACACGGAACAGGCGTGTGTGGTAGTGTTCATGGCTGGGTTTAAGGCGCCAGTACTCCGAGCTGTGGCGGCGGCTTTCGTCTACTGCTGCTGTCCTTCGCACGCCGCCGTCGGGGAAGATCTCGTAAAACCCGGCCGGTTCTTCGCCCTCGACCACTTCTTCGATCTCGCCCGTCAGGCCGATGTCCATGCCGATCAGACGTGCGGCCCCGATCTCTTCGGCAGCGCTGCCACGGCCTTTCCACAGGTACAGTTTCCCAAAGGGGGCGGAGATCACCGAGGGGTACCCGGAGCAGAGGCTGCGTCGGGAGAAGTCGACCTCGTCAAACGCCATCTGCTTCAGATGGCGCCGCCCGCAGAGCATATACAACGCGGACGAGTTCGAGCGCGAGCTGGAGCCTCGGCGCGTGATGATGATACCCCCCAGGGCCTGGATGAACCGGGCCGTCTCCTTGCCCTGCCGCAGCACGTCCAGCTTGCAGCTGTTCTCTCGGGCCACCTTGCGCGCGAACAGCTGGGCGTCTTCCAGGGCGGGCTCGCTCACGTCATCTCCACACCATAGATGCACTTCGGACCACGTGCCCCCGACGGTCTCGTAGACGTGCACGCACAGATACATGCTCCCTTCATAGAGAATGTATTCCTGGTTCAGGGGGAGATCCTGCCGTTTGCCATCGCCCGTGATCTCCCAGATCTGTCGTTTCAAGGTTCGAATCTTCAAATCGCTCTTCTTGTTCGTGAGCAGCGACTGGGGGTCAATGTCCACCCGGTCGCTGGACCGGGGGACCGTCGTGAAGAAGCCGGAGATCACCGCCAGAGCTTCTGCCGTCTGGGGCACCACGGATGATCGATTCGCACGCTGCTGCAAGGAGGAGGGTCTGCCTTGGCTATCAGTCTCCGCCGGCTTGGTGAACGTGACCTCCGCCTTTTTGGGTGGCAAGGGAGGGGGTGGCAGCGTTTTCTTCTGCAGCAGATCCCTCAGTGCACCAATGCCGGGGCCCGCATTGACCCTGTGTTGCGGTGTACTTGGCGGCGACTCCATTCGGTTTTCCTTCGGACTGGTTTTAAGGGGAGACGGTGAAGCATGTTGCCCTTGCAAGATTGGCCGTCGTTCCGACGCAGGGGATGGCGCGGACACCGCCGGTTTGGGCGGCACACTGGGCCTACTCGAAGAAGGAGACATGCCACCATTATTTCTCTCAGAGCTCTGAGGAACATCGTCCTGTCGCTGCTTCTGCTGGGGAAAGGGCCTTTGGAAATCTAATCGCAACTTTGTTGCGGGACCATCTGATCTGTAGACTGGTTTATCATTATTCAAGACCGGCAAACGCTCCTCTAACTCTGATGGCTTCGCTGCAACAACAACAACAGGACCGCGATCTCCACCAAATCGATCAACTGCAAGGGGTGACTTCTGTGAACTGGAACTAGTAACAAGAGTAGTAGACTCGGCAGCCGGCGTGGCAACCTTCTGTGTTGGCATGACAGGGCTAGGAATCTGGGCCTCGCTCCTCCGAGGCGAGGCAGGGGACGAAGTTGCTTCACTCCCCGTGGCTTTGGGAAGACGTCGTTTCGGGCCTCTCGCTCGGGATTTAGTCATATGGTTAAGGGGGGCCGCGGAGGTAGACTCGCTGGCTGGCGATCTGGGGGTGGTCGTCGCTACAGTCTCTTCTGAAGTCGTGATCGGGGACGGTCTCTTCGGTCCTCCGCCAGGCGTAGGTGGTGGTCCACGGGACAAAAGGCCCGCTAAAGCAGGGTTTATTCGGCCTGCGAGAGCTCCTTTAGTAGCAAGTCCTTCAGGCGGCGGTACCCTGTCCGCGATTTTTGGAACACTATCCGACGACGGCGAGAGACGCACCGGTTTGATGGGCCCTTCCACCGGACTCAATGGCTTCATATCTTCCCTCGCCGGGATTTCCACGTTTTCCTTGTTGCCCTCAGGGCTCAACGGAGGAGGAATCTCCATAGTGGCCGATTTGGCTAGCGTAGTTGGAAGGGATTCGGGTTCAGCAGCTAACGGGCGGTCCGGAGATGGATGCGAGGTCTGGGCTGTTGGTCGTATGGGAGAGAGGGGAGGGGGAGAATCGGTCGAGAAACTGTTCTTGCTGCCACTCACGGATTTCGATAAGTCGTTTCGTCTCAGGATGGCTTCTGGAATAGGCTTTGGGGAAGGGGGCTTCTCGTCAATCGAGCCTCGGTTCAAGGAGACGCCGCCCGCTTTCATGGTCTCTTTTTGTTTCAGAATGCTCACTCTGAACTCGTCAACCTTCTGAGATTTCTTAGGCCCTGCAGTTGCATTGAGTGCTGCTTTGCCCTTGAGAATGTTGTCCTTGAGCATATCAGGCGCGACATAGCTGGAGGTCTGGGTCCTCTTTAGCTTTCCAAAGACGTTCTTGAACTCCGGTTCTTCTTCTTTCGGCGCATCGTCCTTCACAACGTCCCGCCGGCGCAGATTCGCCCTGAAATCGACGACAGGGGACTGCAGCTTCGGTCTAGGTGAGATAGGATCTCGAGGAGACAAAGGCGACAGAGGAACGCTCGATATAGGAGACATAAGGGGAGGTGGCCGCTTTTGCAGCGCAGGAATCGGCGAATTGACTGCAGATTCCTGCTGCGGTTTATCCTTGACGGTCTCCTTTTCGGGAATAGTAACATTTTCCTTCTCTTCCTCCTCTTCCTCCTCTTCCTCTTCTTCCTCCTCTTCTTCCTCGTCTTCCTCGTCTTCTTTCCCCTCTTCTTTCCCCCCTTCTTTCCCCTCTTCTTCTTCTTCCTTCTCCTCTTTCACCTCTTTCTCCTCGATAGCTGCTGTGTCTGCATCTTTGACTTGCGCAATCGGAGTAGAATCCGGCTCTTTGGCTCTAGGACTCTCGGCACCATCGAGAAGGTCCGGAATCACAGACACACTGGGCTTTTTGTAGTGGCTACCCAGAGCAGGCGATCGCATCAGTCCCACTGGAGTGACTTCCTTAAAATTGGTCGATCGGCCCATGTCGACACTGCCCCTCGACTGTCTATCGCGCACCCAAGGTGGCTGTTGCGGGGGCGGGGGCTTTTGCCTTGGGGATTCCGGTCGGTTGAGAGCGCTCTCTAGCCAGCTGGATTTTGTAGGGCTCCATCTCTTTGGGTCCATTGTTCTCGAATACAGCGGGCTTCCTGGCGACTGCGTGGTGGCGGCTTCGGATTTCTCCTCCTCTTTGCCAAGAGCGCTCGTAGATCTCATGTGCAAAGACTTTACGTGGCTACCATCCGTCGGTGCGTCATTTCCTCTCTCGGAGGGGACCGGGGTGGTCGGCCGTTCCGTAGACTTGGCCTGATGCACAGCGGTGGCATCGCTATGACTCGATCCGGGACGTGAGACCGGCAACGGGGATTTCTCACGCATCAGCCGCGAGTTAGATGAAGTCGACGAGGGGACCTCTCCCAACGATGAGACGGCGATACTGTTGCGGTTACTGACGACCGAGTTCGCACGGGTGAGTCCGGATGGCACCTGTGCACTCCATCTTTTAGAAACGCTGTCGGAGCGTTTCATCATCGCGCTCTGCACGAAGCCACCAAGACCCTTGGTTGGCGAGGCAGCCCGTTCGGGAGACCCCCGCTTTGGAGATGGAGGTGCGGCAGACTGCTGCTGCTGCTGCTGCTCCTCCATGGTTCCGGGTTCCGTGGTCGGAATGTCGAATCTCTGAGCGCTGGACAGCGGCAGAGGAGACCCAAGGCCACCTGCAGTAGAGATCGACGACATGCTGGAAAACCGAGGGCTCATAGTACTGTCACCGATTGTCGAACTTGCTCTAGACGGTGAACGAGATCGACCCTGCGCAGGATCTTGACCAACCGGCTTCTCAGGCTCTATTGATGCCGATGACCGACTCATGCCCGGCAGTCTGCGATTCCCTACAATCGGAGAGACGGCATTCATCGCGTTCTCCTCAGCGTTCTTCCTGAGTGCCGGCGAACCGAGTGCTCGATCGGAATTCTGGCGAAACCAAGAGGGATCCTTGCCCGCCAGAGCCGACGCAATCTGGTTCCGGGATGGCTCGGGGCCATCCCCCGCCGCCGCCGTCGTCGTCTTGTCACTAGTTTCGCGGGCAGTAAAATTCGACGACCACGGCCGATTCCCCCCCGTCTTGTCGCGCGACAACGGGCGCTGCTGCCAGGACAGAGTTCCTGTTCTACTCCGTGATAGGGCCGGAACCGCCCTTGGAGACCCAGACCCAGACCCAGACCCCTCTTCCATGTCTCGCGTCGTCGTCGTTGTCGCCTCAGGCGCCTCTACCTCCGACCCTACCAAGGTCTCTTCCCGTACTATCTCTGTTGAGGTCGGCTCCAGAAATTCGGGGGGGTCGATCGACTGGCCAAACGAGGAGACGCTTAGCCGAGCAGTGTTCGCGAGCGGGGAGTCTTTGGTGGGCGATATCGAACGAGCCCTTTCTAATCAACCAACAAAGGGAAACCAAAGAGTCAGTCGGTGTTATCGTCTGTTTCTTATCCAAGTGGAGGGGTAATAGAAGGAGGGGAGGGGAGGGGGGAGGAGAGAAAGAAATTCAAGGGTTTGTAGAGGAGGGGAGGGGGGGCAGGGCGACAACGGGCGCACAAGCGAACGCGTGCCCCGGGCTCAGCTTCAGTTCAGCTTCAGCTCACCAGCTCGACGGGCCTGTCTCTCCTTGCGACCCTGGAGGATCTCCTCTTCCAGCTTCTTCGTGCGCTCCTCGTCTTCCTTGTCTCGTTTCTCGCCCAGCTCGCGGATCCGAAGCAGGAAGTCGTTCACGTCCTCGGCGCCGTCCGATCCCGTCGTGGTGGTGGGAGGAGTCATCCTGGGCAGTGTTTATAAAAGAAAAAAAAGGAAAAAACAAGAAAAGCAAAATCAATAAAATAAACAAACACACAACCCAGGGTGGGGGGGGGGGGTTGACTGCTTGTCAGACGGGGGGTGATCTAGGTTGAAATCGGAATCTTGAGGGCGTCGTTTCACCTCCAGCTGGGCTTTCTCCGCCTTAACATCCCTAGACAATGTGCACTCTGGACTAACTACTAAACATGTACTAACTTAGTTAACTGCTAATGTAGTGAGTGGTAGGCTCAGTGGAACCCCAGCAGAGGGCAGAAACGCACCCTGAGAGCATCTCGACCCACTCCTTGCTGCTGTGCGTTGTGTCTATTGATTTGGTTGACGAGGGGAGGATTGAACCAGTGGAGAGTGGGTTGAATAATGACTTCAAGACTACGTACTACATACGCTGGAGAGTCCGTAGACTCCGTACAAGATAGCTACCTAGTTATATGGATGATTCATTAGCAACTACTGCTTACTCTGTACAAATGTATTGTCTGTACCTGAGAACTGGAATGTCATAACAAGCGATTGTTTTGGTGGAGTCTTTGTTGTGTCCCGCTGGGTGATCCACGATCGCATGAACCGGTTCAAGGGATTCGAAGCGAGCAACCCATGGCGTAACCGGTATTCTTCTTGATATTATTGTGCAAATTCATGGCGATCAGACTGGCAGTGGTTTCTTTTTCTTTTTCTTTTTCTTGTTTTTTTTTTTTTTTTTTTTTTTTTTTTTTTTTTTTCTATTTTTCCCTCTCTCTCTTCAGCCTTATTTATCTCCTAATAGCTGCCATTGAACCATTGACTGCCAATAGTACCATCTAAAATATAACCACGCCAGTAGCTACTCTGCACAGAGTACTCTATAGTTCACAGACTTCGACGTTACACACTTGCGTATTTCGCAGACGATCTGCGGGCAATAAGTGGTTCAGGTGTTCCATCCTGCATAGTTTTTGTAGATCTACTCTGTATCGTTCTTGCTGGGAAAGCAAAGGCTTGCAAAGAAAAGACTGGACTGTACGAAGTACTTTTTTATCAGGAAAAGTAGGGAGTACAAGTACTCCTTTGATGTTCTACCCGTCCTGGAAGAGAATGTATTAACCTTCGGCTCATTATGTACTCATATAGATAGGCGTATATCTGGTAGCGACCCGTCGGTGGCTATAAAAAACCAGAAGCGGTGTACTATTAGTATAAAAAAAGTCGGTCTTTGGCATCTTGAACTATCCAATCCAACCCTTCCTCGAGATTCTCCCCAGTCATGGCGCTGCAGGGAAGGATTGTCCATTTATGTGTCTTGATTGCATCCAGGCGAAGACTCTGCGAGCGCGGTGAGCAGTAGGCCGGAACCACCTCCATCTCAGAACGTACCTGGCGGATTTCATCCCCGGTCATGCACCCCTCGACATCCGTTTTGTTTGCAAAAACCAGAAGACTGGCTCCCATGAGTCGCTTCGCTGGTCTTAACCCTGAGATCTGTAGTGGGGGAAGAAGACCCTGTGCACGTACCTCTTCAAGCAGTAGCCCAGCAAGCTCATCGCGACAGTCGTCTACCCTCAGCCGATCGGTGGCATCGACCACCCATACCAGGGTGTCAGTCTTCTCAAAGTAGTTTTTCCAATATGATCGGAGGGTTTTCTGGCCTCCCACGTCCCCTGGCAAGCGGATCTGTTAGTCTCAGAGGTCGCCCCTCGGCCGGTTTGTGAACCTCACAAATATTAAGTTTGTATCTACAACGGCCGTCAGTCAGTCTTGCTGTCCCCTAACTCAGACCGGGAAGGAGTTCTCACCCCATGAAATCAATCGTTCTGATGATAAATCCCAACGTGGGGCTGACTGTCGTAACGTCTTCGTTCATAATCTGCTTCACAATGGTCGTTTTCCCGGCATTGTCGAGCCCCCTGTTGCCGCTGGTCAACACTCATCCTTACTGTCGGGGGCAACAGAACGCGTACAGCATGAGTATCCGCATCTCCTTGTCTTTCAATCTCGCCTTTCGTAGAATCGACAGCATTTCCCCCGATGTGTGGTCTGGATTCGCCCTTTCAGACTGCGTGGTGGGAGGGGAAGAAGGTAAGATGAGTGGGCAGTGAGAGCTTTTGCATCGATGAGATATCAAGCTTCCACCACCAGGAAGCAACACGCTGCAAACCACCCAAACAATTTTAGATGGCAGCCTTATTTTTTTTGTCTTCTGTCCCCCCCTCTGAATTTCTTTTTTCTTTTTCTGTCTCTGGGTGAGGTTGATTGTTTTTTTCTTTCCCTTTAAGTCTGGCTTCTAGTCTTAGAGACTACTGTAAGATTTATAAGTCAGTGAAGAGCTACAGCTTATATTCAATACTAGCCTTTAACCCAAACAGAGAATAACACGCAAGTGAGGAAGTTCCCGGTTGTGATCGAGACTATCCTGAATCCTTTCAACAGGCAGGACCCGCGCCAGAGATCATCCATCACTTCAAGGTGAGTACTTCCCTTACACACATATATAAGGAGTTTATTATACTGGAGTAGCTCTGTTAGAGATTACCTAGACGCTAATATCAAGATATATTCTAGTGGTCTGTCTTGTGTTCCTAAAAATCATGATGGAAGGGCGCAGCTCAGGGGCTTGGTACAGACCAAGAATCGGTAGACAGCAACCGAGAACCGACGCTATAATGGCGCTTCTCAAGGATCACCCTCCAGAAAAGGCTCGTGTATCAAAACCAGGGAGTCTAGAGGAATGGTGGGCGGTTCAATGCCCCTGGGCGCCTTCATCATCTCCACGCAAGCGGATCTCTAAGGCTGAGAAAGAGGATGTCACTGAAGACAAGTATAGAAGACTAACCCCCCCGCCTGTTGATGAAACGCCGAGACTGGAAGTGAGAGATAGTGACAAGGGCATCTCTAGCCCTGAGGCTAAACCTGTCACTTCACAGTCTGAGAGCGGGTCAGTGATCTCCCTCTCTAACACGTCTGAGCTTCAGCTGGGAGGCAGGAGACAAAGCCAGCCAGAGTCTCAGGATCTTTCAGGCTCTTCTCAGACTGTTGTTGGAACTCCTAGAGCTCTTATCTCTCAGGCTGAGAACTCTGCCAATCCTCCCAACTCAGTCGGCCGCAGTAACCGCTCGAACCAGGAGAACGAGAGCCCTTCTCAACCTCAGGAGAGCGTGAAAACTGATCTTCCCTCTGTCGGTGCGAATAAAAGCGCCTTTCCAAGGAAAATCAAGCCGAAGGACATCGTTATTGCCCGTTATCCTCTCAACGTAATACTTTCCCAAGTCAGACAACCTGATCCTGGCAGAGGTAAGCCCCCCCCGCAGTGGAAAACAGACTCTTCGACATACTGACATGGGATCTCGAAAAGGAAACGGCCTTCCTGGCAGTATGGAAAGTAATGACGGTTCCGACGTGATCCTCTTGAGGCGCAGAGCTCGAGGCATGAACACGCATCCTGTGCCTGATGTCTTTTCGGGAAATTCTTTCCAGCCCAAAGGCTCTGATGATTGGAAAACAAAGCAGTCAGAAAGTTCCAACGTCGAAAGAAAGGGGTAAGTAGCAAGCCCAAGAAACAAGGCGCCCGTTTGACACATGAAGGCGACTGACATCCAAGCAGATTAGGCTACATAAAGAGAGACCCTTACGAGCCTGCACCCAAGGAGGCTCTGGAGGAGCTCGAAATGCTGCGCCAGCAGGTTTTGCAGGAGGCGAACATGAACAATTTCCAAAATCAGGAGCTGCCAACTACGGATCTCCAGGCTTTGGCTCGAGTGAGGGACGGTCCCGGCACCGATCCCAAGTCTACGGTCTATCACCAGATCGTTACTTATCGTCGTCTGCCTGAGATTGAAAGAGAGGACTCCGCAGCCGGATCCTCGTCTGGAGATAGCAAAGAGATCGGTAACTCTTATCCTGACGATGACTTTGGATTCGTCAAGGAAAACTGGACCCTCTACTCGACCAACGCCAGAGCCTATCCCGAGATCAAGGATGGGAAGCTCTATCTCTCAGAGAATAAGGGTCCTGGATTCGATGATTCCCCACAGCCCACTGCTGTTACCTTAATGTTCAACTGCGAAAACCTCATGCGTGAGACGCAGAAAATCCAGGAGTCAAACGAAGCCGATGTATCTGCGGAGACTAGATGGACCCACGGATACTATGCCAATTGGGAATATCGCCCGCACGCCTGCTCTGCTTTTGAGGCATTCAGAGACCGTTTCCTTATCTGGCTGGACGGAACCTTGGGGCGTTGCAACGTTGCTGACATCTACCACAAGGCGTTCTTCGATGGTACTGCCCATCCAGACGGAGCCCGCTCCTTCTTCATCCCTAATTTCCCGCGCTCGTCGGCCATGTTCCATCCGTCCGATGAGGTCTCGGCCCTGCACCTGCACGAAACCTCCCTGGGATTCGGGTTCAACTTTTCTAAGCAGGAGGAAGAAAGACTGCGCGAGGAGAGAGCCAAGCAACAGCAGTCTCGCGAGATGTACCTCCAGGCTGCCCGGGACGCCCCCGTTGCAGAAATCAAAGTGGCCGCTCCCCGTGCAAATATCTACCTTCGCCCCGTGGAGGCCGACGATATTCCCGACTTGGTGGATCTTTTCAACTTGTTTGCTCAGGAGTCTTTCCTTAGCGTGGACATCCCCGGTCTCGGTGACGCTGACATCCGTAAGCGCATGGACGATTGTGAAAAGCAAAAGCTACCCTTCATCGTCGCCGTGGAACGTCAGACTGGACCGCCCCAGAGCTTTATCCCCACTACCGAGCGAGTGGTGGGATACGCTTTTGCCAACGACTTCACAGGCGAGAGAAGCGCAGGGCGCTTCACCGTTGAGCTGAGACTTTTCGTCAACCCGCACAGCCAACGTAAGGGCATCGGACGCTGTCTCCTGGACAAATTGCTGGAGGTTTGCGATCCCATGTACAATCCCCGCAAGGGCTACTTCTTCGACTCGAGCGTTGAAGACCGCACCTCCTACGTCCCTGGTGGCCGCCGTAAACTGGCTCGTCTAGTTTTCGCCATTGGTTACCCAAATGACGACCGCTCATACCATCAGTGGGTTCGCGAGTGGCTGACCAGGGAGTACGGTTTCAAGGAGCAGGGTGTGTTGAAGGGGGTCCGCGTCAAATTCAAGCAATTGTAGGAGACCTTCTCCAGTACATAACTTGACCTTAGCTAACCTTCTTGATTCAGCTTGAATGTGAGCTACCTTGTTCGCGAAGTCAGCCACAACTTCGACAATCCTGCCTACCTCTAGACGCCACGAAATTGGTGAGTCTATCTTCATTCCGCTTTGTTTCCTTTCTCTCTCCACCGCATTTGTCTAACACATATCAAATAGCTCCAAGCCACAACAACCAACACATTCCGGATAGACAGTTTGAAATTGGTCCAACTTTCCGCCTTGACAAGTCAGATCGTTTAGACTGAATCAAACCGTCCTTCTGGAACTTGGTAGTGACTCGGCACATGGACAATCTCATTTGACTCTGCTTTTGGTTTTTATTTGCTTTTTCTTCCCGAGTATCATTGATGTGCGGTCTCTTCGATTCGCTGTGGAATCATACCTGGTGGTCCTTTTGTGATGACTCGTGCTTTTGGTCTTCAGTCATTACCAAAAAAGCCCCTTGGTCGATTTCTGGAGAGAGTTGAGTACCTCTTACGCCAATGACTCCTTGTATCGTGGATTTATCCGCTTTCTCCATTGATCTTTCAATCATAGATAGCTGAATAACATCCCAATCATATCTTACTCCGTACATCAATAAATCCATGGCTCATACAAAACTCATCATCCAATCAGATGCAAGTTGGATTTTCTGCCGGATTCTCTCTTCTCACCGCTCTTGAAGCTTGAACTTTTTTTTTCCCGCCATTGTTAGGAGAAGATAGAGAGGGCCAGGAAGGTAACCACGCCCAATATTTGCGAGAGCAAGGGATTGGATTTAATTTTCTATTTGTATTTTTTGTCTGTGACTTGCCAATTGGTTTCTCTCAAGCCATATTTCGTTCATTTTGAATCCGAGATGGCTCCCGCGTCCACCAAGAAGCGGCGCGACGATGACTTCGTTTTCACTCTATCAGACGAAGAAAACGGGCCCGAAGACCGATATGAAGAAGAGGGGGAAGAAGAAGAAGCGCCCGCTAGTGAACTAGTTTCATCGTCGACGAAGAAACGCAAGAGAGACTCGGCGGGGACGCCGAAAGAAACGAACAAGAAGCAGAAGCAGAAGCAGTCCAAGTCCGCCAAGAAAGAAAGCAAACCGGCATATGGATCTGATGAGGGGTCTGAGGAGGAGGAGGATGGAGATGAAGCTGTGGGTGCGGCAGAGGATGACGGAGCTCTCAACCCGGACTTTGAGTTCGACGTTGGAGGCGCCGCGGCCCGTGGAGTGACGGATGGCTTTGACGGATGGGGCGCGGGCAGCGACGACAAGGACGCAAGGAAGAATGGGGATAAGAAGGCAGTAGATATCGATGATATCATTTCGAGGAGGCAGGCGAAGAAGGAGGCCGACTCGAAGAGGAAGAGCAAGAAGAAGCAGGAGGAGTCAGACGAGGAGATGGAACAAGATTCTGATAACGAGGCGGATGGCGACATGTCGGTCGACTTCCAGGACGACGAGCTTCTTGCCGAAGATGCTTTTGGTATGGGTGCTGGTAGCGAGAGCGAAGATGACCAAGACAAGGGCTCTGGCTCCGACGAAGACAAGGACGAAGATGCATCGGGAGACGAGAACTCTGACGACGACGATGATGATGATGCTGCATCAGACAATGATTCCGTCGCAACCCCGGTTGGCCACCCGGACGATCACATGTCGGACCGTGAGTCGGATGCTGAGAGCGAGGTGGACGCTGAGGAATTAGAGAAGCGGAAGGCCTTTTTCGCTCCGGAAGACAAGACGAACGAGTCAACGGCCGTGGATACATCCAAGGGATCCTTCCAAGACTTCAACCTCTCACGACCCATCCTGCGTGGATTGGCAGCTGTTGGCTTTACGAATCCCACGCCTATCCAACGCAAGGCTATCCCCGTTGCTCTTCTTGGAAAGGACATCGTCGGTAGCGCCGTGACGGGTTCCGGAAAGACTGGTGCGTTTATTGTACCTATCCTCGAACGTCTACTCTTCCGTCCTCGCAAGGTGCCGACCAGCCGCGTCGCGATCCTGATGCCCACCCGTGAGCTGGCTGTGCAGTGCTACAACGTTGCCACCAAGCTGGCCACCTACACCGATATCACATTCTGTCAACTTGTCGGTGGTTTCAGTCTCCGTGAACAGGAGAACATCCTGAAGAAGAGACCGGATGTCATCATCGCTACGCCTGGTCGTTTTATCGACCATATGCGCAACTCACCCAGTTTTACCGTCGACACTCTTGAGATTTTGGTTCTGGATGAAGCCGATCGAATGCTCGAGGATGGTTTCGCCGACGAGTTGAACGAGATTCTGACCACCATCCCCAAGTCGCGGCAGACCATGCTCTTCTCCGCAACCATGACCGACACCGTTGACAAACTCATCCGTGTTGGACTCAACAGGCCAGTGCGCTTGATGGTGGACTCGAAGAAGAACACCGCCGTCACGCTTACTCAGGAGTTCGTCCGCCTGCGTCCAGGCCGGGAGGACAAACGACTTGGGTGTCTGCTCTACCTGTGCAAGGAAATCTACACCAACCGAGTGATTATCTTCTTCCGGCAGAAGCGCGAGGCACACCGTGTCCGGATCATATTTGGTCTTATGGGACTGAAAGCGGCAGAGCTCCACGGTAGCATGAGTCAAGAACAGGTATTTACATTTTATATATCCACACTCAGAAAGATGGATGGTTTGCTAAACTGTACTACTAGCGTATTAAAAGTGTCGAGGGCTTCCGTGACGGAAAAGTGGCCTTCCTGCTTGCGACCGACCTCGCGTCTCGTGGTCTAGATATCAAGGGCGTGGAGACGGTCATCAACTACGAAGCACCGCAATCGCATGAGATCTACCTGCACCGAGTCGGACGTACTGCGCGTGCAGGACGGTCGGGACGTGCATGCACGATTGCCGCAGAACCGGATCGCAAGGTAGTCAAGGCGGCCGTCAAGGCGGGTAAATCGCAGGGCGCGAAGATCGTGAGTCGGGTGATCGAGCACAGCGTGGCGGACGAGTGGGCCAGCAAGGCGGAGTCACTAGCGGACGAGATTGAAGAGGTGCTACGGGAAGAAAAGGAGGAGAAGCAGCTGGCGCAGGCGGAGATGCAGTTGAACAAGGGCGAGAATCTCATGAAGCACCAGTCTGAGATCCTGTCGCGGCCGAAGCGGACGTGGTTCGAGACGGAGCGCGACAAGCGGGCGGCGCGCAAACTCGGGACGATGGAGCTCAACGGGCCGGATGCCGTCAGTTCCAAGAAGCCCAAGCTGAGCAACAAGGACAAGAAACGCCTCGATGACGCCAAGCAGCGCCATGAAGGCAACGTCGGCTGGAAGAAGGGGAAAGCCACGCGCGAGACCCAGAAGCCCGTGGGCAAGTCAAAGGCTGGCAAGAAGAACCCGAAGAAGGGCAAGAAATGAGCCTGCATTATAGATCCTACTACATATGGCATGAGTATAGTTTTTTTTCTGTGAAAATCAGTATCTCTATTAGATTCACTTGTAGTATAGAGTAGAACCTCCTCCTCCTCCCCTTACTACTACTACTACTACTACTACTAAGTACCGGTACATACTGCTTCATACTAACTGCTTAATATCTCCTGTACCAGTACTTACTCCGTACCTACCTCAAGCGAGTCAAAGTATGAACGCTAGTCTTAAAGAAGTATAGATCATTATATAAATATCCCGTGTCTAGCCGCGGATTTCCGTCTTTTTATGCCTGAGGCACAGAAATCGGCTCCGATTCGGACACGCTGCCTGAGGCCTCAGTGATACCAAAGTCCCACGACAGATGCAAGAGGGCCAGCAATGTGATAGAAAAGCCGTATCTAACTCAGTAGGCTGCTAGGGATAGATCAGAATGCAACCCATCTTCCAATAGAAACTCAACCATAATAAACTGGGCCAGCGTTATGGTCAGAAATATGGGTTCCTCTGGGCTCCGCTGTCGGAAGTCCGCGGGGGAAAAAATCTTGACGGCGTCACTGGCTTCTATGTTGCAGAGAGTTCTGAGTCACTCTACACCCCTTCCTGTATGACACCTTCCCTTCTCCCTTAGCGAGCCGCAGAGCAGCATAAATACGTGTATACCACTGCCGAAGTAGTGTGCTATATTCCACTGCCAGTGCATTCGATTGTCTGAAGCTTCTTTCTTGCTTAGAAGCCGTCCTTGTTCCCTCATAATCTGTACCCCGCTACAGAACCCTACACTACCCACCATGCCGATGTACGTCCCAGACGGCAGTCTATCGCTGGACTTCCCCCCCCTCTCTCCTTCCCCCTGGCCTCTTGATAAGGCTCCAGTCTTCTGACTCGCTTCTCTGTTCTCTAGGCTCAAGGATCCCTCGGTAAAATACAAGCCGTTTAAACCCCTCAACCTCCCCAACCGCACATGGCCCGATAAGGTTATCGATAAGGCCCCTCGGTGGCTGGCCACCGACCTGAGAGATGGGAACCAGAGTCTGCCGGATCCTATGGTAGTTCACTGCTAGGAGAGGAGAGAATTTGTGTGGTGGGTGACTGACGTGGTGAATTAGGATGGCGACCAAAAGTTCCGCTTCTTCCAGATGCTTGTCGAGCTGGGGTACAAAGAGATCGAGGTGTCCTTCCCGTCGGCCTCGCAGACGGATTTCGACTTCACACGTCGCCTGATCGAGACGCCTGGCGTTGTTCCCGACGATGTCTGGCTGCAGGTCCTGTCGCCGTGCCGGGAGGATTTCATCCGCCGGACGGTGGACTCCCTCAAGGGTTCCAAGAAGGCCATCCTGCACCTCTACCTGGCGACGAGCGAGTGTTTCCGCCGGATCATCTTCGGTATGAACAAGCAGCAGAGTCTGGAGATGGCCGTCCGGTGTACCAAGTACGCCCGCTCGATCACCAAGGACGACCCGTCTACCGCGGGAACGGAGTGGCTGTTCGAGTTCTCGCCCGAGACCTTCTCCGATACCGACCCGGATTACGTCGTTCAAGTGTGCGAAGCCGTCAAGGAGGCCTGGGGCTCGACAGAAGAGTGCCCCATGATCTTCAATCTGCCGGCCACGGTGGAGATGGCCACGCCCAACATCTTCGCCGACCAGATCGAGTACTTCTGCACGCACATGACCGAGCGGGAGAAGTTTGTCGTCTCGGTCCATCCTCACAACGACCGTGGTTGCGCCGTGGCCGCCGCCGAGCTGGCCCAGATGGCTGGCGCCCAGCGGGTAGAGGGTACCCTGTTCGGCAACGGTGAGCGGACCGGAAACGTGGACCTGGTCACCCTGGCCCTGAACCTGTACACGCAGGGTGTGAGCCCCAAGATCGATTTCTCCGACATCAACTCGGTCATCAAGGTCGTGGAAGAAAGCACCAAGATCCCTGTCAACGAAAGATGGCCCTATGGCGGCCAGCTGGTCGTCTGCGCCTTCAGCGGCAGCCACCAAGACGCCATCAAGAAGGGCTTCAAGATCCGTGAAGACAGCCATGCGACCAGCGACACGCCATGGGAGATCCCCTACCTGCCGCTAGACCCTCAGGATATCGGCCGCACCTACGAGGCGGTCATCCGCGTCAACTCCCAGAGCGGAAAGGGTGGTGCCGCCTGGGTTATCCTGCGCAGCTTGGAGCTGGATCTCCCGCGCGCCCTGCAGGTCGAATTCAGCCGCGTGGTCCAGAAGGAGACCGAGAACCTCAGCCGCGAGCTGTTGCCCAAGGAGATCGTCAAGCTCTTCGAGGACGCCTACCACCTCAAATCCAACCCGCGCTTCAACCTCGTCGACTACAACATCACCGCCGACCGCTCCTCCTCGCCCGCCCCGCCCGAGGACGGCAAGGCCCTCAACACCAAGAACCTCAAGCGTCGCTTCACAGGTATCATCGAGATCGACGGCATCCAACACGGCATCACCGGTGTCGGCGCCGGTGCTATCTCCTCCCTCGCCCACGCCCTGTCCTCTCTGGGCATCGATCTCGATGTCATCGACTACAAAGAACATTCCATCGGTCTGGGCCGTGACGTCAAGGCAGCAACCTACATCCAATGTACCGCCGCCGGCTCCAAGGAGCAAGTCTGGGGTGTCGGCATCCACCAGGACGTCGTCCAGGCCAGTTTGATTGCTCTCCTTAGCGCTGCTAGCTCGGTACGTCCTTTTTCTACCCTTTACCTTACTCTAGTGATTTTTTTTTTTCTTTTAGCTAACATTTCTAGTTCCTCACTTCTCGTGCTGGCTCCCCTGCCCCCTTCCGCCCCGTCCGCAAGAACACCTTCACCGATGAAGACCTCCAGGCCCTCGAGCAGCTCGCCCCGGATCAAAAGGCTGATGTGGACGCTCTGGCCAACAAGGCCGAGAACCTCCAAGTTTGAGCTTGTCCTTGCAAAAAAAAAAAAAAAAAAAAAAGATCCCTCTCGGTTGTTCCGGACTACGTTTCTTTTCCTTCTTCTTGTATAGTTAAAAATTCTCCTGGATCATTCATTGACCAGAATGATATTCCAAAAAGCTGATACCAGACATTTGAAAAATAATAACTGCTTCTAACCAATACTCATTTTTCTGTATACTCCTGCATGGTTGATATATCATCTGCTTGAATCATTGAAATAGGAATAGTAATGTTATTATATCTTCCATAAGAACGTCTAACTGTCTCAGCAGACTCAAAGTACTTGCTATGGGCTGAATACCTACGTAGACTCAATACATACACACGTATATACATGGCTTGATAACTAGAGAAATGGCTCAATGTATGGGGGGGTAAAGGTATGTACAACAACCAGGGGCTTAGACATGGAAGCATTTGCGTCTCATAAATCGTAACAGCCAGGCACATGTTCAAAAAAAGACCAAAAAGAAGAAAAATAGATAGATTGGATACCCATCTGGCATACGTCCCTTCTTCCGCTCACCTGCTACCGCTCGGAGCCCGCGTCTGCTCGGCGTAAGCATTGTCGGCCCCCAGTGCAGATTGATACATCAGTGCTTCCCGAGGCCAGTCCTTGATTATCTCTTCGCCCGTGCTAGGTCGTGACCCTGTATCCTGTGATCCCCCAACAGAGTCGACAGCACCACGTAACGTCTGACCGGCTCTCATAGAGAGTGAATCCCCTCTAGTAGGGTAGCCGGCTGAGTAGTGCGGGCTCTCCGGTTGCGTGAGGTCTGCGATTTCGGTATAGTCATCAAAGTTGAAATCGAGGTCGGGAGTGACCCCGATGACCGGGGGTCCGAGTGGGCCGGCGGGCATTCCACTTGTCATGAACGATGACCGACGCTGCTGGCTTCCAGCACCGGAAAGCGAAGGCGTGGCACCATCTGAAACAGAGAGCGGGTTACTAGAATCGCGCCGTCCCAGGTATGACCCTGGGTGAGCTTCGGCAGCGTTCTCCGGTACTGGCGCAGGAGAGCGGGAAGCCACAGTAAAATCAGATTCCGGCACGAGCGTCGACCGGCGGAGACTGTTGTCCATGATACTGCCTGGTTTCGAGCTCCGGCTGCTTCGGTTCCGCGACATGTCTGCGAATTGCGCCATGCCACCATCGGAGTCGCGGATGCTAAACTGCGCTAATGTCCGCAACTTTCTCGTCACCCAAGAGGCGAGGACTTTACCGCGTTGCTTCTCGCCCAGGCGAGAGCGAGGGAAGTCGCCATGGGAGACAAATGCCACGATATCAGCGACAACCTGGTGTTCACTGAGAATGGCATCGACAATCACGGGTACGAGAGACGCCAGGTACGCTTTCCTTGTCACTTCGACCACCACGACAATCAAGCCGCCGGCTTGGAAGACAGCACTGAAAAGAAAAAATTCTTGTTAGTTAATGAACATAACCACAAATCGGATGAACTTACCATCCTCCGTTGACAATATTCCGATGACACTTCTCCACTGAAACTTCAATGTCCATGGGGAAATGGTTCAGCCCGTTGACTTCAAACGTCTCACCAATGCCTCCTAGAACGAAAAGCACCTGCATTTCGACGGGTTGACCCCCAGGACCAATAGGCCTGGTGACTGTGTGGAGGAATCCCAAGTCTCCAGTACGAACATAAGGCACGCTGGGGTCTCCATCGACGACCCGGCCGTTGAATCGTTCCATGTCAAATTCTTGCCGGGATCCGTAAAACGCCTTGGCACAAGCATCCGACTGGACCCAGATTTCGCCGTACTCCCCGACGTGTGATAAAGTACACGTTTCCGGGTTCACGATGGCTATCTGGGTGTTGACAGGTACCATGCCAGAGTCCTGGACCAGGAGAGCAGTAGGATCAATATCCGGATCGACAGGAACGATGAGTCCACGACGCAGGGCACGAAGGTCAAGCCATAACTCGATTGGCTCGATGCACATGTACGATCTCGTGACAATCATAGGGTTGAGTACGTGAGAGTACACGATATTGATCGCAGTCCGGTCTAGGCCAGCTGAAGCGAAGTGGAGGCGCACTTTCTGGTCTGTAGCCCAGTAAAAGACATTAGGTCAGAGCGGATGACAAAGATATGATATTTGACTTACACATATCCACGCGTGGCCTTCCTTCCGCAGATATCATCAGGTTCTTCAATTCTTGCAGTTGAAACCCCTTTCCAGCCATGGTACTCATGGCATAGTCCAGCATTTGCCCGGTGGCGTACGTATCCTTAATCTTGTACCGAGAAAGAGTGACGAACAGTGACATTGGATTTTGCGCAAAGTCAACTGGAGACACCAGATATGTTGGAGCACCTATCGAACACGGTCAGTCTTGTTTTTTTCGCTCGGAATTGCAACTCGTTTTTGTTTCACACTTACCAACATAAATTCCCATTAGGCAGGTATGAAGAAAGCCGAGGCTAAGAGTGCTTCGCACGCTTCCAAGGACTGGTCTCATGCTGCTCATCTGACACGTTTCTTTCTGCACCTTGCACATGCCCATGATTGTATCATGGCCGATCTGGACCGATATTCTCCTCTGATCTGGAGTCCAGTATGTCCAAATAAGTGCTGGGTGGTTGGCATGCAGCCATGTGTCCTTGACAACATAACCAAGGTCGCGACAGCCGTGGGATTGCTTTGGCGGCTTTGTGGTGTTGTAGATGACCGGGACGGCGATGCGGAGCACCTGAGCGGATTGTTTGATATGTTGAGCAACCACCTTTTGTCTCAAGACATGGTCAACTTCATTGTTGACAATGATAGCTCTCACTTTGAAATCGCTCAAAACGTGGAGAAAAGCAGGCGCGTCTTCTGAGAGGCGGTTCTGATCAATTGGCGCAATGGGAACAACGACGACTCCGAGGCAAAGACAGGCATGGACAGCGAACACATACTCCTCCGAATGGGTGTACATTAGCGCCACGTGGTCCCCGGGGCGGACTTTGACTTTGTTCTTCAGGTAGGTGGCAACCGCAGACACCTTCAGGTCGAATTTTTTCCAGGTAATGCCTTTCCCTTCTTTCCCACGCCCGTCAATTGAGCAGTATGCCAGCTCCTCGGCCTGCCTGGAGACACGCCACTGGAACAGATCCACGATGGTCGCAAAATTATTGAGTGGGGTCGATGTGCGGTCATCCATGACAACATCCCGGTAGTCGACGCCGGAATATTGCTTGTCTTGGAAGGCGAGCATCTCCTGTCTTGCCAACGAAGCCGTGTGAGACCAGATACCCCCAACAGGATCAACCCCAACTGGGAGATTCATGACCGCTCTTTCCACACCGAATTTGACATGGACGCAAGGTAGCGTGCCAGCGTCAAAGTCTCGCCGACATAGCATGTTGCCTATCTCTTGTCTTCCGTTCTTGGTGACACGAGGAAGAGTGCTTGGGGCAGTGATGAGGACACAATAAACGCGGACATGATGCTCTTGGTATAGGACTTCCATACATCTTTCTGCCAAAGATTCAAGAAGTGCCGAGTCCAGCTGCCGCGGAGGCCCACCTGAAGTGGTCGGAGCTGTCGAAGCAGCATACGACTCAAGCACTACGATGGGTAGATGTTCGTCATTCACGAAGACATCAAATGCAGTGCAGTCGTGGACCTTTGGAACATTCTTCAGGATACTGACAACCAGATGCTGAACAAAGAAGTACCGATGTTCGACAATCTCTTGTCCATGTTCGACCCATTCAACTTTCTGACGTAGGCGATCCTCGTACAGCCCGAGCACGAAGATCTTGCCCTCGATCACACAGCCGAGAAGCCCGGTGCGCAAGAACTCGGGCTCGACTAGAACAGGGGTTGGATTACCGTCTTCGAATTTGTAGGGTCTGGCATGGAAGATGGTTTCTGTGTGTTTTGGCAACGCCCAGAAACCACCAGAAAGAGAGGGTGAGTCAATCCAGATCTCGCCAACCACGTTCGGATTGCATAGCAGATTTGTCTCGGGGTCGACAACCGCAAGAGTGGCATCCGGGATAGGGTAGCCAAAGGACCCGACACGAACAGTCTTCGAGATGGAGCCAGCGTATTTCCTTGCATCTTCGCCCATGGCCAGAACAACGACTTCATTCATCTTCAAGGCCTCCTTATCGAGCAGGGCCTCCCCTAATTCATTATTCGAATGCTCCTTGGGCGCCGGAGCAGGCGAGCCGCCACCCAGCAAACTGCTTCCAAAACCGCTGTTACCCTCTGGCTTCTCAGACTTTATTTCATCCTTCTTATCATCTACTCGCTTGGCGGGACCCATCTCATGGGTCAAAGTGCAACCCATCCGTTCTTCTCCACCTAACCAGTCACGCACACTGATCACCATCCCACCATGCTCAGGCAAACAAAGCATCGGAGCAACGATCTCCCTTGCTCTGGGATTTCTCATTGGCCTTAGCCATCTGTCAGCCAGGATTTCGTGGAATTCAGGGTCGACAGTCAGGCAATCGATTAGGCAAAGTTTGACACTTGCGAAATTAGGCTCCGAGTTCTTCTTGTAGTGTCGAGTAGCCATGGGATCCTTTTGATAATTGTAGGCTGCCATCTTGAGACCCGGGTAATCAGCGGCCATGAGGGTGGCTCTATATTTTGTGACCAGGTGAGCGTAGAGACCGGGAGTTTCGACGGCTCGATCCTCAAGCCAGACCGTCGTGTGACCTCCATAAACGGTGAGCAAGACTCCCAGAATCATACCGATTCCTTGCCTTGGATCAAGGTAACTGATAATTGTCTCTCCGTGGCCTGTTCTTACAGGGACTTGCGATTTCCGGGTACCAGAGCCACCGGGAACAGCCGCGACAATAGCCCCGAGGCAAGCCATTTGGTGCATAATTGTCCGGTGGCTCATAACCACACCCCGAAGATCACCGGTTGGTGCCCTTGAGAACTCGATATAAGCAAGATCCGGGACCACAAGCGGCGGAATATCGTCTTTCTTCTTGGGATGATAGCTGCCGAATTCATTTGTTTTCCACCACTCGACGCCTCTAGGCCAGTTCAGTTTTTGAGCAGTGATATCTCGCTGGAAATTCTTCAGGTTGTTCTCGGTTGTCAAAGCGAGATGCGCTTGAGTGGAGGTGAGAACTAGGTTCAGGCTCTGGTAGTCCTCTAGGCTGTTTATTGGGACAGAGACAACACCGGCGATAAAACAGCCCATTAGAGCGACTGCAAACTCAATGATTTCGGCATCTCGATATATCAGGGCAACACGGTCTCCACGGTACAGGTTGCTCTTGTCGCGAATCACCTGTGCAACCTTCTCCGCTCTGCTGTGCAGTTTCTCCCAGGTAATGGACGCAATCTCCTTGCCCTTCTGATCGAGAACCCAGTATGCCGGCTGCTTCGGATGTGTTCGTGCGCGGTGCCGGAGAACGGCAGGGATATTGTCAAAATTTGACATGGCGATATTCTGGTCATGGGGGTCATTTACCGGAAATGCTATATCCCGCGGCTCTAGGGGAAGCAAGTGACCAAGCGCTGCCCCGTGAGGGAAGTCGGAAGCGGGAATAAACGGCGGAGGGATGTTCGCTGTAGGAGAGAACGTATCCGATTGGGAATACCGATGAAAGCCTCCTCCGTAACTATCTCTATAATCTTCGTTCTGTTGCCCTGCAAAATCCGAAAAATACCCTTGTTGCGACTCGAGCATTGTTGATTGCCGTGTTGCCGCACCGAGTGATGTATTGTACTCCGCTGTCGGTGTCTCATCCATGTACTCATGGTGAGCACCGGGATTGAAGGCATAATTCTGGCTGAGTAATGTAGCCGTTCTTGAGTCCTCTTGAGGCAGCGGGGATACTGTGTTCGTCTTTGGCAGGAACAGAGAGTCGTACGAGGCCGATGATGGCATCCGATCCATCGGTTGCAGCATTCCATGGTTGTCATATACCGACCCACGAGGGTCATGCAGGTGCATCTGCTCATCTCCGGCTGTCCATTCGTCGCTTCCTAGAGATTGGTTACCCTGCGAGATACGATTTCCGATGTCAAAGGGCTGATTGGCATCTGCAGATTCCGCTGTCGGGGGCCGAATGCTGAGAATTGTAGGCGGAGCAGTATTCTGTGCGTGATCCGGTGTTGTGGCGGATGGACCTCCGGCATTGACCTCAAGAGCTGGGCTTGCATCCAGAAATTGCGATAGGAGGAGAGTACGACGCTTCTGGTATCTATAGCACAGATATTAGTTCTTTCAAACATTACTCCTGTTAACATATCTGTCTTTTCCCGTAGCATATTCCAGGTCTTTCTGCGCCACAGCTCGAATAGCATCCAGTGGGTGCTTACCCTTTCTGCGTGATATCACCCTCCTGTGACGGCGACCAATGTCAGCTAGGTGCCTCGAATACAGGTCAACAGAGCATTGCCCGATCATCAACCTCACGTACCTCCAACTCCAGATCCAGCTCTCGCAGGGCGGCTTGCAGCTCGGGTATCTCTTCCGCCATGCTGACGATTCGGTCACTCGCACGAGCTCAGCGGGGCTTTCATTCAAAAATGTACACAGTAGAACTCGGACCGGAGGATGCAGGCATTGCAGAGCCTCCTCGAAAGTAATGACCCGCGAGGAGAGGAAGGCTGCTAGAGCGAAGCGTTGTTGATCTGGTGGTACAGCAGCCCCCTTGGGAACTTCAATTTCGCTCCTCCCTCTGCCCGCCACAACGTCACCTGCTTAGTTGACAGAGTACGACTAGGCCGGTAGGGCCGGTCAAACGCCCCGCACGCGCAGAACATGACGGCTCGGCGACAACAGAGTGGACAAGACGGTTAAAATGGTATTACACTGATATTATTTCGTTACTTTGAGGTATGTACAAGAAGAAAAACAGTCTTGGTCAATTCAACAATGTAGGCTGTCATGGCTACTGTGAGAACAGCGTCAACCTACGTGTGCACAGCAGAAGCCCCGCCTGTTCGAAGTATATATATCCGAGATATCTCCTTCGTCGTAACTAACCAAAGTATCAATCATCTCAAGAACATGGTCAATTGGATGGCGTATATTGAAGATATCAACGGTACAGGGAGGCTAGAAAGATTACAAGGGCCGTCGTCCGATGAGGGAGATTATATGCCTAAGAAATCAAACAGTAAATACCAGTCCGTTGTTTAGCCATCTGGGAAGCTACCTTCCTACCTACCTGGTTCATATTAGAAATACCTCGTCTTTCCTCTGAGTGGTAAGATACCTATTTCTCACTGTTTGCTACTGCATAAGGTTATTTCTTGACCTTTACTATGGATAGTAGTAAGAGGGGATTTAGCAGTAGTAAAAGCCTTTAAAGTGGTCAAAATTTAATCATATAAGCTCCTAATTAAGACTGAAGGTGAGTCTACTATTCATCCGGGGTTTCCTCAACTGTCACTTGGGGAGTGTTTGGAATGAGACACTTATATCACTCTTTTGACCTGGTATCAGGGTGCTGGCATGAAATCCATCTTCAGCAGCCGGCTGTGGAGAGTCGAGCTAACCCTAAATGGCACCGAAGTGGAATCACATGACTAAGCTGCTAGGATTGGTGGGGTGCTCTGCCCTAACCCACCCACAACCGCTAAGCGAGCCACACCTCGATTTTCCGGTAGCACAGGGCAAACATTTCAGTTGACCGAACGCTAATCGTCGACGCTCAACGATCACCCACGACACCGTCCCGTCACCTTTTCGAATCCCTTCCCTCGACCACAGGTGCATACGGCGTCAACATGTCCGACAACGGGGAAGTCGAGGTCGCGTCCGGAGCCTACCAGGTTCTCCCGAAGGATGTTCTTGCAGAGATGGGCACCGTCAAGCTCTTCAACAAGTGGAGCTACGAGGACGTCGAGATCAGAGATATCTCCCTGACGTATGTGATTTTTCTCCCAAAATATCCTTGCGATCTCTTTTTTTGTCGTCAGAGAAAGGGATTATTGTGCGCCAGTGTCGAAGGAGACGAGCTTTTGAGGGAAGGAGGAGGGAAAGGGGAATATTTCAAAATGAGCGCGTTTTGTATTGAGACAGCGGTGACGACAAAGAAAGAGAGAGAAAAAGAGAGCAAAAAGATCATAGAGACCAGATTCACTGACTCGAATGCTTTTCTTCTATAGCGACTACATTCAGATCCGCTCCCCTGTCTACATCTCCCACTCTGCCGGTCGTTATGCCGCCAAGCGTTTCCGCAAGGCTCAGTGCCCCATCATCGAGCGCCTGACCAACTCGCTCATGATGAACGGCCGCAACAACGGCAAGAAGCTCATGGCTGTCCGCATTGTTGCCCACGCCTTCGAGATCGTACGTTTACCCCGAAGCCGCACCACTTGGGAAAGAAGAAAAAGAAAAGAAAGCAAAGAACATTAGACTGATGACTTTTTTCCCGTCTTGATAGATCCACATCATGACCGACCAGAACCCTCTCCAGGTTGCCGTTGACGCCATTGTCAACTGCGGTCCCCGTGAAGACAGCACCCGTATCGGTTCCGCCGGTACCGTCCGTCGCCAGGCCGTCGATGTCTCCCCTCTCCGCCGTGTCAACCAGTCCATCGCTCTCCTGACCGTCGGTGCCCGTGAGGCTGCTTTCCGCAACATCAAGAGCATTGCTGAGTGCCTTGCTGAGGAGCTGATCAACGCCGCCAAGGGCAGCTCCAACTCCTACGCCATCAAGAAGAAGGACGAGCTTGAGCGTGTTGCCAAGAGCAACCGGTAAAGGGGATATTGTTTGGCGCGATTCTCCGTTTATTCCCGTTTTGACGTTTCCATCGGAGTGGACGGGGGGTTCATCAGGGTTTCAGTCGGTTCGCATACTTCTATCTGCGCGACTGTACATATTTTACAAAAAAGACAGTCACGGAAGCAGCAGGGGAAAAAAAAGACAGTTCCATCGAAAAACAAGTGAAACCGGACGGCCTTTTCTTTCTCCAGTAGTTGAGATGCGATCATGAAAACTTCGGCCTTCTAGTCGGCTTTAAAAATTATTTTCTTTCTGTTCATCCTTGAACATTGTATCTACGTAGTTTGTAGCAACAAAGTAAGCTTTAAAATCATCATCATAATAATAATAATAATAATAATACCAATCGACATGGTATAAATTTGTCTCTCAGTGTGGCTGGCCTGGATTCCGCTTATCGATACTGAGTGAGTGCCTGAAAAAAAAAGTTCCATTGGAGCTAAGGGCCAGAACCACAACCACCACCGCTTCCTCACACCCTGTCTCCCACTGTTGCTTTGCTAATTACAGCACAATGGTGAAGCGGAAGTTAGGCGCGCTAGAAAAGGTCGAGGCTGATTTGTGAGTGTGATCCGGTTTTCGCGTGCCGACTTGGATTGAGCAGGGGGGGCTGACATTCGATTTTTACATTCGTCCAGGCCGAATCTTCAGCATAAGATCCGGAGAGATCCAAAGTGAGTACAGACCGGAGAAAAGAGAGGAAATAAATATGTGCTTGAATATATATATATATCCTTAATCATTTATGATTGATGTTCTGTGTCTAATTTTTTTTTTTTTTTGCGCAGATCTTACGTTGAAGACTTTCGCGCTCAGCATTTCCAGTATGAGAGTCACCGAGAAATCTTCATGGCGGCGCCCTCGTCGGCCACAGATACGGGCATTATCTCGCTGCGCGATCTGATTGACTTCATTGCCCATGTGGCCGAGTGTTATCCTGAGATTGTCAAGGAGTTTCCGCAACAGCTGATTGACATGCTCACGCAACATCACCTTGTGCTGGAGTCTGAACTACGGGAGAAGATCGTGGGCAGTCTGATGCTGCTGAGGAAGAAGGATCTGTTGGACTCTGCAACGTATGATATGAAGTTTTTCTTCTTCTTTTTTTATTTCATTCGAGGGTGAGCTGACGGCCTGGTCTGGTTTCACAGGCTTTTACAAACACTTTTCCCCATCTTGATTTCTACGCCTAGCAAAACCCTCCGAGCACTGCTTTTCCAAAAGATCCTATCGGACCTTCGCTCGTCAAACTCCAAGGCTACGAACCACAAGTTGAATCGGACAATGCAGACTGTTCTCTTCAATCTGGTTACGTCGGACCGTACCTCGTCGAAGGGGCTATGGGCTGTCAAGCTGACGAGAGAACTGTGGAAGCGCCAGATCTGGACAGAAGCCAAGGCCGTCGAAGTGATGAAGGAGGCAAGCTTGTCAGAAAACGAGAAGGTCATCGTCGGTGGCGTTCGGTTCTTCCTCGGCGGTGACCAGGAAAGACAGGATGCGGAAGATGAAAGCAGCGACGAAGAGGCCATTGACGTGGCGCGGATACGACATGTAGTCGGCATCAACAAGAAGACCAAGAAAAAGTCGCGCGCCGTGGAAAAGGCCCTCGCAACAGTCAAGAGGAAGGAGCGCAAGAAGCACAACCCGGCCCCGTTGAACTTCTCGGCGTTGCATCTGCTGCATGATCCCCAGGGGTTTGCTGATGCCTTGTTTTCCAAGCATCTGCAGAGCAGCAAGTCCAAGTTGAACCTGGAACAGAAGTTGCTGGTTCTCCAGCTCGTGTCTCGTCTTGTGGGCTTGCACAAGCTACACATCATGTCGCTCTACTCTTACTTTCAGAAATACTTGACCCCGCGCCAACCTTCGGTGACTTCGTTCCTCGCCTCCCTCGCACAGGCTTCGCATGACCTTGTTCCCCCAGATGTGCTGGAGCCTCTTGTCCAGAAGATTGCCAATGAGTTTGTCTCCGAGGCATCGGCCGCAGAGGTTGCCTCTGCGGGTCTGAATGCCATCCGAGAGATCTGTGTGCGTCAGCCGCTTGCTATGAATGAAACTCTGCTGCAGGATCTTGTCATGTACAAGAAGAGCAAGGACAAGGGTGTGATGATGGCTGCCAAGGGTCTTCTCAGTCTGTACCGGGACGTCGGTGCGGAGATGCTCAAGAGACGTGACCGAGGCAAGGAGGCATCGATGGGTCTGCGGTCCGGTGAGCAGAAAGCCAAGCGGTTTGGTGAGCAGGAAGCTGGCGAGATTGAGGGCCTGGAGCTCCTGGAGAAATGGAAGGAAGAGGAGCGACGGAAGAGGAGGCTTGAAAAGGGCCTTGCTTCAGATGCTGAAGACGATGAGGAAGAAGATGAAGAGGCCGACTGGAACGCTTGGAATGTGGAAGATGACGAGGACAGTGATGATTCCGGTGGCTGGATCGATGTCCAAAGTGAAGGTGAAATCGAGCTGAGCGATTCAGAAGATGAAGGTGGCAAGCCGCCTGCGAAGAAGGCCAAACAAGGCGACAGTGATGAGAAGCAGCAGCAGGGAGATGAAGAAGAAGATGCACAGGCTCAAGAGAAGAAGCTCAGCACTCTTGCAACCACTCGCATTCTGACCCCCGCGGATCTCGCCAAGCTGGCCGAGCTCCGGGCAGAGGCGTCGGTGAACGCTCTTCTCCCCGGCTCCAAAACCCGCCGCACCGCCCAGAGCAATTCCGCTCGGCACATCGATGACCCTCTGACGGCAGCGGAGATTGAAGGCCTGGCCTCCCTATCTGCCGGCAAGGCCACCCGCGAAGAGCGAATCGCTCACGCCAAGGAAGGCAAGCTGGACCGTTCCGATCACAAGAGCACCACGGCCAGGCGCAAGTTGAAGAAGGAGTCCGAGGGCAAGAGCACAACCAACAAGGAGAAGGCCCGCCGGAAGAACTTCCTGATGACTCTGGGCAAAGCCAAGAGCAAGGGCAAGAGGAGTCTTGTGGAGACGCGGGCAGTGCTGAAAGCTCATCAGGAGCGGCAGAAGCGTGGAGGCAAGAGGGGCAATAAGGGCTAGCGATTTGAGTATATATGATTCTTAGATAAAAGTAAATAATTGACGACAGGAATTATTATTGACTATTGGGGATACATAAGCAGATCAACGATTCTAGAAGGGTCATACAGATAACATGCTTTGTCGGTACTCAACCTATTGGGAAGAAACAGTACTTCAATAGAGGAAATATCAATACAGTGTGCTTCTTGGGATAGTTGATATAATTGACTATCCAGATGTAAATTATCAATAGCTAAAAGGGACCATATAGGTAGAAAATACCCGAAGATATATATATCAGATCTACTCTTTCTTAAGTATAATCGTTTTCCAATATGTCAATGACACTTTTCTACTGAATCTTGAACAAGGAGTTCCCTATAACCGCAATATAGGGGAAAGGGCCTTTTTATATTCCCTACAATAGAGCGTTGTGGTAATAAATGATATTTATATTCACTATAGACAGCAATCAACCACTTTTCTGCTTTATGCAACCAAATGAGCATCTAGCAGAATTATTATTATTTATTCTTTCCCCTTTCCCTTTTGATTGTCTATTTTTTCTATCATATTGAGAGCATAAACTTGTCTTCCAAAATGTCAACCCTTTGATATGGTGGTCAGAGACTCGCCAGCAGTTGTTTGATAAGACAGCAGAGACAGAACAAAAGAAAGCTGTCTTATATATAACTTGATACTATTACCAAGGCTTATTTATTTGACACCTCGGTCCTTTTCTTCACTCCCGACAGTCTCTCGAGAGCACCAGGGGTACTCTCACCACTCGGTGTCTATTTCCATCCCTTCACTGGCCCTTCCTCTCCCCCCCCCCCTCGTAACCAAAAGACGCCCACACAACAAGACACAATACCTGCAAGAGATGCTGATATATTTGGCCTGTCACGCTCCCATGGAGGAAACTGGAAGACTTGCTGCGAGAAGTGTGGTTGCTGCAAGAGCAACGATAATCCTACAGTACGATGCACTCGAGTGCCCCCAGCTAGCACTGTTGCAAGTCCACGAATGAAAGCGACAATGGAAATCCTCCAAGGCGTTTATGCCTGCTGCAGAAGACCATTTTGAATACCAAACAGCTGTCGATGGAAACAACGCAACGGCATTGATGAATTCGTCTAACCCCGAACATAACTGATGGAGAAATTACATATTATGGATGGGAAATGGCTATCGCATGGCAGTCTTTATTCGACTCTGGGTCTGGGCATTCCCATAAGACACTGAACAATAATAATTGACATCAGGTCTTTCAAATATCGTGGAAACAGTCATCTGCAGGGCCTCCGGGGCTGAACATGACCTGCTAGAACCTCCCGGCATGTCGGAGCCAGAACTCATGTCTTCCTCTATGAAAAATGATGGGAATAACATGTTGACACCAAGTCGCCAAGGTTACTGGCCTGATTCTCAAATTCGCCATTGGGCTATCTTTGAAAGTACATCTTTACGACAGGACCCAAACTCTAGATCTCACCCTGTCTTCAAGTTCATCAAAGCAGACAAGAAAGAACAGGAAGAACAGCCATGACAGTCGACATGGCTAACACGAAAGGGAATTACTAAGGAGGAAGATATTCACACAATATTGAAGCTCAAGGTCGGTCTCCTACCAGGATCTCTTAGCAGGGATCACCTAGCTGAAACGGAAAAAAGGTTGACTGAAGGTGTCTTGCTAATAATAAAATTATTGTTTTCTAGCGTCGATTTCTTGACTTTTGAAGACCATAGACTGACAAGCATGAACAGGTCTATAGATTAAAATAACAATTACCTATCATCAGTTGCCCCTGTGGCGCAATGGTTAGCGCGTCAGACTTCTAATCTGAAGGTTCTCGGTTCGACCCCGAGTAGGGGCTTCTATTCTTTTTTGTTTTTGTTTTTTCTTCCTGTCAGTTTTATATTAGGCATCTTATTGGCTGAACCCAATTTGTGACCATGGGTTGAAAAAACTACCCATGAGATGTTCATTTACAGCTCTAGAGTCACTGATAGAGAGTACTCCATAATTACCTAGGCATTATTTACCATTCCTCCCTTTGTACAGTAGCCATCATCCAATTAATGCGTGGAAAAAAATTTGTTGCGGATGTCCTAAAAAGGATAAATTAATCTGGAACGTGTCATGGCGCGTCTCCCCCGCGTCGTCGCCTCATTCTTCCAGCCTCCCGCTTTGTACGGAACTTCCTCCCAGGATGAGTTGCGTCTTCTTATCCCCAGGCAAAGCATTGACTAATGCCATCAAACTGTGACCTGTCTCTGCAACATCTCTGCGATATCTGCTATCTATCTCTAGCTCTGTCTCGAGTGACCACCATGTCGGCCATCCAGCAGATCATCAACGACGCCAACCACGCCTCGTCGAAGCGACGACGCTTCCAGCCTCCGATCACCAGCTTCTTCTCCCTTGCAGGTGGGAGCAACAATCTCGATAGCGAAGCCTCCACTGCCGCCCCTCTTCCTCGCTTTTCCCACACCCACTACTCGGCAGCCACATCCTCGCCAACCCCCTTGGTCCCGGCCAAGATCCAGTCGTCCCTGCTCTCTGTCGGCATGCGGGTCCGCAAATCCATCGCGGAGGGATACAAGACCAAAGCAGGTCAGAAACAGCCGTCGGCTTTCCCCTTCGCTGCTGCTTCTTCCTCTTCGTCGAGCGGCTTGGATTCCCCCCTCCAGCCTCTCGCTCACCCCGCCCCCGTCGTCTCTCGCCCCGTCCTCTCTGACGAAGGAGACGCCTACTCTCTACCATCCAGCAGCCAGGAATCCACCTGTTCTTCCTCCCTACCTCTGTCAAGGCCTTACAAACGCTCCTATGATGCTGAAGGCGATCTGGACGATTTCGACTTTCTCACCAATGAGCCCATCTTCCCGTCCACATCAGTGCCGATGACCTCCTCCTTATCGTCCTCGTCAGGCTCGCAGCGGATCATCCTCTCGCCCAAACTGGGCCAACAGAGACGCCAGTTCCACCGCCGATCGAAATATTTCCTCGGACAGGAGAACATGGTCCATACCGGCCCGGCGTCAGCCATGGACGTCGACGATTTCGAGGAGCCCACTTTCCTGCGCAGCCGTGAGGAAGTCGATATCGACTACGTGTCGCGTCGGGGGATGCACTATGAAGTTGAAATGGGTGGCCTCTAGACCACCTACTTGTATCCGACATGCCTTTCTTCTATTCTCTTCCTGCTGGCCAGTGTGGGGGTTACTTTAAACTTTTCTTCTTCCTGATTGTACCATATTTGGACTTGTGTTTTTTGTATAATACCCGACCACTTGTATCATTGTTCCCTTGACGCTACCTACCTACCTACTACATCTTACCTAGGTACTCCGTACCAAATACATAGCTAACCGTCTAATTCTGTATCAATTCATTCATGTCCATCTGCATTTCTATTCGAGAAGATTCTCACTTTGTCTATTAGTTTACACATAACAGGCTCTTTGCGTGGAAAAACACAGACAAGTATAGTAAAGGAAAAAAAAAATAAACAATAATATCATGTCATGATAAAAATCAACTGTGTCAACTGGAAGGGGGGACAAATCGACGCCGAAATCCAAAACTCCGGGCGGGAATTTTTTTGGGGTTGAGGAAGAAGAGAAAGAGAGAGAAAGACCTTTTTTTTACAGTTCATCTTTGACGGACGAGGTCTTCTCCTTCTCCTTCTTCTCCTTGTCCGCCTTCTTGTCGCTCTTCTTCTTGGGCCGCTCCTCCTTGGATGATCCGGATCCCTTGCCCGACCGGGCTGCCGCAGCACCCATCTTCTCGTAGACGCGGTTTAGAGTGCGCTCCAGCTCGCGGAGGCGCACGTTCACCTCCGACACAGTTAGAGCCGGGTCGTCGGAGTCGGTGAGAGTCTCCTGCACGGCTAGTTGTGCCTCGAACCAGCCGTTGATCGAATTGTAGGTCTTGGACAGGCTGGCTAGATCTGCCGGCTGGAAAACCGAGTACTTGGGTGCAGACGGCTTGGCGGAAGGTGTGGCTGTCGGCGTCGAGGTGGTGGAGGTCGAATAAGGATCGTCGTCGAGCTCCTCGAACGGATCGGCTGTGGCAGATGTCGCAGACTCACTGGCAGATGCTGCGGTGGACGAGCTGTCTGACTCGGTCGCAGTGGTCGAGGAAAGTGACGAGGAGAAAAGCTCCTCATCGTTCTGAATCTGCGTCTCGAGGAGGTCGACGAATGACTTGGCACTTTTCAATGTGTCCTGCAGCAGCTTGACGCGAGCAGGCCGCGACGAACTCTCTTCTCGTCTCTTCAGAGCGGGACTAACAATATCTTGCAGAGACTTGAGCTTCTCCTGGAACGCAGGAGTCTTGGCGTTATCGCCATCGTCGTACAGCCATTCACTTGCAGCGGCGACGCGCTCGTTCAGCAGGGCCAGCTGGTCAGCCTTGACGAACTGGGCGAAGCTTTCATCTTCCACTAGGTCACGGCTCCGGTAAATGAAGGACTCAAGCTCGTTAAGTGCCACTTCGCGCAGGACACGCTCACGGTCCGAATCATCAAAGGCGACCAGGCGTGCTTTGATACGACCAAGCTCGGCCGCAGACGGGGCAGGCGTTCCCAAGGCCGACGTGGTAAACTTGATGGGAATGGCTTCGATTTGAGTCTGGGGCGCCGCTTTCTTGGCCTCCTTGACAGAGACAGTCGAGGTTGACTCGGCCGAAGTCGAAGTGGAGGTCTGGGGATCCTCCGCCTCGAGGGTAATGGACTCGGTCGGCTCGCCATCCTCTTCGAGAGGCGCTTCCTCTTCCTTCTTGGAGCCCAGCCCGAAGAATCCCTTCACATCGTCCACAACGCTGCCCTTCTTCTGGGCCTCAACTTCGCAGCTGACGGACCCGCTCAGAACCTCTGGGAGTCCGTCGATGGGGTTGAGGCGGACAGAGAACTTGGTGGTAATATTGGCCTCTGTGCATCCGAATTCCTCCTTCAACTTCGTCACAGACGCAGTGAGATTGGTTGTCTGTACGCCCAGGATTGGCAAATCGGTTAAGGCCTCGCCGTTGCCGACCTGCTGGTAGAAGCTAAACTCGAAGTCATCCAGATTCTTCAGAGTGACTTGTTTTTCAGGACCGACAGAAGACGTCGGGGTGAAGAGCTTCTGCTGCCTCTCCTTGGTTTCAGTCTTCCACTGGAGCGAGATGGCGTACGTAGCGGCGTCACTAGCCCGGATGTCTTTAACTCGGAAGCTGGGACTGAGAGCAGCACCCTTGAAGGTCGCGCCAAAGGCAGCGGCTTCATCAGCGTTGACATTGGTCCTGATTTTGTTAGAAGAACCGCAGAACCGCTCCAGCTCTTTCTGGACGAATGGGGTCCGGCTGGCTCCACCATGCAAAATGATCGAGTCGATATCGTTCAGATCCAGACCTGCTACTGCCAGCGCTTGCTCAAGTGGTGTGCCCACTCTGTCCGTATAGTCCTTGGCCAGTTGCTCGAACCGGGAGCGAGCGATCTTGTACTTGAAGTTCAAATCCTCCTCATAGAGACTTTCAAGCGTCGTGCCTGTTTCGGTGTTTGCGCTTAGGATCTGCCTGATCTTCTCCGCATCTTTCCAAAGACGAGCCACTGTCTTTCCATGCGACCTGATATCGGAGGTGGACGCACGATCCTTCAGCTTGGGATTCCCAGCCAGAGTCTCGATCATGTCGTTTAGAATGAGGTCATTTAGAGCATCACCACCAAGCGTCCTGTCCCAACCGGTTCCCATCACCTGAATTTCCTGGATCGTCTTGTTGAAACGACCGACGTCTTTCACGGACCGGGCTTGGAAACGAAGGACGGAGGCCGTGGTAGAGCCGGCGCCCATATCATAGACAACGTGATATTCCGGTTTCTGTCCGTCAGAGACACTAGGGAAGGTACGGCTGGTAGCATAATTCAGGCCAACAGCCAAGCCATCGCTGATAAGCGCATCGACGTTCAAGCCTGCCAGCTCAGCCGCGAATTCGAGACTTCTCTTTTCCTCCGCGGTATAGAACGCAGGGTACGTGATGACGACATCCCGAATATCCGATCCCTTGCCCGCCAGAGAATCCGCATTGGCCTTGATCTGCTTCAACTGCATCGCCAGAATCTCCTCGATCAAGAACGGTTCTTTTCCCTCCTCTTGACCAAGCTTCGAGCTCCGAATGCTAACCGTGCCGCGCTCACCAGGAGCGCTTTCCAACCTCAGCGCTGGATAGCGATCGTGATATGTTTGGACGATGCTTTCCTCCCCTTCAAACGGAACGCCCAGCAACGACTTCAGATTCGCGTACACCTCGTCCGGGTATCTTGCGGCAAGTGCAAGGGCATCACCGCCATAAAACCGCTCTGGGAACACCGCGTCATTTTCCCGAGTAGGCTTGAACGCCACTGCGGCCGATTCCTTGCGTTTCGAATCCTTGGTCAAGATGATCTCGAGAGGGATGCCCGGCTTGACGAGCGCTGCTTTGATATATTCCGTGCCGACATCAATGCCGATGACGCCCGATCCAGCGGCAGCGACCGGACTTGTGAAGCTGATAAGGAACAGAAGGCATGGGAAGACGAAAAGCGTGAGCATCGGACTGCTCGACAGTCCGGATACGAGCGAGATGGGCGACCGCCGCCTGCCGCGGGGAGCCATTTGTGTCGTCAAGACTGTCACACCTGCGAGAAACCGAACTAGCCCTTCGATTATAGACCAAGCTGGATTTTTCTCTGTATATTCGACTTCAAAACACAAGCTGCCGAGGATATGATCGTAGGGTAGAACGCAAAGGGCCTCCAAATAGCCGGAGTCCACGGTTCACCTTAGAAGTAGGTAGCTTGCTTGTAGTTAGCTGTGGGCAGACAAGCACCGACGCGACGTGAGGAAAGGTCGCAGGAGGAATGGAAGGGGTATGCGATAGAGATTCAAGCCCAAGGCGCCATCAGAATGAACCAGCAATTGACCACCTGGCAATAAGAGGCTGTTCCTCGACTCGACTGCAGTCTTAATTAAGCTCCATCCGCGGTGAGGACACGTTTGGCCACGCAGGATGCAAACATGTCCCAGAACGGTAGGTTTGCATCGGACTCATCCATCAGCTACGAAATGCATACGAGAGCAGACAAATTATGCCAGATCAATCGATTCAATCTTGAATCTGGACTATATGGAGTGTTTATTTTCATCATTATAATAAATGTCATCAAGGATCGACATGCCGACATCATTCAGAGTGCATCATCGAGAATCAAATCGACGAAAAAAACCGAGGATTCTCCCCCATCAGGGACTCAACCTTTTTTTGCAGTTTCAAAGCCGTAAAATTCGATTTTTGCATTGGAATCATTGCTTATGGTCGTGCTATAAAGACGGGTTGATAGCTATGGCGTTCTGTTTTAGTCAACGAGAAAGATTTTCGTAAGAAAAGTAAGAAATTCCCAATTTGTTTGTCCGATGTACGGAGTACGTCTAACATCAGACACTCGATTACACTCTGGCTTCTTTAGATGAGAGCCCAGAGGGCAAAAAACCCAACCACTGCGGCCGAACGAGCCTTTTCCGGACGTGACGCGGCGCCAGTGAATGTTGGCGCGGGGGCTGCTGAGGTGGAAGCCGAGGTCTCTGTGGGAGGAGCCGCCGTCGCCGTCGTCGCCGCTTCAGTCAAGGGTGTAGATTCTGGAGCTATGGAAGCTACAGACTGAGTCGAGGCTGCCTCTGGAGTCTCAGCTGGTGCAGTCTGGGTTGTGGTTGCCTCTGGGGCTACAGAAGGTGCAGGTTCTGCCGTTGTTTCTGCTGGTGGAATCGCGGTGGAATAACTTGATGTGACAACAAGAGTGCTTGTATATGTCACCGCCTGAGTGTAGGTTTTCGTGCCACTTGTAATCGTTGTGGGAACCACTGAGGAGAAGGTATGGTGTTAGTAGGGCCCATATAAGCTACTGCTTTTCAAAACTTACCAGGGCAGGTGGTCGTGGTATAGGTCGCAGTGATCCAAGTCGTCGTTGTCTTAGGTGGCGGAAGTGAAACACGGTGTGTCGTGGTTTCTGCTGGTGGGACAACGGTAGAGTAACTTGAAGTTAGAGTGATAGTACTTGTGTAAGTCACTGGATGAGTATAGGTCACTGTGCCACTAGTACTCGTGGTAGGAATCACTTTCGAAGACAACGCTGTTAGCAGATTTTCTAAAAAGAAAACCACTAACTATTCTGTAACTTACCTGGGCAGGTGGTCGTCGTGTAAGTAACGGTAATCCAGGTCGTGGTTCCCTTCGGCGGCGGCGGCGGCGGAGCTGTATGTGTTGGCAGGGAGCAGCCATCTGTGCAAGTGACAATTGAGGTGACGGTTATGGTGTTCGTTCTAGTCACTGGATAAGTCCACGTCTTCGTACCGCTTGTAGTAGTGGTATAGGTCACTATCAACGTTAATAAAGATCGGTCCATTTCGGCAAACAGAGCTTTAACCGTACCAGGACAGGTTGTCGTAGTAAAAGTGGTCGTGATGGTAGTGGGCCTCGGCCGAGTGTATGTCCTAGTATGAGGAGGAGGAGGAGGAGGAGGCGGTGCCTTTATAGTAGTGGTTTCAGAATGTGTGTGATGCGGAGGTGGGACTTTTTGCGTGGATGTCGATTCCTGTGTGTTGGAGGTATGCGGTGGTGGTGGTAGAACCTTGGTGGTGTGCGGAGGGCTAGTTGGTTTCGTGTAAGTTTTCTCAGTATGGCTATTAGATGGAGGCGGCTTCAAGTGAGTGGTCGTTGTTGTAGTATGGCTATTCTCCGGCGGAGGCTTTGAGTGGGTATTGGTTGTTGTAGTATGGCTCTTCTCCGGCGGAGGTTTCGAATGAGTGGTGGTTGTCTGAGTATGGCTCTTCTCTGGCGGAGGCCTTGAGTGGGTGGCGGTGGCTGTGGTATGGCTCGTCTCTGGAGGAGGGGGCTTCGAATGGGTGGTTGTTGTCTGAGTGTTGCTCCTCTCTGGTGGCTTTGAGTGGGTGGTAGTCGCCCGAGTATTAGTAGTCTCTGGGGGCTTTGAGTGAGTGGTGGTTGCCTGAGTATTAGTTCTCTCTGGAGGCTTTGAATGAGTGGTGGTTGTCTGAGTGTTGCTCTTCTCCGGAGGGGGCTTCGAGTGTGTAGTCGATGTGGTATGGCTCTGTACTGGTGGAGGTTTCCGAGTACTTTGGGAGGTGGTTGTTTGAGTAGTATGAACTTTGGTCGACCAGATACTCGTAGATTGCGAATGAGTATTTTCCGGTCGAGTATGTGTGTGATGGGGCTGAGTGTGAGTCTGCGTTACCCAAGTGCTTTGTGAAGCGGTGGTTTCAGTGTGGCTTTTAGATGTCCAGACACTTGTACGTTGGGTATGAGTGTTCTCAGGCTGAGTCCGTGTAGTTTCTGACCGAGTATGGGTGTTCCCTGGCTGGGTATAGGTGGTCTCTTGCTGTGTGCTATGAGTATTCTGAGGCCGAGTCTGTGTAGTCTCTGATCGAGTATGGGTGTTCCCTGGCTGGGTATGAGTATTCTCTGGCTGAGTATAGGTAGTATCTTGCTGGGTGCTATGAGTGTTCATAGGCTGCGTCCGCGTAGTCTCTTTCTGGGTGGTATGGGTATTCCCTGGCTGAGTATAGGTAGTATCTTGCTGGGTGCTATGAGTGTTCATAGGCTGCGTCCGCGTAGTCTCTTGCTGGGTGGTGTGGGTATTCCCTGGCTGAGTATAGGTGGTCTCTTGCTGGGCGGTATGGGTGTTCATAGGCTGAGTCTGAGTGGTCTCTTGCTGAGTACTGTGAGTGTTCCTTGACTGGGTCCAAGTAGTCTCTTGCTGAGTACTCTGAGTGTTCTGAGGCTGAGTCCAAGTAGTTTCTGATTGACTGTTCTGTGTCTGGGTGCGAGTAGTTCCTGGCTGAGTGTTCTCCGGCTGAGTAGTATGAGTATTCTGAGGTTGAGTCCGAGTAGTCTCTGACTGAGTGTTCTGTGGCTGGGTGCGAGTTTGCTCTGATGAAGTTGAAGTACGCTCAGGAACAGACCGAACAGTTGTTGTCATTTGGGTGGCAGTCCTTCCAGGAGCCATGGCAGGCTCGGTTTGGGAATTTTCGGGGCCATTAGCCTGGCTCACAGATTCTTCAGTAACCTGGGGTTCCGCGGTGCTGAGTGAACTAGTCACTACAGCAGCAGCAGCAGCAGAAGAGGAGCCATAGTCGTCTCGAGCTGCAAGCACTCCATCTTGAACAGGCACTCTTTTGACAATGACACCGCCTAAAGAGAGGCTTGCAAGATAGAGGCAAACCAGAGGTGCGATCCACATTGCGCAAGGCAAGGTAGGATACCAATGCGGAGATGATTTGATGAGATCAGACAAGCAGACTGAAGAACGAAAGTGGATAATGGAACCTTAGCGAATGAGTTTCCGGAAGATTCAGAAATCTTTCTCTCCATGAATATGGAAAGCATAAGGTCTCGACTTTATACAGGGGAGATGTAGTTGTTACCTCATAGAAACTGTATCCTGGTGCGTGGAGGATGGAGGCATGACTGGCTACAACCACCAGGCTATCTGATTTGTCTTGTTCGAGAGGCATCATTCGAATAGGCATAAGACGTCGTCACGAGGTTCCAATCATTTTGAAGGGAGACTTCGCCCTTAGGTACAGACTTACCGAGCCCATCCCCTCTTGACAGCAAAGCCTGTATCGGGAAACTGCATTAGAGAAAGAGATTGCTAAGCAAGTTGTTCGGATGCCCGGAATGGCAGCTAGCAGGAGACACATCCAACGCCCAGAAGACTTTCTGTGGTTCCATCAGCAGAAGAACCAGGAAGAAACAGCTCAAACCGGGATCCTACCATGCCATTCCTAATGTAGCCTAATACTGTCGGCCACATCGTCATGGCGATACCAAGAGAAAGCCGCTTTGGGTTGTTTATTCAAGAGGCCATAGCTAAACCTTGTAGGTATATTCAAAGGGTCTGCCCCATTGCTTCATTGCCATAGCCGTTTTTCGATTCCCTCACTGCGAGCAGATTTGCTCCCGGGTAACCGTCCCTGCCTGTGGAGATAGATCTGCTGTTGTTGCTAATGTATTGTTATTGGAGTGTTTTGACGTTTGCAAAACTGAAAATGTTGTAGTGTCAAGAAATATTTTGATAGCAATCAAAATTACCGGACACCTCGAGTTGACCGTGCAACTGCGTGGCTGGTACCACAAAGCAGGGTCCAGCCAGGGTCTAGGGGATGCTATTAGCACTACATCAGGCAATAATCTTCGTGTTCGATCCAGATGTCACTGTTGAAGCAGCCTGATGGAGAAATCTGGGGCATCGGAAGAGAGCAAAATACGGGGTGTTGGGACCTGCAGCTCGGTAATGGGCAAACTCAATTGGTGACTTGTGGCCAGGGGTTGGTTCACTGAGCATAAGCCAAGAGCTAGTGTTCCACTCGTATTTGGGGAAAAGAAATTTGAGCTCCTTATGGGAAGGGTCTGGCAGCAGAGAGTAATTTCCCAAGCTCAATCAGCTCGTTGGTGGGGACAGAAGAGGATCGCGATACATCGTGCAAGCGTAGTGGTGAACGCCAGAAGTGATGTCAATGGATCTCTGCGCATTGGACTGCTTCCTGGTTGATTCTGTAGCGGTGATACGCCATGTCTCAGAGGACACCAACCATGATTCATTGACAGTTCAGCATCCGAACCTTGAGGGGACGCCGTGGAGAATGCAGTGACTTTCGAGTCATGGTGACAAAATACTCTCTCGTAACCCATTGCTATTGATATTAGCCTTTAGAAGTTGGATATCTCTTCGATCTGTGAAGCCAAACAAGCCGAGTCTTTCCAGTTGAATATAGTTCTAACAAACTGCCGAAGGTATACTTCTTTCTCTTGGAAGAGAGTGTCTTGGTCCTTTCTGGAAGAGACAGGGTCTTTCCCCGCCTCCAAACAAGTCATTATTGTTATTATTGGAAGATTGTCCTATTCCCCCACATCTGCAGGTCAGATTATGGAGCTGTTAGCTGATTCTCGTAAAATGTCAATAATGACGGCCTCAGTCTCCACTGGACACTTGCTGTGTCGCGTGCCATATTTCCTCGAGTGGTCAATCGCCATGTCTCAGTTTTTCTTGGCTGCTGGTACATTCAAAGCAGCAGGTTGCTTACAGTCGAGGACAAAACATCCTGAAAACTTGTTGCAGTGGATCGCCGATACGAAGAGACGAGTTATTTATTTATTGCAATATGCTGTAATTATTCGTTCTTAAACCAAGGGGTGATACGCCCGGTATCGCTCCCATGGCGGAACGTGAAATATTTAGCGATGGCCGATCCGAGAGTTGCAAGGTTAGTGGAAGGACCTTGGTCAGTCCTTCAGATCTTCTTTCCTCTCACTCGTCGTCGGAGTCTGAGCCACTCATCCAACCCGACTCGTAATATTCGCGTATTTCTCCGAGGCCATTGTAGATTGTCTCCCTTTCATCGAGCTCTATGATGCGTCCGGCGGCCACCTGCATGGCTCTAATTCTTTCCGCTGTGCGCGAGGACGTGGTCAGAGCCGAAAGAATCTGTACTCCTGCTTCAGGATGGGATGTCGGCAGTATGTGGCCTGGGAAGCTGTCGAGAATTGGGAATGGGAGGGGCACGTTGAATCTGATAAAGAAAATTGGGTTGTTAGTTAGAAACCAGTCATTGATTGTCATATTAATAGATCGGGCTCATTCCATGGGACGGTAACCTGATACCACGTACCTTTGTAAAGCTGGCTCTGAGTCGTAGAATCGTTGTTTGCGAGCAAATCCTTGGTCTTCATTGCAATTTGATTCATCTCTGTCTTTCCCCGAGATTCCACGAGTGACTTCTATCTGATTAAAGACATGTATTTCCTTGCCTTTAAAGTTGTCGTACGTAAAATCAATATCAAACTGAGACTCGGCCTTTCTAAGAGTACCGCGCTTTTCCACGCTGATACTTTCATCTCGGGTCCTGTCTGTGGAGACTCCTGTTCCCTTCCCACTACCGTCTTGAATGATACTAGACTGTAGTTCAAAAATCCTCCGCATGTCATCGTCACCGGCCAAGGAAGATTCGATATCATAATACTGACGTAAACGAGAGGGGAGGGTAATTGATTCAATCGCAGAGCAGATCAGTGCCGAAGTATGCCATTCTGAATGGGGGTCGATATTCACGTAATTCGGTAGTCTCGTGGGTGGATCTATGATGGGTACGTAAAGAGAAGACTGTGGCGATATTGAATGTACGGATCGAGCACGGTTCATTTCTTGTTTTAATTGTTTTGACTGCAATTGTCAGTATACACCGAGGCATCGCATGGATGATTATCTTGATAGAAATCATTATTACTTACTCGCTGCACCTTCGCGCCACTTTCAATAGCCCACACCCATATACTCTTTTTGCCAAATTCGTCGCGAAGCCTATCAACATATCGTGCAGAAAACCCACCCCATGCATCATCTGAGCTGGTATAAAGTTGAAGGGCCCGAATTTGATCGCATTCTTCAGCAAAAGGCCTCAAATCTCTGTCGAGAAGATCGTGCTCTTTATCGAGATCCTTGAACAGCTCCTCACCAACAGCCCAGTCCTCGAAAGGCATTGTTGTAGAGTTCAACTCATAATCATTCAGCTGAACGATGGACCTTGGATGGTAGAAGACTCGGTTGAAATCCGACCAGTAGCGAACGGTTTCTGTTGTAAGAGTAGGAGCTGGAAGGCCTTGATCTAAGCTATTTTGATAGGCGCTTTGAGGAATGGCTGCTTGTTGCTGTATTATTTCTTTACCATCCCTACGAAAGAGTCAGTAGGCATACCCATAACCCATGCTGTTTCGTCTTGATCTTATAGAAGACAAAATACGAAAAGTTTATATCAAACAAATCAATGGATAGGAGAAAAACTAACCACAAGCCTTGTATGCCATTGAGTTCCTCACTGAGCTCGTAAAGGGCATTATATTTCCGAAGGGTGCCAAACGAACCCTTGAGATCGTAAATCAAGGTTCGTGGAGTAAAGGTCTCTGAGCCATCTGCCCCAAGACCGGGGCGAAAGTGGACATCGTGGTCAACTAGAGGCTCTTCACTTTCATTGTAGGTGAAATACGATTCCTGAGGGTTTGTTAGTGATACTCAATTGATCCAGCTCGTTGAGCATCACCTGCAAATTCCAGAAATGCGTAGCCAAGTAGTTAGCTCGCTGGCCCAATTGTAATGTGATAATTTCATGCATAATGGCAGATATCTGGCGCAGAGATAAATATGGTCAAGGTCTTTGGAGAACCTGGACTAATTAATTAGTAAAAGCAAATTTCAGTGTGAGAAGCCCAGAACGAAACTCAGGCTGGTCGACAGGGCCAGAGGTGACTCACAGGAACTGAGAACTCACTATCGGCACGAAGATGAGTATAGCCAGGATTTGGAGTTCACTCAAAAATACCCGAGTCCAAATAGATGAAATCGCGTTCCTGACCAGCCGGCATTCTATCTGGTTGATCGTATGTCGTCAGCTCCCACGAGTGTATCAAAAGAATGGCCGTTATCGATAAGGCGGTTGGTTATCAGGTGACCCCGCTTCCAAATTAGGGATAGCCATGTTGTCCTGGGTGACCCCCACGTGACTTTATCCGAGTTAGCGGTAAACAACCCAAAAGAGAAACAAATGAGGTGCGTCACAAACGCCAATATTCAGGCGCAACTCCACCGGTCTTCCACCACCTGCTCGGTCTCTACGCGAAAAGACCCCGGAGTTCCTCTGATTATTTGCTGCCATGCTTCGTGTTGCATCTGTTTGACTCCGTTGAACTCGTTCTATATCGTTCGTGATGGATTCGCCGTCACTCCCAATGTCGAGTCCCACGAAGGCTCTTTTCCCAGTGTCCCCTGAGCGAATGAATCAGCAATCTATTCCAAACTCACCGTCCCTGCCGTCTGATCTCGCGAACTATAACTGCAAGACTTCGAAAGGCCTGTCAGATGTTCAATCCAGAGTCGCTTTTCTCAACAGCTTGTCGCGTGGACAGAGTCCCGTCGCTACGACCCAAACTTCCTCGTCAACCTCGGCAGCGCTTCAACGAGCTATCCTCGGTCGGGAGGAGGCGGAATCTGCTCTTAGAAGCGTATCTATCGAGCTTTCCGAGGCTCAGACACGTGAACGACGCATAAGCGAGAGATTGGAATCCTTGTTGGAAGAATTACAGGCTGCCAAGGAGCGCCAGGCTCATGAAAGAGGAGTCTTTGAGAAAGAGATAAGGAAAGCCAGAAAGGAAGCATTTCGCGCAGGATCGTCTCTAGTCCGGTTGCAGGAAGAACTCAAAAACGCGAGAAACGAAGCGAAGACACTGAAGGATGAGGTCCGGTTGGAGAAAGAGGGAAGAGAAAAAGCTAAACAGGAATCGTTTGAGCGTGCCTATGCTCTTGCTGGTCTGACAGAAGAGCTCGAAATTTTCAAGGGCAAAGTTCGATCGCTTGAAGCAAGTAGCCAGTCTAACACCCTCCAAGTACGCGCTCTGGAAGTCAACGAAGAGGATCCCGGACAAACATCGACAGCAGAAAGCGATTCAAATGTCCTGACACCAAGAGAGCGAAGACCCAAGCGCGCCGCCGAAGACCTCGCTAGATCTGGCTCTCTCGAATCGACCGGCTCCCCCGAGAAGACTGACACGCCCCCGAAGCGGCAGAGGCTTTCCGAGCAAATCATTGCGCATGAAGATCAACCAGAAACGCGCGAGTCTGAGCTAGAGAATAATAGCATCATTGATGAATTACAAAACGAACTGGAAGTGGAAAGGCAGCTCAGGCTGGACGCTGAGGACATGATTGAATTCTTGAAGATGGAATGCCACTTCCAGAGATGCTCTTGTCGAGTCGCAGGACACCATGAGCAGACAGATCCTTCGGATGACGCCTTGATAGCTAGAGCAGGCACAGTTGAGAAGGATGTTGTTGCTGATCCCTTTGAGTCTCATATCCATGAGCATTCTACGGGAACTCCTGTTCAAGTTCCGAGAGCAGCCGCCGAAGGCTCACCGGCTCCCGAACCCAAATATAAGGAAGCAACCCTGGAAGAACCTTTGATTACGTTCTCGCCAGTCACTGGGACCTTTCGGACGTTCCCATCGCCTTTGAGGAACTCTCCCCAGAAGAAGCAGGAAGAACCCTTCGAAGAGCTCCGGTCCCCACGGTTACGGATGCACACGGCCGGCAATCTATTCAACATCTCCTCAGCCGGCTCACCAGTTACTGGAGGCAATAGGGACTCCGATATTTTTGCTCCATTTTCGGCGAAGCCACGCGCCACTATGGAACAGACTCCTGAGTGCGAGGAGTGGCCCCGTGAGCAACAGATCACCACCATGGTTCCCTTAAGGGGTGACGAAGAATCTTCTCCAAACTTTTTTGGAACTGTCCCCGGCACCCCTATCAGTCGAGAAGACGCTTTAGCACAGATTCGAGCCCGAAGAGAACAAAACACGAAAAGATCTGCTAGTGCGAACGAAGCCGCGCTGCGCTCTGGCGGAATGGGCACAACGCCTGCTCGGGGTGGCAGACGAGTTCCCGCCATACAAGGCAGGGACTCTCACGATGATGGCCCACGAAGAGATTTGAGTGCACCTGTTCGACTTTTCCGATAACGCGGTCGGAACGACAGATTATCACGAATGCTTCTTCTATATCCTCGTTGTTCTATTAGCCCGTTAGCATCAATAACTTCTTGCGCAGACTCCATTAATACCCCCGGGTTCCTCATGGGACGGCGTTTCTTGGATTGCACCAGAAGGCAGTCCTGGTTAGGACCGTTCTTTCCTCCCCCCTGTTTATCCTTCTGTCAAGCCTGTTTATGTCTTTAAAATCCTGCATGATACTTGAAAAGATGACCCCCCCTCCTCCCCTTACCCTAGATGACCATTCATGTCCTTCAAACTCATTCTTTTACACACATGGCTACTGGCCTATTCACTACTCAACTTATTTCCTTTGTCTTCGATTCGGCCGTTGCTTCTCTCATCTATTCATGTCTTAAATTGCTCAGTTGGACATAGGTAGACAGCTAGTATACTTTCCCTGAGATTCAGTTTTGTATATATCTTACTTTCATCATTCAATTCTAATCATATCCGAATATTCTGATAAATCCTTTCATGGTATGAAAATAGAGGGTTGAATTGGTGAAATGGTGAAATAGCCCATCTGTCAATTAATCATATACATACTGACATATAACTGCTCTGACGAAATATATATTCACAAAAGGGAGGCTGGATCAAAATAGTAGAATTGACGAAGGACCAGACCACCAGCCACCATACATGATATGACTGTCATGCGATTGCGAACTTGTACAATTTTTTTTACTTCTTTCAAAGAATAGGAATACCACAGCATCTGATCCGGGCCCCGTCCACGTACGCCCTGCGCCCCCACCATAGAAGAACGAGCTGCTCGACGAAGACCCGATCCGTCGCACTCCAGATGTCGAGGCCCATATCCGTCATGTCGGCGGTTGTGATCTTGACGGGATCGTTGTCGTTGAGGTTTTCGCTTTGTTCTAGCTCGGCTTGCTCCGGTGTTTGCCTTTCTAAGAGGGGCACGGTGTCTGTTCCTTCTTCCGGCGGGGCGAACGTAGCTGGGTCGTCATCGCCATCATCTCCATCTTGGGTCTCGTCCGGTTCATCTTCGTATGGCTCCGGAGTAATAGCAGGGTCAGCATCCTCCTCATCCCCGTCATGTCGGGCAATCGCGTCGGCGAGGGTCACGAAGATCTGAGTCGTCCAGCGGCGGAAGTATGCGACCAGCGCGACTTCCGGTGGTTGTTGGGTAGGGTCGTCGAGGGAGGTACCTCGACGTGGGAGAGGTGCACCGTGATAAAGCGGAGGACTGTCTATACTGTCGAGGAGCCGTGTGTCTTGTTCCGCCTGCTCTTCTTCCTCTTCTGCTAGTCCGTCCCGTTTTTCGCCGGCTGATGCCCACCAGATGAAAGAGGTGTACGCCAACCGCGTCCAGGATAAAGGCTCAACGATAGAGCTTGAGGAGAAGGTGGAGGCGGCATCGGAGTCGCCATCTTCCGCTTCGGAGGATTGAGAGCTGCTGCGTTCCAGAGACAGATAACGCAGACCTTTGCGAAGGGTGGCGTAGCGGCGAGCGTCTCGCTGAGTAGCTTTCAAACTGATCGCTTCCATGTTTTGGCTTTTCGACACGGCTCTGTCTTTGCGGTCATGCTGGATGATTATCGTTGGATACACCCTATCTGGGGCGTTCTTCGAATAGAGTGGAGGGAGTGTGACTAGGACATCATAAAGCTCGGATTTCATGCTCATGATGTTGTCCGTGGTGCATGCGATCCAACTAGGATGCTGGTCCGGGCTGGTCTTTGCATCGATAAACGTAGACAGGTAGGGAATATCATGGATGCCAACGTTGAAAAGCGGCCGCGGACGAAGGGGTGGTAAGAGATTGGATGGTAATAGAGGAAGAAGTGTTTGAGGTAGAGACGCTAATAAGGACAGATCGTATACTGCGAACGAGTCAATATGGGCCACAATCGTTCGCTTCAAGCATATTAGACGCTAGAGACTCACCATAATTACACGGTGCTTGGACCGGGGCCTCGGCCATGAAAAGGACTCTTTTCCGTAGCAGGGCAGCTCGGTACAGAGGGAAGACCAAGGGGCCGAACGAGTTAACAAAGTCAGGAAGCGATGAAGCGGGATGAAATGGCGTCAAAGCCGGCCTCGCCGGCTCCAGCACTATCGCATCGCTAATGGCGCGATTGCGACGCAGGCTTTGAGGTCGCTCGCTGTACGGCTTCGATCGAGACCCGATCGGGGAATCCAGAGGCGAATCGGGCGGCGCGGACAATTCTGCACCACGCATCTGATATGTCTCCCAGTATTTCTCCAGCGGTTGGAGATTCGACATATCATCAGCGTACTTCCTATCAAAGTAGTGAAGTGTCATGTCAGCCTTGGCGCACACAGAGAGAGGGAACAACCCGTATGCAACGTAGAGCACTCACTCTACCAACTCCCTCAATCTCGGCGCATGTCTCCAGCTCTTCCCCAGCCTGCCAGAGCTCAACGGCACCAGAACACCAATAGCAAGCATCAGCGCATTGCGATCGGATTCGGCAGCCGGCCGGTTGACAAAAGCGCTGATACCGGCGAATCGTTCGTGGACAAAGTAGCTGTCGAAAAACACCAATAAATCACCACCGCACCATTGACATCCCGAGAGGAAGATAATCGACATACATGATATCCTCAGTCACATTGTGCAAACCGGAGGGCAACGACTTGTATTCCACCACTCCTTCAATGTCCACTATTCCCCACCCCCCGATGCTGTTTTAGCCCGAGTGTCCTTTTCACGGCCACATTATGGGGAAAGAGAGTGCGAGCTCACCTTCAGAAAGGGACCGTTTCCAGGAAATAACATATCTAAAGGCGACAGACGTCAATCAATGGCGATTCTTTGGCCGTGCGTGCGCGCGGAGGGGCAGGCTTACCCAGCTTTGATGTCAAAGCGGATCACGAACAGGGCCGCAATGCCAGGCGGCGACTCGAGAGCAGAGGCGCGGGGCACATCGATGCCCAGGGGCTTTCTCGTGTCTTCTGGTGAATTCGCAGACATGGCGGGCGATGACGATGGAGCAGCCAGGCTCCTCGCGACGGCGTGTCGTGGTGCAAGTGACGCTCAGGAGTTGGAGATGGGCACCGCCGGGCGCTGCGGAGTTGGCTTTGGGCGTGGAGCTTCTTTCGCCCAGTGGAAACGAACCGCCTTTTCCCCTTGCAGCGAGAGAGCCGAGCAACAACCAGGATTGCTACCGTGAGCTACGGGGTGATACGGTGGTACACAGCATTATATACATATTGCGTACATCGTCGGATTATAGTTAGCGATAAATCAAAGCGAATTGAGCTCAAATTTCATCGTCGCTGGCGCTCACCACCATGCTTGGAGAAGCCGCTCCAGCTCACCCATACTATCCTCTGGGAGTCGAAATACCTGGATATGTGGCCAACGAAGCTTCGCTGCTGTCTCTGATCACGATAGCCGGTGCTGGATGCGTGGCTTTCCTGGGTGCTGTGCTCGCTTTCGTCAGTTATGTGCGACCGAGCTTGAATAGAGCTGACCGGCTGGCGATTCTCTGGTTTGTGCTGTGTATGTCCTCCGTATGGGGGGTAGCTTTGCGTCGTGCTTGACTTGCTCGGCTTTTTGTGGGCTGACATGACGATTGCCCTCTATTCAGCAGGATCGGTTCACTGTTTCTTCGAGGGATACTTTGTCCTGAACCGTGACCGGATGGCGTCCAGCCAGGATTTCTTCGCTCAGCTATGGAAAGAGTACGCTCTCTCTGACTCGCGGTATCTGATTGCAGATACCTTAGTGCTCTGTCTGGAGACCATGACAGTGGTGAGTTTGGGGCAGCTGCTTCTTTGCCTACAGCAGGGAGATAGACTGACGATGCCCTGGACAGTTTCTGTGGGGACCTCTATGTTTCGTGGTCGCCTATACAGTACTCGTTCAACACACGATGCGACATCCACTGCAGATTGTCATGTGCATGTGCCATCTGTATGGCGATAGCCTATACTATGCGACCAGCCTGTACGATGACTACATCCACGATCGCCCGTACTGCCGGCCAGAACGTTTCTATTTTTGGATCTACTACTTCCTGATGAATTTCATTTGGATTGTTGTGCCGTTCTGTATGTCCTTTTCATTGAAATCCTCGAGGGTTCGGTGTTCTTATTGCTTGCTGCTAACGCATAATGCCTCGCTAGATTATCTCTGTGATAGCACGAAAACAATCTCCAACGCGTTCAAGTCCTTGAGAGATAGGGAAAAGAAGGTCCGGTGATCCCTACCGACTGGCTTGGAGTGACCAAAGTAGCTGGCTGCCTGTGGGCTGCATTGATTGGAGAGAGACGCCAGAGTTTGTGGGACTGGAGCAACTGCGCCTTGAACCTTTGCCATCGTTCGGACCATGGAGTCACCGAGTTCTACCGGCCGCAAAAGCTTGACTTCAGGTTGTTCTGCTCCCATGCTGAGTGGGACGCGCGGACCTTGAACGGACAATGTGCTGTGACAGGTCAATAACTATGATATGGTGGATCCTCGCCGTAGGCTGGATAACCTGGTGTCATCCGAGTGATGAAGCCAGCGTCTAGGCTGAGGTCACGGCCACAGAAACTCTGTAACAGGAGTATAGGCCCTGGTAGGGGAGTCAGGGACTCTAGGAAATAGGGAATCCGTCGAGACGGCGAATGACATGCGCCCAGCCGTGGGCTCCTTTCCTTGTCCTCCCGGTAGATCGATCTGGTTGTATTTGGAGGGGCGTGGTTTGTTTACTTGGTACCCAACACACCCTCGTCCACCGTAAACATGCCCCTGGGATTAACCAACCAGAAACAGCAGGCAACCAGTGCCTACCGAATTATTATTTGCATATGATTCTCCCCTGGTATCGGGCTCATGCTCAGCCACTGTAAAGCGATCGTTTTTTCCGCCTTCCCTTGCGGTTTCCCGGGTACTGCAGACGAGGGGGACTTGCGAGTGGCTTATCGGTAGTCCCAGTTCCCCATCGCCAGCGCCGGCCTGACCGACTCTCTTCCTCGCTTCTCTCGTGCGCCGTGCGCAAGCTGTGGGTTTTCTTGGTCTCGAGTTTTTTCTTTTCTTCTTCTGCAGCCAGTCTGGCTCTTTAATTTTGACCGTCAAGAAGCGTTTCCGTCGAGAGTTTGTGTGAGTCTTGCGTGGTCGTCCTCCCAGTCAGTCAGTTTTGTTTGTCCTTGAGTTGCACCAAAACAAACAACCCGCCCGGTGACGTCGTGGTAGAAGGGGGTGGATATTGCTTCCCCTCCAGTTATTCTCCAGGCACTGCTATGGATCTTGTCTCGGCTGGCTGCGTACTGGGAATGCTACATGCTAACTGAGGTAATCTATACCATAGGTAGCCCTCGATGCCGTCTCCTGCGACTCCCACTCAAGCCGCCGTGCGGGGAGGTGCTCCCAAGACGCCGTCGCCCACGAAAAAGCCCCTAGACATCGGGACCCCGCTAGGTGTCTACGATACGAATTCGGTTCGGGAGAAGGTGCGGAAATGGCAGCAGCAAGGCGGCGGAGTGGTTACGACGCCAGACGTGTATATCTCGGAAGACGAGGAGAACCCGTCTGCGTCGAAACCGAAGCAAGAGAAGGAGGGGGAGCAAAAGAAGGAGAAAGAGAAAGAGAAAGAAAAGGAGAAAGAGAAAGAAAAGGAGAAAGAGAAAGAAAAGGAGAAGGAGAAAGATAAGGCGAAGGAGAAAGACAAGGAGAAGGAAAAGGAACCATCAAACACTACTCCGAGAGCTAGACGACGGGTCAACACCACCCCCAGAAAGCGGGTGATCAGTGATGAGCACTGGAGAATAAAGCGGAGCTCGGCGAACACGCCTCCACCCAAAAAGCCGTCTCCAAAGCGGATTTCGGTCTACACTACCAATGAACAAATACGGTCGCCACGAGTGCAGAAACGAAGCGCCGAAAGGGACGAGAAGCCAAAGCCATCGCCAGCCGGCGAGAGAAACAAGAGCCATGTGGCTTCTCCCGCACGGAAGCCAAAGTCTCCCCGGCCGGCCGAGTCCATGATCGAGAGCGCGATCGAGGAGGAGGACGTGACAGACAATGCGGCTCCCTCCCCCACAGCTCAGTCGACAAACTCGAAGAAATCGCAACCAAAGACGAAGGAGAAGTCCGAGGTGAAAGAGAGCATGAGAAGAGCAACGCCGCCACCAGAAGAAGATGGGACTGAATGGGCATCGAGCGAGGCGGACTTCTCAGAACTATCCAGAAGGCGTGCACGAGGGCCGGCTCCAGGATCTGCCCCAGGGCCTGCCCCAGGCCTAGGCGATAAACCCAGGGGACCCATCAGTATACCAAAGGGCGGGATTCTTGACCACATGATCAGTGAATCAAAAAAGATCTTTGCAAAAGCAGAGCCGCCGAAACCTGTGCCAACCCGGGGCGCCAAAATTGAGGCTTGGCTTTCAAATACACCAGATCCTTTCATGGATGAAGATGAAACCCCCGTGGAGGTCCCAGCGCCGCTAAACACCAAATCCAGGCGTCTCAAGGAGGCCCAGCAATCCGGTGGCAGCAGTCGTGAACGTACGACAGGAACGGACCTGTCAACAGATGACGAACGCCGCAAGAGCATCGCGAAGCGACGAAGCAAGGGGGGCGAGGACTCACCCAAGTCTGAGAAAGATCAGCCAACTGACCAAACGGCTCCAAAGGCGAAAACCGAGGCCCCTGCACCCTCGACTGAAAAGCGAACAGACAAACAAAAGGGCAACGACCCATCGCCTAAACCTAAACCTAAAGAAGACTCTACTGTCTCACGGGAGAAATCACGTGGAGGACACCACAACGCCTCTGGCATAGAGACGCAGTCGTTCTCGGATGGATCTGAAGTCTCCAGCAACAATGCCCCCATTCCTGTCGGTCTAAGACGGCCATTCCCTAGCACTGGCATCCACAGGCTTTCCACCATTGCCTCAGTAGAGACCTTGAGCACGAGTGATGGATCCGAGCCTCCAAATACTAACAAGGATGGCCTGTTGGAAAAAGAAGCCCCAAGTCTTTCATCTCTGAAGGATATCGTTTCCGACTCGGAGGAAAGGGATACTTTCGATCCTCACTCACTGCCGAGAGTTCCTTCGAAGCTGAAGCGACGCCTGACCACCCATGATGATCTCATCTCAGTTTTGTCTGTTCCGAATTCTAGAAGCCGAAGCATCAGGTCGGCCAGAAGTGTTCGGTCCAACAGGACTCGTCTCACCGCTGTAACGATCGAGGAGTTGATGCAGGAGCTAGCGACAGACGAGGCGAAGTATATGCGGGAGCTGAAGACCCTGGTCGGTGGAGTCATTCCCGTACTGCTCGCCTGCGTCTTATCTAGGTCGGACTCTGCCATCGCAGCCGGCCTTTTTCGGCCCTCGCTGGATCCAAAGGATGACTTGAATTTTACAAAACCAATCGTCGATATGGGTGTCGCTCTGGAGCGCCTCAAAACCCTTCATAAGCGGATACCGCAGGACAACGCTGAAGCCCTCATGACGTGGGCGTTTGGCGCGCAACGAGTCTACCGGGACTACCTCAAGGCCTGGAGACTTGGGTTCCGAGACGTCATCGTCAATCTTGCCCCTCTGGAAGAAGATGAAGGTGCGAATAATTCGGATACTAAGAGCTTGGATGAAGGCCTCGATAGAGATGAGAATGGCGACGTCATCGACAGCGATGGTGAAAAAGTCGACGTTGCATACCTTCTGAAGAGGCCGCTTGTACGTCTAAAGTACTTGTCAAAGACATTTAAAGGGATCTACACCCTGAAGCCGTCTGGTAAGGCCGAAGAAGTAGTTTTGGGTTACCAGAATCTGGTCACCGATGCCCGCCGTCGGGCAAGAGAGGAACGGGCACGGCTCGAGGATGAATCTGCTGCTAGCATAGATCCCACGCAGGCTTGTGATCCGGCCACTCTGAATGCTGTCACTGAAGTCATTGTGGACCAGAAACGACGGGTTCGGGCTCGTGACTTCTTCAACATGTCTCTTTACCACACCAGCGGTCAGATTATCGACTGTCGTGTCGAACTTCTTTTGAGAGACAACCCCCCGGAAACCGGGCCCGGAGGAGATCTGCTCGTTTGTGAGATCGATCAAGCCGACCGCTGGCTGCTCTTCCCTCCCATCGATATCGGCTGCATTTCTGCCCGTGCCAGTGATGCCAAGGGAGAGATTGTCATGATGCTGCGAAGCGCCCCTGGGGCGGAGAAAGCCTGGCAAGAATTGCTCTTGCTTCGGATTGAGGAGGTGGAAATTGCACTCGAATGGGTTCAGTTGCTGGGCACCAAGCCAACTCCACCAGCTATCTGCAGGACCCAGAGTTTCATCGACCGGGCAAAGGAACATAAACGGAGGCAGTCTGCAGGTGCTGAGACCTCGCATCACCGCAGAGGTCCGTCTGGTCCTGGTGCGGCCAATAGCCCAACAAGGGAAAAATCCGTTTCTCGTACAAGAAAGCGATCATCCACTGTAGGGGGTACGAGCACTGAATCCAGCACCATCGGTCCGTCTTCAGCTACTGGCTCGCGAAGCTCTCTGCATTCTGAAATCACCCGTGACTCGGGCTATGCAGAAAACAGCTCGGAGAAGCCTCTGAAGCCCGTGAAAAAGTCCCAAGTCCCTCTGCCTTCGCGGCGCGATACCGAGACAGCCGAAGAGAAACAGACCCATGGACTGAAACGCACCAAGGCGAAGAGGGTCTCACGCTATGGAGAGCTATCTCCCGATGAGCAGAGAGCAGCAACTCCCGTGACGCCTCAGAAGGAGCACTCTGATGACGCCTCGCGTCACTATAAATCAGCAAAGTCTCCTGAAGATAGCAAGTCTCCCGGCGAGCAGCACGCTCCTAGACCCGCCATCAACCGAACCTTGGAGAAAATGTCTCAGCGCCTGTCCTCTGTTCCCTCAATGGATCTACCCACTATCCAGAAGATTCGGACTCGAAGCAGTCAAAGTTATGTAACCGAGTCCTCTAGCACCATCTCCGATGATGACGAGTCCTCGGTCTCCCTGGTAATGGATGAGGGGCCCGCACCGCCGCCTCATCGCTCGCCACCTTCTTCTCAGCAGAAGGCATCTGATGTTCCGCTCCTGAGTCCTACCACTGGGCGGCAAAAGCGGCGAGCTTCGTCGCCCTTGAAACATGAATATGAGCCGTCCACAGCGTCCGATTCATATTCATCAGAGTCTGATACCTCAACAGTTCGACACTATGATATGGAATCCATATCAATTTCGTCAGACTCGGACTCTTCGGAGGTGGCATCTGATGAGGACGACGAATTTGATGATGAAGATGATATATCCTTGCATCCAGAGCGAGGTGGCGCTCGTGACAAGTGGGCAGCCGTGGAGGCATCAGTTCTGACTTCCAAGAACAGTACTCTATCCCCCTCGAATTCGGCATCGCAGGCAGGATATAGAACAGTGCCTGCGCAGCCCTCCAAGGCAACCAAAGCCATCGCCTCTATCTTTGCATGGTCTGACAAGGGTTCCTGGGAACCCCTGTTACCTGATGAGTGCAGCGTTGTCATCACCCCTGGTATCATCGAGGTGTATGAGATGAGTGCGGCCCACTCTGCGAACGAAGAAAATGCCATGGACGGGGTCCAGCCCTTGATCGCCATGGAGCTGACACCGCTCGTTCCGACCCGGCGTGGCACAGCCGTTGACATCAGTATCCGCTCTCCTCCCATCGAGCGATCTAAAATCAAGACCAGTAACAACATCCTGTTCCGTTCTCGCACCACTGAGGAATGTGAGGCCCTGTACGGACTCATCAACCAAGCTCGAATAAACAACCCGACTTACATTGCACTTCAAAACGCTCGCGGCCCGTTTAGCAACCAGCCCATCAGTTTTGAAGAAACAACTCGCACCGGATGGCTCGGATGGCCACGCCGCCGCAAGAGTTATCGTGCATCCAACTCTCCTCGATCGCTGGCCGATGTCTCGGAGAGTAGCGTGGGGACCATGAACAGCGCGTTTTCTGCCCTGAAACGGTTCCCCGGCAGCAAGATGTTCAACTTGGGACGGTCGACGATCAGCTCGCAGAAAGGCGACAGCCTGTTTTCCAGCTCGTCTTCCCCGTCCTCGGGGATCGAGCGCATCGCCGCCGCAGCCAAGGGCGTCGACGGGATCGGCCTGTCCAACGCCAAGATCCGTCTTTACCTGCGAGAAACCCAGTCCAAATGGCGGGACATGGGCGCCGCCCGGTTGACCATCATGCCCGCCGACCCTAGTCCTGCACGCCCGGACACGGCCGTGAGTCGGCGCAGCGACTCGAGTCTTGCCGGCCCCCCTCCCTCCACGGACGGAGCAGAGAGCAACGGCAGCCCGCCAGCGTCGGGTGCCAGCTCGCCCCGCCGCGAGGCCGAGTCGCGCAAACGCATCATCGTCCGCGGTAAGACGCGCGACGAGACCCTTTTGGACGTGTGTCTGGAGGAGAGCTCGTTCGAGCGCGTGGCCCGCACGGGCATCGCGGTCTCCGTCTGGGAGGAGAACGAGGGCGGCGGCATTGCAAAGCAGGGCGGGGTCACCGTCAAACAGTTCCGCGTGTATATGATCCAGATGAAGAGCGAGGCCGAGGCGGCGTATACCTTTGGCCTGGTAGGGAAGCTTCGCTATTAGTTTTTATGATTAAGATATCCATTTGTTTTGTTTCTTACTATTTTTTTTCCCCATGTATATACATACCACTATCAATTCATCGTCGTTATTATATTCTATCTATACTAGTAAGATATCATGATGCAGCAGAGGTTGTCTACCATCTTATCTATACAGCTCTATCCTCTATCCGACTGGTTTTCTTGAAGATAAATCCAATCCGACAATCCTCCTCCTTTAAAAAGGGGAGCAGAACGTCCTCGTCATCGACTTCCCGTCTGATGGCTTCCGCCGAATCAGGATCAGAAAGGAGAGCAGGGTCGATATGTGCGTAGTGCGAGAGGGATTCCCGGATGTTGTTCACTTCCGTATCACTCTCCTTTTTGGACCGGCTGGAAGGGTGGCGGCGTGCGCGGACCTGCCGTTCTTGTTCTTCCATGTTGAGCTCCGACGCCTTTATCAGCGTCGGGAGATCGGGGAGAGATTCAATGTCATCATCGTCGTCAGGATTGGGGACTTCCTCTAAACTATCCCTGCTGCTCTGTCTGGTATCCTCGGCCATGCCTCCCTTACCTCCACATTCACAGCCCAGCAGTTCATGAGTCTGGCATCTGCTTTCCTCATCTAGTCGGAAGAGATCTCGGAGCTCATCGCGCGAGAACTGCGCCACGCTGTCCCGGCGCTCCATCACGCTATCCGCGAGTCCTAACTTGGTGACCTGCCGCTGCCAGATCTTCTCTTCCAAGCTGCCCTGCAGCAGAACCCGGTAGATCCGGCAGTGCCGTTTCTGACCGTCGCGGTGGATCCGTGCCATCGCTTGGATGTCCGTCGCCGGATTCCAGTCCACGTCGAAGAGGACCAAGCGGCTGGCGCCGATCAGATTGAGTCCTGTGCCCCCGGCCTTGGCCGAGAGAAGAAAAGCAAAACACGCGCTGGCGGGTAGCCGGTTGAAGTCGTCGACGAGCGCCTGGCGTTTCTGGGCGGGCGTGCTGCCGTCCAGACGCAGAAACGGCAGGGAGAGCGAAGCAAGCAGGTTGGCTAGCAGGTTCAGGGTAGAGGTATAATTCGACACGAGAACAATCTTTTCCGATGTTGCCGTGTGGAGGTTATAAAGCAGTTGGTCTAGGACACGGATTTTGGCACTAGATGAAGGGTTCAGATGGCGGAGCACCTGAGATGGAAGAGAAGATAGTAGAGCAGAAATGGTGTCGTTTTTCGGCACTTCATCCCCCGCTTTGCCTGAAAGCAGGGAAGGGCTATTGCACAGCTTTTTCAGGATAGTGATCAGCTGCAGCGCACTCTCTGAACTGCCCAGGATACCCTGGAAAACCGGCGAAGCAAGCACATTCCGGTAGAGGTTCGCTTGCGTCGGGGTCGGCCTGCAAAACAGCACGTATTCCGTTTTGGGCGGGAGATACTTGGCAAGGATGTCGGCCGTCCGACGCAGGATGAACTGAGAGGTGAGATTTCTCAGTTCTTCGCTTCGTGCCTCGCCCTTTTCGATATCCTTTCGGGTGGCCTCTGGCTGCCTGCTTTTCACGATTGGTCCCTCAAACTCACGAATGAAGGCTTTCAATGTGCCCAAGACGCCCGGGTTGACTAGATCAACAGCAGCGAAAAACTCTTTCAAATCGTTCTGGATCGGGGTGCCCGAGAGAATGACCCGCTTGGAGGCATTGAGCGACTGGATCGCTTGGCCGCTCTTATTCTGCAACGTTTTCAGCCGGTGCCCTTCATCAGCAATGATGATATCAACCCCGTGACCCTTGGTGAGACCTTCCTGCACAGTTCTGAGTTTCTCATAGCCGACGATCATAATGCTGTATGCCTTTCCCCTTGTGAAATCGGTTAAACGCTTTTTTTTGTCGTCGAAGACAAAGACGCCAATTCGTTCGTTCCCCAACCACTTCCGAAACTCCTTTCTCCAGTTATTGATGAGGGTTACGGGGCAGACTATTAGAGCCTTTTTCACCACAGGCGGGTCCTCGTAAACCGGGTTCTGTTTCAACAAGGTCCAGATGAGCGTGATAGTCTGGAGCGTCTTGCCGAGGCCCATGTCGTCAGCAAGGATGGCTCCCTCGCCATTGAACGACCGCATTCCCATGACGCATTCATATAGAAACTGAACACCTTCGCGCTGGTGCGGACGGAGATGTTTGGCGAGCAACGGGTCAACAACCACATCCACAATCCGTTTCCCACGAGGGACAGAATCAGGTCGCTTCATCACAAGGGCATCAGGTGCAGCCGGGTCATGTCGTGGCACCGGCTGGCCTGCCTCGACCTTTGGAACCGGAGTCGTATCTAAGATCGGCTTCTTATACGCTGTGAGCAGCGAAGAACCGGCCGGTTTCGTCACAGTGGTCTTCGTCGAAGAGCTTGACTGGTTCGAATTCGTAGATAACGTTCTCTTCAGAACCACCGATTCCTTCCTTTGGAACTGTATCGGCTTAGACGTCGGCCTCTGTGGTGTCGCTACCGGCTTCTTGATGTCCAAAAACCGTCTGCCGGAGAGGTACTCCTCCCTTGCCATTTCCGAATCCACTTCCACTTCCTTGCCCCCGATTGAAAGAGCCGAGCCGGCCTCCAGTCGTGAACTGACCATCACGCGGCCCATGTCTTTCCCAGACACATCCTGGAGGTAGGCGTAGCCACTCCGTACGGCGAGGATTCCGTCCCCGTCCCATGTCTTGTTTTTCTTCGTGGTATATTTGCGCCTGATATTAGTTTTGGCATTAGCGCGTATTCAACGTAAAAAAGTAAAAGGAAGAGACCTACCACAGAACATTATAGTATCTGTCATCACTTGTGCTAGCGGATTCGGTCTCGACAGCTTGAGTTCCCAGCTCCACCACCGGGAGATTCTTGCGAGGAACACGGCCAGAAGAGCCTTTCACAGCATGTCCGGCCTCGTCGTCGATGCGTGGCTTCTTGGCCGGCGGTTGAGAGTCGTCAGGGGATTCTAACGAGGAAGGAAGTGACGATACAGGAGGCTTATTGATCGAAAGAGGCTTGAACGGCTTGAAGACCATCGTGAAGGAGCCTGGAGGGGGGTTTGGTCTCCAGCTTGAGGTCGTTGGTTTCCCAATCCTCTTATCGGTAGGAAAGATCAGGTCGCGGCCGACGCGACTCTTAACGCGTGATCACGTGAGATTGAAGAATCAGGGTGCAGGAATTTCCGTACATTAACTACTAGTAACTAGTACTGACCTTTACTGGGTAATATTATAAATAAAGTACTTGGGTAGCTCCAGGCATATATTTCTATACTAGATATTAACTAAGGTACTGTATACTACTATAGCGCCGAAAGAAGAACGGATGATCCAAGTTGATTAGGACCTTGTTTAAGGAAGAAAACAAAGTTTAGTAGTATTTTATTTGGCGTCGTCCATCTCGGTCTTGTCCGACAAAGGAATGCCCTTTGGTCCCTCGTAGCTGTTGCGGCGGAAAAACCACCACACGGCGACGAAGAGAGTTAACCCCCCGGTCATCAAGCTCGTGTAGTTCATGGACTGGGCGTCGGTGGGGATCGCATAAGGGAAGCAAAAGATGACGACAAAGGCAATGATGTAGATGCAGCTCAAAGCATTGACGATGTAGCCGATTGCTCCCTTCATCCAGAAAACCCCGGGGGCAAATGTGGACCGGCGGGTGAGGAGGTGAGGCAAGATGGCGGCAAAGTAGGACAAGCTGGACAGCTGCACGAACGAGTCGATGAAGGCGCTAAAAGCGGTGCTGGAACCCACGTAGATACAGGCGAGGACGGTGTTGATGATGCCACAGGCCAGCGTGGCGTTGAAGGGGTTGTGGAAGGTAGGGCTGATCTGGGAGAGCCAGCCGCTGAACGGAGTAGCCCCGTCGCGAGAGATGGTCCACAGCGTCCGGCCGGCTGTGATGTAGCAGCCGGCACAGGTGATCACGGTAGGGAGGAAGGCGAGAATTAGCAAACCCAGGGCGCCTCCGTGGGTACCGGTGGCCTGATAGTAGATCTCGGCCAGAGGAAGGCTGTAACGACTGTTGATCACATCATCCAGGCTGCGGATGGAGTAGAAGATGGCGATCATGTACAGCAGGCCCGTGATAAAGCCCACCGCCATCTGGGCTAGCACGGCTTTGGGGATGTTCCGGCTTGGTCTGCTCGGAGTTTCAGCAAGATTTCTTGGAAACGAGAGGGCTCGCTAGGTACAGCGAAATAGAGACTCACTTGGGAATTTCCTCAGCAAGATGGGAAGAGCAGTCTGGGGTGCCGACACTGTATGCGCCATTCAGCATTCCGGCGACGAAAACAAAACCGTTACTGGAGTATCCGGTGCTGTTCTGCCAGTCCGTCCAGACCTGGGCGTTGGTCGCGTAAGGGACGCCATTCACATGGGGCATGACGGCGCAGACGATGATGGTAATGAGGACGCCGGAGAGGATGAAGAACATGCCGATGTTTCCAATGTGGGGGAGAGCGCGGTTCATGAAAAGTACAACGCAGCAGCACAGCCAGGTGGAGAGAACGAAGCTGATGAAGACATGCCACGCGTGTACGGTATACTCAGGGTGCATCAAGGCGTACATAGAGACGGTCTGTTGACCGAGAATGGCAGACATGGAGGCGGCACCTAGAATCCATGCCAGGCAGTTCCACCAGCCTGCGAAGAAGCCGCACGCGCGACCGTACTTGCCCGCAGTGATGGTTGCCCAGTGATACACTAGACCATCAGTTTAGATGCTGATGAGAACGGGGGATGACGGAGACGAAGAAGAAGACACCAACCTCCACTCGAAGAGGGCATTCCCGAGGCCAATTCGGCGATGGATGCGGCCACCAGCCAGTAACATATGGAGACAGCGATACTATTCGGGAAAATTAGAATCCATGTCGTCCAACGCAGCGACTGGAACGGGTTCGTTCTTACAATTCATAGATCGTTCCCGCGAGACCGCCATTACTCAAAGCTGTAACCTATTTTCAAGAATAATATTAGCCTTTCTCTCTCGATATTGGGGGTGGGAGTTCAAACGTACAACACTGCCTCCCTGGGCAATCCATGTGCTTCCTGTGGTGACGGCAATTGCACAGATACTGAGCAGACTGAAGTTGCGTTCCATTTCCTGGGTATGACCCGACTCATTGACCAGCTCTTCCTGCAACTGATCCTCTTTGGGGCCCATCTCGACCGCTTTGACCGACTCTGAAGCCTCGCCTGCAGCCATTTTTGTGAGGAGGTGGAACACCGACGGCGAGGACACAGATGAGAAGAAGAAGAGAAGTAGAACCACCGGAAGATCCAACGATGGAACTGAGAGGGGGAAAGATTGACAAAAAGAAGTCCTGTAGTAGGTCTAAATGAGATCGAGTCAATCGGGCTCCTCACTCCGTACAACCCCAGGACCGAGCCAAGACGGCATCGCAGCAGCGTCTACCATCAACTGCTGGACTACCGGTGTCCATATCACCAGGCAATCCGCCACTGGACATTGGAGAGTGGGTTGTTGACCAGAGAGTGAGTTTCGGGAGTGGGAGAGAGTCCATTGAACGGCACCGGAGCGAGGTCGGGGAGTCGTCAGATGGAGCCAGCCAAGCTGGACAGCGCCTGCAATTGCCCCAACGAGAGCAATAAGGAAGGCCTGAAACCCGGAAACCGGCAGTACTAACTAGTAATAAGTTAATTAGTTTTAATAATACTAACTTTACTTAACCAGCACTACATGTTTAGGTTACTCATACTTCATAACTACTCCATAGAGGTACCTAAGGTAGGTACTCCGTAAGGTAGCTACTGTTAAGGCCCCCCCCACCTTGAAGGTCCAGCGATATTCAGTAAATCAACATCACTCACTACCTAGGAATAGATGTGCATTTATCAGATTAAGATATAATATACTCTATAAATTAGAGATTAAGATCTATGATTAAACTTTTATTAAGAGATGATCTATTTGATATAGACTATTTTTATGATATAAAGAACAAAAATCCTACTATAAGCTAATTAAATATTATTTAGTTAAAATGCATACTTATTATGGTGTTGTTAGTGGACATTGCAGTGAGTTGCTGCAGTGGCCATCACTACAGAGTTCTCCGTACTACACAGATACCTAGTAACTACTAGGTAGTAGTTGTAGTAGTAGGTACCTGTATTACATTAACAGCTAACTAGTTACTTAGTACTAGGTAGGTAGTAACGTAGACCTGTTACTCAAGTCTCTTACGGAGTACTCGTTTCCTCCGTAGGCCGGAGGAGAAGCTTAAGTAAGCAGGGCTAAAGACTCGGAAAGTTTCCCACCAATCAGAGTCAGGTTCTGCTAGTAATAATTTAGTCTATGGCTTTACTATGGAGTAAATACTAATAATAAATAAATAATAGTATTTAATAACTAGTATTTCCATCTCTATCTAATATTACAACATTCGGTTATTAATTCGCCCCTATCAATCTAATGGAGTCAAGTAGGGAACTCCGTAGGTGGTTACAAGGTAGCCGTAGGGCTAAGTACAAGTCACTAACCATGAACGGCATATGGAGTATACTAGTAGTTCCGATGAACGGAGTACCTTGCTAGCAACCTACTAACTCCCTGGCTAGTAAAAGTCAATTGTCAGTTCCTGCATGTCATTTGGAGCTAGAATATTCTCTCTTAGATTGGAATAATTATTGGAATCAGTATAGAATATAAACTCCATTCAATTTCACATAGAAACATATCGCATGGAATCCGATAATAAATCAACAATCGATATTGTAGCTCTAGCATAAGGACCACTACGGAGTTCTTTCCTAGTGGAGCAGGTGGGGGAAGCTTCCACTCGGGCTCTGAACAAATTCGTTCTTCTGTCTCCTCCCGAGTCCTGGAATCATTCCAATGACTGAACCATCATTGTTGTTCTTCTTACTGGATAATAAAGTCTCTTTCCGCTACCCCAGTACAGTGTGCTGAGTACTCCATGCGGAGCATATTCCCTACAAGGTATCGACTCTGACTGATCAGCGCTCTCTACTTGCGGAGGTTTTCCGAGCATGGCATTGTACGACTACGAGTCTACGAGTATGGACTTACTCCTCCGCTGTTGGTTACTCTGTAGCTCTAGCCGAGTGGTTGGTTTTATATTAAAAGCCATGCCTAGACTGACTAACACTGCTAACTAACCAATTCCTCGTCCAGTCACCATTCATCTATCTGCAGATCGCCGAAGGATTCCTAAGTCTGCTCGTGTACGCCCTGCAGGAACTCAATTACTCCATCGCTTGCAAGCCGGATAAAAGAAAATTAGAAAATACGAAAAAAAAAAAAAAGAAAGAAAGAAAGAAAGAAACTTAGTTATCGACTTAGTGCCTACGATCTTCATTCGGATGACGTTGCCCTGTCGCCTATCGCTCCCTCCCTGAGCCTCCCTCTAGAGCCTCCGGGTGGCGACTTGGAAGTTGGATCTTCTTCCTTCGCGAACGAAGTTGCCGACAGGTTCGACTCAATGGCCCAATACGATGATGGCCACGGGGAGAAAGGATAACCATTGACATCGAACCATGGATCTGAAAGGGGAGACGTGCGGACGGACCTCGTTGTCGCCGCCTCCAGGTCCGTTTGGTTTACCCCTGGCCCAACAAATCATTGATTCCTTTACCCAGGACAGTGGACACGGGATATTGACTTGGACAGTGCACAATGCCCAGGAGGACCAAAGTCAAAACAAGAAGTTCACGACAAGAAATGGCTATTGGACGCCTCTTCGGAATTAATTGGCGAAGTACTGGCTGATACGTAGTTCGGATCCGTGGTTACTCCTTGCCTATACTCCGTAGGTTGAACTGGCCAGTGGTAAGGTCCTCTTCTGATAGGCGCAGTGTATTGTTGAGATACTTTGCCCGCAGAGGTACGCAGATCGTTCATCGTTAACCGATCTCTTATCTAGTAGAGAGAGTTATTACTTGAGGAGTGTCGGCACTTCCCATCTCAAGTGTCGTTTCCATACCACTTACTCCCTGTCTTGTCCAGATGGCGAGCCTAGGCCCTGAATTCGGGCACCGATTTGCCGTAGAGACATGGACGCTCTATGCGGTGGGAGTGATGAGTGTGGTACTGCGATTGTAAGTTTCTTCCCTTCTGCTATGGTTTGGGGAACCTCTGCTTATCCTGGGGAATGCAGCATTGCTCGTATTCGTCGATTGGGAGCCCAGAACCTCCAGGCAGATGACTACTTGATGATCTTCGCCGTTGTCTGGTACACGATCCTATGTGTTGCCTTGAACCAGGTGGCCTCGGGCGGCGGGTCGAATCTCATGGACGAGGCGGCCATCGAGGCTCTGACGCCGGCGATTAAAAAGGAGCGTATCCGGGGAAGCAAATGGGTGTTTGTCTCGGAACACTCATTCATCCTGTCCATCTGGGCCATGAAGGGCTGTATGCTGGTGATTTACGCTCGTCTGACGTATGTGTCTTGATTTTTCTCTTTTTTCTTTTTTTTTTTTTTCTTTCTTTTTTATTCTTTTCTTTTCTGGCTGTTCTTGCTTGAATGCTAACCGATTAACAGCGAGGGCCTCCACCAGCGGCGCTGGATCAACTGGTGCTCCATTTACGTCGCATGCGGCTTTGTGGGCACCGAGCTGTCGCTGTTTCTGATCTGCCGGCCCCTGTCCCAGTACTGGGCAGTGCCGGCGTCGAACACGCAGTGCTCGACGTACCAGTACTACGAGATCGTACAGGGGTGCTTCTCCATCTCTGCCGACATTCTCATGCTGATGGTGGCGATCCCGCTGCTGATGCAGGTGCGCGTGCCGCTCAAGCAGAAGCTGATCCTCCTGCTGCTCTTCGGCATGGGCGTCTTCGTGATTGTCGCCGCGGTGCTCAACAAGCTCTACTGTCTCGTTCCCTCCCTCATCTCATACGTCTATATGAACTGGTACTTCCGCGAAGTCACCGTCGCCATCCTTGTCACCAACCTGCCGCTCATCTGGTCCCTGCTACGCGACGTCTTCCCCGCCATCAAGAGCTGGTCGGGCGGTTCCAAGCGCGGCACGTCCTCCCGCTATCACACCTCCGCACCCTGGACCTCCAAGGGCTCCGCTGCTGCCCGTCGATATGCTGGCAACAGCACCACAACCACCACCCACGCGGGGGGGCTCCACAGCCAGATCGACATCGATCTACCCGAGTATAACAGACCTAGCATGGGCAATCAAACAGGTGTTTCGAAACAACAACAGCCCGACGAGGTCAGCGACGAGGATGATAGCTCCGCGCGCGCCCTTCGTATCCACAAGAACGTCACTGTCACCGTCGAGCGGGAGTTGGAGCCTGAGACGTGGGGGGAGAGCACCAGGCCACATAGTACTAATTCCACCTAGCCTTTCTTTTTTTAGCAGTTAGATAGACGAATATATTTGTACATACTTGACTTTGATAGCGTTGGTGATCTGCAAAATAAGCCACTACCTCGGTATACTAACTATGTAGTAAATAATCTACCATGTGGAAACCCATAATTTGAATCCAGCTTCTGTTTAGTTAGGCCTAGCGCCCAGGCTTGCCTTTTCTCTCTCACCTGCGCGCGTTCGTAGATAGCTTCATCTACAGGTTTTGTATGCTGGAGGATCGTCAATCAGATCAAAGGGATTATTGTCGTCATGTTGTAGAATCCCCAGCAAAGAGGCATCCCGGATTCGCTGGAAATACCCATTGTGGAAGCTAAGATCAAAGCGCTTCCGAAGTTCTACCCTTTGTTCATGACTGAGCTGGAACCCTCGCGCTTGCTGGCAACAGAAACAATAGACAGTACAATGGCCAGCTGCGAATTTCCGGGTTGACAGATTCTGGCGATTCGAGCAGCATCCACACTTTCTTCCACAGCATCCTCCCCTTCCAGCACAATCATCACGCAGGACACGATGCATATACCATCTTGGATGTGACCGCCATAGTTCTATTCCATGGCTGAACGGGCCTTCAATGAATGCAGCTCGAATCGACCACCATTGCCGTTCTAGAAGCCAATATTTTTGATCCACCTTTGCAAGGTCTCCCTGGTAAGCCTGGATAAGAGGTAGATATCTTGCAGGGCCTCCTGGTTCAGTGAAGACCCTCTTCTGATGATCCTTGATTATATCCTTTATTCCCATCTCACACTGAATACACTCTCGAAGTTTGACTTCTGTCTGGAGGAGACCGTGGATATCAGTGCTAGCTGTCACTGTAGAATCTAGCTTCTTAAAGTGACGCCATCGTTCTTTTTGAAGGGCGTTGATCTTTTCGGGGTGTTCTAGATCAGGTTTCCACACTCGGTAGTCGACCATCTTTAGTATCGGTAGAAACAGTATGTTATGAACAAGTCAAGTTGATATGGAGTACTTACCAGTCGATATGGATAATACAGAGTAATGACGGATCCATGGATCTCTCCGATGGTTGCCTTAAATATATGGTACTAAGCCTATTACAGAATAGTATTAGCTTATTATGACAGCATACAAATGTGGGGAACTCTTACCGTATACGGGATATAGGGCTAGGGCTTAGGGCATTATGATAGGGTTATACGCTGATGCGTCAAGGCTGAAGATGTGCCCAAGGAACCACCATTCAACAGATAAATCAAGGCATTGACTGATGCATTTTCGAGCTACTATTCAATGAGTCGCTTGACGAGTCAATCGAGGATTGAATTGGGTGATTAACCTCCTCGGAGGCATCCACTGGATAGTCAGAAGAATAAGTGAGAAAGTGACTGGGTAGTGATAGAAAAAGTGACTGGAAAAGATATATTCTAGACTAAAAGAGGGAAGGTGCAGTGTATTCCCCAGCAGGAAGGCAGCATGGAAGTAGCATCATCAGAATGCCGTAGAATTTGAAACCTTTCCAAGTTAGCAGTTCCTCACTATCAACAATCATCACTACTGTTACTGCTCTTCCTGCGCTTCTACTTCTGCTACTTCTGTTCCGCTACTCCTGCTGCTGCTACTACTTCTTACTCTGCCTCTAAAAAGCGCCAGCAATAGCACCAGCACCAGCACCAGCAACAATAACAACAAGCAACAACAGCAACTACAGCAACTACAGCAACTACAGCAACTACAGCAACATCGCAATGGCCAATGAGACTGCGTTTTTCGGGACCCCTTCTCCTTCTACAGCGATCTACCAGGCGCTGCTGTTCGCTCTCCAGCAGCTGCCGGTAGAGAAGAAGCCGTCTTCTGTTCTGTTCTGGGTTTGGGCGACCTTATGCACCCTCCTCGCCACCATCGTTTTCTTTCTGCTCGCCCTGCTGTGGGGGACTGCGGCCACCAACTAGTAAGCTGATTTCCCATGTTTCTTCTTGAAATAGTGTGGGAGTCAGGAAGATCCTGTGCTTCGCCTGTGCCCACTACTCGTGGCTCTGCCTCTTACCATATCTGTTTCTAACCAAGAATAGTTACCGGCGCATTCCCGGGCCCGCCGCCGCGGCCACGGCCTCCTCCTCTGCCACCACTGCGGCCTCCTCTGCCACCATCGCGGCCTCCTCTGCCACCGCAACTGCCACGTCCGCCACTGCTACTGCTGCTTCCGCTGCCACCGCAGCCTGCTCCTTTGGTCCCCCGATCGTAGCGCAGAGTTCGGGGACGCCGAGCATTGCACAGCAGAGCGGCGCCGGAGATGGCGGAAGTCTCCGCAAAAGTGTGTCTGCGTCGAGTTATAGTCGCCCGACTGGTTCCTCTGTGACGAGCAGTGTCCAGAGGGACCAACGGATGGAGGAGGGACGAAACTAGAGTCAATAAAAAAGAGGACCGTGGACTGTACTATTGATAAAGATAGTCACTAACTTGATACATTGATCTAGGTTTATGAAGATTCCTTATTAAATAGGATAGTGTGTAGAATACAAACTATCACAAAATTCAATGTCATACTAGAACTGTAATTTTCAAAAAAGCTGGCTTATATTGACATATTGGGAATTGAAATAATCAGCACGGGCAGTGCACAACAGTTTCAATATCTAGAACAGACAATCCTATATGGGGAAAAGAAACCTAAGGTGTACATTGCTGGTAGGTCCAAGGCAGTTGTAAACATGGGAGTAGATATGTTATAAACCCTGTAGAAAATAGTAGTCACTAGAAATATTCACTTACTATATCATATTCTCTAGAGAATGAGGGAGATAATGTAGAATTATGATGCTGCAATAATGTATTCTGCTTCTATTATAAGTTAGCTGTAGAGGTCTTAAAGCTAACTATGAGTCCTATGCAGGTGAAAGCGAAAGTCATTTAATAAGCAACTGTCCTCGAAATAGTACTGACTTACTTTTAAGAGAAATAAGAGATAAGTTTTATTAAAGTTATTTGTTTAGCTTATGCTATTTTCTCTATCATAGATGATACCTTTCTTGCCGGGTGTAGGGCTGGTACTACGATACATTCAGTTCAGTTTATTTGAGAGAAGTTTCCATCTGGATTTGCAATTGAGCTTTTATTTACTATCTTAACATAGTATCAACAGGAACATTGCAATAGTGTAGCAGAGAAAAGAGAAGAACAGATCAAATAAGTATGCCAAGTCAACGCCATGCTAGAATCGTAAAAAAAGAAGAGGGTCGTCATCATCACTGTCTAATCGTAAAGATCCATGTCGGCACTGTTTTCCATCTCGGCCAATGCGTCTTCGTCCGTCATCTCCTCGTCTTCGTCCTCCTGCACGTCGTGGTTCGGGAGGACGTCGATGCGGCCATCGTGCATCACCACCCGGGCGACCTCCCCCTCTTGCACACTGCCGCGGAGGATCAGCACGGCCAGCCGGTTGAGCACCTCCTTCTCGATGAGCCGGCCGAGAGGGCGCGCGCCGTAGGCGGGTGAGTACCCCGCTGCGCCCAGGTAATCTTTGACTTCGTCGCTGCACTCGATCTTGACGTTGCGGCCGTTGTTCTGCAGCCGATTCTGCACTTCACCGAGGCGCAGATCGACGATCTTGCGGATCTCACGCCTCGTGAGCCGGTTGAAGATCACGATGCTCGAGATCCGGTTAAGGAATTCGGGCAGGAAGTAGTCGCGCAGCGTGCCCATGACCAGCTCGCGCGTCTGCGGATCGATCTTGCCGTCCCGTGTCGTCGGGCGCGCGAGATACTCGGCTCCCAGATTGGAGGTCATCACCACAATGCAATTCTTCGCGTCGACAATGCGGCCTTGGCCGTCGGTGATCCGCCCATCGTCCATGAGCTGCAGCAGCACCGTCAAAACCTCCTTGGCTGCCTTTTCCACTTCATCAAACAGCAGGATGGAGAAGGGCCGGCGCCGCAGACTCTCGGTCAGCTGGCCGCCTGCGTCGTGACCAACGTAGCCGGGGGGTGCGCCGATCATCCGACTCAGAGAATGCCGCTCCTGGTATTCGGACATGTCGAAACGGATCATCGCTTTCGGATCGTCAAAGAGGAACTCGGCCAGTGCCTTGGTGAGCAAGGTCTTACCGGTGCCGGAGGGACCGCAGAAGAGGAAGCTGGGCGGGGAATTAGGGTTGCTGAGGCCGGACCGCTGCAGCCGGATCGCGTTGGAGACAGAGGTGACAGCCTCCTTCTGGCCGACGACGATCTTGCCCAGATACTTCTCCATCTGCAGGAGCTTGTCCTTTTCGGTCGTCTTGAGCCGGGTGACAGGGATACCGGTCCACCGGCCGACGATTTCGTTGATTTGATCCGGACCGACCGCGTCGGCCAGCAGCGCCTCCCCTGCATCTCCCGAGCGCGCACGCTGCTCGGCATCTGAGCGAGCCCGGTCAGTTTCCAATCGCTGGATGAGTGCCTTGGTCTCGGGGATGGCGTAGTATTCCAAGTCGGCCGCGGTCTGCGTATCGCCCATGCGCTCGGCCTCGTCTCTCTTGACCTTGAGGGAGTCCAGCTTGATCTTCGCATCTTGGATCTCTTTGCTGCGCTTCTTCTCGCTCTCGTACTTTTCGCGTAACGGCCGTAACTCCTCCGTGACATTAGCAGCTTCTTGCTTGGCTGTCTCCAGCCGGGCCTTGGAGGCTTCGTCGGTCTCACGTTCCAGCGCATGGATCTCGATCTGGAGCTGGCGGAGTTTTCGTTCGAGCGTGTCGAGGGCCTCTGGTTCCGACTCCCTGGTAACTCTCACGGCGGCAGCGGCTTCATCAATCAAGTCGACAGCGGAGTCGGGCAACCGACGCGCGGTGAGGTATCGCGAGGCAAGGGTGGCGGCGGCAACGATTGCGCCGTCCAGAATATTGACACCATGGTGCACCTCGTACTTCTCTTTGAGGCCACGCAGGATGGAGATGGTTTCGGGCACTGAGGGCTCCTTGACCAGGACCTGTTGGAAACGTCGCTCAAAGGCCTGGTCCTTCTCGATGTATTTGCGGTATTCTCCCAAGGTCGTTGCGCCGATACAGTGTAGCTGACCACGAGCTAGCATGGGCTTCAACAGGTTGGCGGCATCCATGCCACCCTCGCCGCTTGAACCGGCGCCCATGAGCAAGTGGATTTCATCCACGAAGAGCACAATTGTCTCCTTGGATTCTTCAATTTCTTTCAGCACCCCTTTCATACGCTCTTCGAATTCACCGCGGTATTTGCTGCCGGCAACCAGGGAGCCGACATCCAGTGAGAGTAGTCGGCATTGAGCTAGGTTGGCAGGTACATCGGCATTCACGATGCGTCGGGCGAGACCTTCGACAATGGTCGTCTTACCCACACCGGGCTCGCCAATAAGAACGGGGTTATTTTTGGTGCGTCGACTGAGAATGCGGATCACACGTCTGATTTCTTCTTCACGCCCGATGACCGGGTCGATCTTGCCCTCACGGGCCAAAGAGGTCATGTCAATCGTAAACTTTTTGAGATTCTCATTTTCGCTCTCGGAGTCTGCAGTCTTGGAATCGACCTTCCTGGTTCCCCGGATCTGTTGGACGGCACTGTCGATGAGTTTCACGTTGGGGATGTTGGCGTCGGCCAGCGCCCTTTGCACCAGTGAGTCCTGGACCATGGCCAGGATCAGATGGTCGATGGCCACGTAGCTATCCTTCTGTGTCTTGGACAGCTCGTTTGCTGCTCGGATAACTTTTGCCAGCGCCGGTGACACACTGACAGTCTCGGGCGGGGGATCTTGGCTGGGCAGCCGCACCAGCTGCTTCATGAGCGACCTATCGAGGAGCTGAGGGTCGCCATGCGCCCGTTCCACGACCTGGCGGAAGAGCGGTGCCGCTGCCGCATCATGTGATGCATGTGCAGTCGCTTGCTGGTCTTTGGATTCGTCAACAGGTGGATTAAGCAGGGAATGGGCGAGGTGGATGGGGAGAATCTGCGAGTGCGAGTACTGCTCAGCGAGGCTGCTGGAGTCCAGCAGAGCCTTGTTAGCTCTGTCTGTGAACTGAGCACCGTTCATGACGGATTATCAGATGATTGGTATTCAAAATAGTGGTTGCTAGAGTGTGTTTTCCGAAGTAATGAGCCCTTGAACCAAGGGACAACGCAGTGTTGATATACAACTGGCTTTGGGCATCCAGACCTCTCTTGAGGGATCGTGACGTGACGGCCAGCTTCCACCGCCTTCTGGAACCGTCAAGAAGCCGCTGCGTCATCGCCTTCCCAAACGGGAAAGGGCCATGCGCTAGGTAGTAAGTAGTAAGCGCCAAGGTGGCATGATAAAACACGTGATATTACACGTGATGGCCCCCACTATCAAGTCACGTGGTCCCGTTCCGCGCGAGCCGCCGCCCGCCGGGGCCATTTTTATGATCCTTGCGGCAGACAGTGACGGCCTGGACTGTGACATTAGCGTTTTGGGCGGACTGCGTGTGGGAACAAGCACCTATCATTCGAAGAGCACTTCTGGAGTCAGCTAGCAAAGCAAAAGGTGCCACTCAGACTGAGAGATTGGCTGGAACAGAGGGGTGGGGGAGTGTCAACCCCACTACCGCCAGGGATCAAGGAGACATCATGGCGCTCAGCTGGCAATAGTACTGTGAAGAGGTAACTGTCTGGGTAACTACCTAGGTACCTATCAACTACCGAGGACTCGTTATGATATGGGCATCAGCTAATTCCGGTGTTGACTGCAGTCACCTTTCTAGACCCCCCCCCACCAGGTTATTTTCAGAAGCTTTTTCTCCACCTGTCTGGAAACCAACTCCCTGTCTTGTTCCACAGCAGGAGGGATGTTGAAATATGCCGCAATCCTAGCCAGATCATACCGAGATTCAACAACCCAGGATGAAGCGGCAGGGGGTGTACTGTATACAAGACACGGATACTATTGAAGGTACCTACTTGGTAGTAGACTGCACATTATTCAGAAATGCTACTTCGCTCGAGGCTTGCGACTCATGACGTCAAGTGGACACGCCCTCACTCAGGTTGCTTACATAGGCCACTCTCTTGTTGGATCTTGCCAGGATTCCACGGTCCGTTCAATGTTGTGCGGCGGAGATCAACAGATATACACCAGTCAGCGTGCCTGAATGTTTACCCTGCCAAGGTTCTGCATCCAATACTGCTTCCTGCCCTTTCCAAGGTGTCTCGTTTATTCATTTCATGTTTCTGTGAACCGAATAAACCCAGAAAGTCGAGCCCGTATGTCCTCAATACTAGGTAATCACAGTGTTGGTTGTAGATCCATCAACGCCAGGCTCGAATCTTAACGAACTGCCTAACCAAGGACAAGACCGAGGACCACAGAAAAAACAAGAAAAAAAAAAAGGAAACACTGAATGGCCCCTTGTCTCATTCACCCGGGATCCAGTCTCTTTTACCCAGTGGTGCCCCTCATTGGTGACCTTCATCTGAGGAATTCCTGATGAGGTACCTGCTCCGTAGGTACCTATGGTACCTCCCTACCCAGGATACTAAGTACCTACTGTACAAAGGTAGATGGGAGTCGGCCTTGGGTACCTGCCTATAAATCGAATCTCGGGCCCCTCTTTTCGAAGTTGCTCTCTTTTCTCGTAGTATTTCTCTGATCGATCTTGCAACCGACTTGCTCTTCGGTGCTTAGTGATATTGCTCACTTGTATCTTGTGCCCCTCCTTCTCTGGTTGTAAAGCACTGGTTCGAAGCGACGACAAGGCACAAGACCACTTATATCGAAAGAAAAAGGCCGATCATATCTGTCTTCTTTCTGCTAGATCACGAACAGAGATTCTTCTTATTTATTATTATTATTTTTTTCAAAGACTTGCTCTCTGCTCACCCCGGGTCAAATATTATACCTCTGAGGCAGCATTCCAATATGTCGAATAGACCCATCTTCGTTGCCACGCATCCCCGGGCATGTTCCACAGCGTTTGAACGAGTGAGTGTTTCCAGATATATATATAAAGCTATATATAAACTGTATGTATATTGACATACGACAGGTCTTCATGACTCGGCGTGATACCATCCAGTGTGTTCATGAACCTTTCGGCGATGCCTTTTATTATGGCCCCGAGAGACTCAGTGCGAGATTCGCAGGTGATGACCATGAAGAAGAACGCCTAGAAAGTGGCTTTAGCAATTCCACATTCAAGACAGTGATGGATAGAATCGAGCGAGAAGCTTCTGAGGTCCGACCCTTTCTTTTCGCTGCTCTTTCGCTGCTCTTTCACTGCTTTTTCACTGCTCTTCCTCCCCCTGCTTGTTTCTTCTTTTTGATTTCCCTGCATTATGGCCCTCCTGGAATCATCTATACCCTCTCAAGGTTGTATAATACGATAGGCGCCACGGTCGCTATCGTCTATTGGGATGGATCGACCAATTCTCTTGTTCTGCCAGTGGTCACTGGGTATTGTTCCAGACTTTGTGCCAGACGTTCGAGGATGGCGGCTTAGAGACCTGTCTAGACCTCAGTTGTTAGCCATTTGGCAGAAGATGATGATTTGTTGCTTTCTTCATTGGTCCGCCAGATGTTCTTGACAATGTGATACTTACCTTGGATGTGCAGGGAAAGAGAGTCTTCATCAAAGACATCAACCACTATCTGTTGCCGCCATACGGTAAACCTGCCAGCATTGCACCATCCCTGCAGAAGATCAAGCGTGGTGTCGGAACCACATCTGAGGGAGTCAATGGACATGCGGTCGGCAATGGTATCAATGGTACATATAATACCAATGGTGTCAATGGTGTCAATGGTGTCAATGGTGTTGAGAGTACCAACGGCGTTAACGGCGCCATCAGTGCCAACGGAACCAATGGCGTTCATAGATTGAATAGTGTCAACGGTGTCAATGGTACTAACAGTGTTAACGGGGTGAATGGTGTGGATGGAGCCAGCAGTTCCAACGGTACCCAGGTCAACGGAATGAATGGTGTCAACGGTCTCCACGGTATGAATGGAGTCAAGGTCAATGGCGTGCACAAGCACTGCGAGCCATATCCCTATGATACCGAGAGCGAGCCCAGTAATCCGACCATCATGCCCTATGCACTGCTGGCCCAATTCCACTTCGCCTTCCTTATCCGTGACCCACACTTTAGTGTCCCTTCCTACTACCGCTGCACCATCCCACCCCTAGATGATGTGACGGGCTTCTATGAGTATTACCCCTCCGAGGCTGGGTACGACGAGGTGCGCCGCACCTTCGACTATTTGCGAAGTGTGCATCTCATTGGACCTCGGGTTGCCACTCGCGATGACCTGATCGTGGGCGTCGATAACGCCAGCCGTCTTCAGAACGGTCACGGCGACAACAGCAACTGCAACGGCGCTACTACCGGCGTTGAGATCTGTGTCATTGATGCGGATGACCTGCTTGACAACCCCGTGGCCATGATCAAAGCGTTTTGCCGCAGCGTGGGCCTTGAATATGACCCGGGAATGTTGAACTGGGACAACGAGGCCGACCACGAGTATGCCAAGGCAGCGTTCGAGAAGTGGAAGGGCTTTCACAACGATGCCATCGAGAGCAAGTATCTGGCCCAAAGAGAGCATGTAAGTGGATGATATTTTCTCTGAGTCCTTCCAGAAGCAAACAAAAAACTGATGCCTTTCTCTCCCCTCAGCGCCACATCAAGACCGAGGAAGAGTTCGACGCCGAATGGCGCAAGAAGTACGGCGACAAGGGAGCTGCATTGATTCGCAAGACGGTCGACGAGAATATGGCGGATTATCTGTACCTGAAGCAGTTTGCCATGAGGGTGTAAGTAAAGGGAGAGAGAGACTTTCCTCCCCCTCCTCGGGTGTCAGTGGGGAGCCGATGATTTGACGGACAGCAAACAATGATGGAAAGGACAAGAAACGAGGGGGGGAGGGGGACGGGGGCTTACTCTTAACTTCCACCTACTAATGACTGGTCAAATGTCTTTCCTTGATTTTGAGTCGGGCTACGTATTGCAGCAATGATGATGAGAGTTTAGTTCTGATGGCGACATCTGAGCCCGTAAGCACATATTAACTGGTAGCCAGTGAACGTGGAATGTCAAGTGCCGAGTACGAATACTAAATAGCAGTATTGAATTGGATACGATCATATGTACATTGTTTGTAGTATTAGCTGTGTATGGATGGTGGAGTTAAATTGATATCGAAGATTTATCTATACCAAACTTTTTGTACCAAAATAGATGATATTATTTTTAATCCTACATCATCTGCTAGTTCTTCGTACCTCTTGGTAAGCTTATCGTCCTATATTTATATCTATCCAACGCTAGTGTTCACGAAGAAGTAGTCCTCTTCAGTCGAGAGGTATAGCAACGGAAGGTGATAGGAGACTATAAGAAACCCAGGCGGACTAGCAAGGCCAAAAGAAGGAGAAGAAGGAGAGAAAGAGACCAGAATTCAAACAGCACTGTATCCGCCCCTGGAACCAGATCCTTGAAACGTGTTGATCACTCGACGAAGCCAGTCCTGGAAGATATATGGGAGGTCGCGGATGGTGTCGCCGTGGGGGAGCAGATCCCAGCCTCGAGCCCCGTAGCGGGTGTAATTGAGCCAGGAGCCGAAGATGAGGTAGGCGGCCGTGCATAGGAAAGCACTTTTTTAGTCAGTTTTTCTTTCTTTCTCGTGATTTGAACATGAGCGCAAAGACAACTTACATGATGATGAACCAAGTGAAGAACCCCCAGCTGCTGGAAGAATCGACCTCCTTCTTCTGTTTGAGGTAGTCGTCGCATGCGTACCGGGTCCGCCAGTCCAATCGGAGAACATATGAGCCGTCGTCACTTGCACCAAAGCTCTTGAATTGCAGACTGCGATCCCCTTCATTATTATCACCCGCGGCGGGGTCTCCCCGCTTCTCCTCCTCCCGTGCATCTGTAAGCCGCTCCAGACCCGTTCGGTCAGGGTCACACTTAAACTGAATCACTGCGCTGACGTCCTTCTTCTTCTTGTCGTTTGGATCGTGGGTCTCGGAATACTCCCCACCTGCCAGTTTGACCATGAGGCCTTCTTCATCTGGGTCGAGTTTCTTCAAACGCGTGATCTCGGGGTCCTTGGTGCCGTGGCCCAAATGATCCAGTCCAGCAACGGGGAAAGCATAGCCGGCCGACTCTTCGCTCTCCTCGTCGTACTCGTACCGAAAGCCACAAACTAGAGAATCAAAAGTTAGCTTCCAACCAATGGGCCTAGGATCGAGTCCGGACGTACTGTTCTTGGAAGTCCCGCATTTGAGCTTATCGCGAATCGAGGCTCCCTTGAGGATGTTGCAGATGTTCAGCACGTATGTCGTGTTCACAACCGACTCCGTCAAATTCTGCAGGTTGTAGACCTCATGGACTCCACCCAGCGGACTCAGGTCATATTTGAACCCATCCGCGACGATCTGTTGGCAGTCGAAACCGCTCGCCGAAACGACCCCCAGCAATGAGCCGAAAAGGAACAACCCGGACCGTATTTGCATTTTTGTGTATGTGTGTGGACCACAGATAATCAAGATCTTTCCGACCGAACGAAGGAAGGGGTAGAGAGGCACTCAGCGGACGAGAGGGAGACGGTGCAGCTGCTCCAGGACACTGAGGCGGGCAAGGGGTCGCGCGATCAGCGTAAAACCAGCCAGCTGGTACGAGGCAGGGAATCCGAATCCCGTCTATTATTATCGAGAGAAAATGCAACAGCCACGAGAGCGAGCGTGGCGCTGCTTGGGTTGTAAAGGAGCAGCGTGAGGTGACACCAGGTCGATCGATGATCCCAATAGCGATAAATGACGAGGCGGCCTTAATTTGTCCTGGTCGGGCGGAGCTGTTTTTCTCCAACACCGAAAAAAAACGGGAGCAGCACTGATAAGAGGACTGCTGGTATGCGTGGGAGCAAATGGAGGAATATCTCGGTTTAGATAATTATTGCAATACGGCTACTTGATGATGCCGGTATCTATTTCTGCTTCAGTGAGGTGAATTGCCCATATACCGCGATCTTGCTGGTCAATACACTGCTGATGATGTCACCTATTGATTGTTGTCTTGACCAGTTGGCGTCTCGTTGAAGGGCAGTTAGTGATGGGAAAAATGAAAAATAGAGCTTTTGAGTCCACTAGATGTATGATAAAGTATCCAGGTAACAATGGGCTTCCCCTTCTTATGGGTAATTCGCTTGTTTTCCTCTTCTTTCTATCGTAATTACCTCCTACGTTGAGATATCAACCGAGTCCGCCAAAAAGAGGACCGCACAGACCACGTGACGCTGCTGCCACTTCTGGCCCGCCAACACCGCAAAGAAACACCACGAAGGCATCTACAAAAGTACTGCAGCAGACACTGTTCTCGCCAGTCGAGTTTTCTCAGGTACCTATGGCTATTTGAGTGAAATTTTCCGGTCAAATGGGTTGCTGATGGCAGGGAACAGAACTCTTTGCCCCCCCTCTCCCCGCTTGCACTGTGCGGTCGGCTTCGACAGTCTCCGCCGTCAAAATGATCCAGCATCGTATGGTGAGTAGTGTCTGTCAATCGGATTGAAATGCATTATATTGTGTGTGACTTTCATTCTCTGACAGTCTGTAGCTCTCGAAAGAGGACGAAGTCGCCGCCGGTGGTGAGGAAAACGAAGTCCGCCGCGAGGACCAGGAGAAGATCAACCGATTCAGTCGACTGCACCAGCGGGAATCCATGCTGGAAGAGCAGCTGAAGGCCAAACAGGTGTGTCTCTCTACCGTATCGATCTTTTTCTTTCTGTCTATCAGTGTCTCCGTCTCACTTCTTCCAGAAAGACAAGGAAGACCTGGAGGAGATCTCAACGGAATTGGAACTAGCCGATGAAGACGAACTGGTTCCGTAAGTAGTGATGGAAGACTATCTATTCCAAGCAGTTGTTGCTGACTGTCGGCCGAATAGCTACAAGATCGGTGATTCCTTCTTTCAATTACCGTTGGAAGAGGCACAGTCACTCCTCTCCACATCCACAGACCAGATCGATTCGGACGTCTCTCGCCTAGAGGAGTCTCTGGAGGAGATTCGTGAGGAGCTTCAACAGCTTAAGGTGTCGCTGTACGCCCGGTTTGGACGCAGCATTAACCTAGAAGTCTAACAGGGACTCCCCACACCATAGCATTGATAGACTGACGAGGGAGAGAATATATCATTTCCTCTCAAAATGAACGGCCTGTGTACAATATTCTGGGATACAATAGATACCACCTAAACGACTTTGACGTTGACGGGAAATCTCACGTGCGCAGCACTGGGCCCATCAATCAACACTAAAACACCTCTTTGAGCATCCATTGGTTTCACCAGATAGCATATGGAGCACCTGGATTCCCACCTACTAAATAAACGAACGGCTAAACAGCCAGTTAAGGGATGAGAGCATTATAGCATTGGCTGGCGACATTCTTATCTACGCAGAAGGTCCTCGGGTTACATCCCACGATAAGCGGATCCCCGCTTAAGACCCCCAGCTTTTCTTCTTCCCCGAGACTCCTTGCATTTCCCTGCAGCTTGCTTCTGCTGCGTACTGGGAGCTGCTTTTATTGACCTCAGTCCCGGCTTGTCCTGCCCCTTTCTTCATTCAATCCATCGACGACCCCATCTGCCCCTGTCTAACTGGCAGAATCTATACTAGCGTTCACACCCTATCCAATAGCTACTAGAGAGTGCTATCGACATAATGGGTGGCGCTGTTTCCAAGGAGGAAGGCTTTATTTCGAAGGAAAAGTCGGGCTATAGCTTCACCCAGGAGAGCCATGCCAAGAGATATGGACGGATCTCCCAGGATTCGCTTGCTGTGAATGAACTGGGTGAGTAAGACGAACGTGGTATAAAACTAGTATGAAGATCTGATCTCAAGTCTAGCGCCGCCTCCTTATGAGATCAAGGAGCGCGTAGTCACTCTTCCACTCTCGGCGACTAAGCAATGGGAGTCTTCCTTACTTTCAGAGCCGAAGGTATGACATGATACCCTCCCAGAATGACTTCGTCCTCACAGAATGACAGAACCGCCTTGCTATCTCCGCTCTTTCTGCAAATCCCATCTCCTCTATTCTGACCAACCAAGCAGCTGCCACAGCGGACACGCAAACATTCAACATCAAAATCCCCTTTGAAGGTGGCCCGATCACAAACCAACGCTCCTCCGGCCGCTGCTGGCTGTTTGCGTCTACAAATGTCTTCCGCGTGGCCATCATGAAACGGTACAATCTCAAGGATTTTGAGCTCAGCCAGGCCTATCTTTTCTACTGGGACAAGATCGAGAAAGCCAACTGGTTCCTCGAGCAGATCATCGACACGGCAACCACCCACGAGCTCGATGACCGTCTGGTTCAGACGCTGTTCTCTGATCCCATCTCCGACGGCGGCCAGTGGGATATGGTATCCAACCTGGTAGAAAAGTATGGACTTGTCCCGCAGGTCCTGTACCCGGACGGGTACAATGCGAAGAACTCCTCGAAGATGGACTGGCTGATCACTGCGAAGCTGCGTGAGCAGGCTCTTGAGCTGAGAAAGTTGGCTACTACCGCCGCCACGGCTGCCGAGGAGACCAGCGCGCGCCGAGCGCAGCTGATGCTCTCTTTGGCCAAGGAGCGGTTCATGCAGGAGATCCATTCGATTGTGACCATCATGCTGGGTCCCGTGCCGGATCCGCAGGGTAAATTCCAGTGGGACTTTTATGATGCGAACGGCAAGTTCCATCAACTGCAGCTGACCCCGAAACAATTTGCTGCGAGCCTCTCCTCGAAGCAAGGGGTGCAGACATGCGGTGGTGTCAATCTGTCAGCGATGTTCAGCCTGGTCAATGATCCACGAAACGAGTATGGACGTCTCTTGACCGTCGACCGACTGGGTAATATGGTGGGAGGACGCGGCATCACTTACGTCAATGTGGATATGAGTGTACGTTTCCTCCCTCCGAGAGAAACTCCCCTTTCAACTATATACCAATTCTAACCTTTTAGACCATCAAATCTGCAGCCATCAACATGCTCAAGGCCGGATACCCAGTCTTCTTCGGCTGTGATGTAGGCAAGTTCTCCGACTCAGCAACGGGAATCATGGACCTAGACCTCTTCGACCTTACGTTGGGCTTCAACATCTCGCTGGGCATGGACAAGGCGCAGCGTTTGCAGACGGGCGAGTCCTCCATGACGCACGCCATGGTCCTGACCGCCGTCCAGGTGGAGAACGGCGAGCCCGTCCGCTGGCGCGTGCAGAACTCCTGGGGCGAGACCGCAGGCGACAAGGGCTGGTTCGTCATGTCGGACAAGTGGGCGGACCAGTTCCTCTACCAGATCGTCGTCGATCCGCGATTCGTCGCCAAGGAAGTCTCCGACATCCTCAAGCAGGACGCTTTGGTTCTTCCTCGGTGGGACCCGATGGGTGTCCTTGCTTAGACGACTGTTTTTTAGCAGTAACTATTACCCAGCCAGATACCATTTCGGAACATGACATGCCCCCATTTTATCCCTTTCATGAGATGTTTATGATATGATATATGATATTCGAATTTGAATTGCTCTGATAATAAGCTCGGAAACCGTCCATTTTCGCATTTCCGCTTTCTATTCTATATCGTGATATACAACGGGTATCCATGCCAGTACCAACCGCGAGATGGCAGATGACAATAAATCGAAAAAGCACCGTACCATCGAGCGTATAGGATGAGATAGAAAAAGTGAATAGTGAAGAGTCAAAAAGAGAAGAAAAGAAAAGAGAAAGAGATGGTTATCACGGCTGCAGGATATTCGTAGACTGCGTATCTGCCAGGGTAAATTGACAAGGAGAGGGACAGGGCATATTTTCCCGAAGAGCTCGGAATGGGAGTGCTATATCATGTTATTGAAGAGAGACACACAGCCTGGGGAAGGGAAATGAGTAGGGGAGCAAAGATGCTCCAAGGAGAAGATGACGACTGGAATGAATAAGAAAACTGATATGACATGTAGCGAAGTAGTAGCTGTAGTTGTAGTAGTAGGAACAAAGAGAATCGCATAATCGATTCATCGTCGGTCAAAGAACCAGCTTGTGCGCTTCCCCGTCTCCTGCGACTGAACTCCAGCAATGGACGAGTTCGAGGGAGCATTGTCTCCGCCACCGCCGCGGAGGGGCTTTGCGATCCTCGAGCCCCCGAAACTGAACCCGCCGCTGGAATCCATCGAAGTCGGGAGGCCCCGCGTCGAGCCTTGCTTGGCCGCCTCGAGCCTCTCCTTGACGGCAGTGAGTTGGGCCTCGAATCTGGAACAGTCAGGTTTGCCATTCGCTTTACAGACAGTAACAATGGAGGTGAAAGGGCGTACCGGTGATTTGCTTGGGTAAGCTTCTCCTGGCTCTCCTGGAGCAGGCTCTCCAAACTGGCAATCCGCTCGTTTCGGGCGATGAGTTTCCGCTCGGCAATGGCGACTTCTTTCTTGAGTCCGCTGTTCTGCTCAACCAGCTGGCGTTGCACGTGAGTCAATTGCTCGAGGTTGCGTTCCAGGAAGGCCATCTTCTTCTGTTGAGCCCGGTTATTCGAGGACCGAAGCACGTTGTTGTACTGCTCGCGGGCATCGTCCAACGAAATCTCAAGCTCCACAACCCTCTCGCAGCGGTTTTGCAGATCACGCATCAACGACTTCTTCATCGCATCGAATTCAGCAATCTGCTGCTGGAGTGTTTTGCCCGCAGCACCGTTTGTTGAGGCGCGCGACTGAGAATCCGTGAGCGACTGGCGCAGCTTTGTCAGCTCCTCGTCCTTGTGGCCGATTTCTTGACGCAACTCTTCGAGCAATTTCATCTCCGTCTCCTTGCGATCGCCGTACGACTTCTCCAGTCGTTCGCGAATCTCCTGCACATCTTGCTCGCCCAGATTGCTCTCCAGAACATTTTCGTATTCCCGCTCGAGATCCGCCAGCTTCTGCTCGAGCTCCGTACGTCGGCCGTCCTGCAGCAGACTCAACTCACCGCGGTCATTCATCGTCAACTCGGCCTGTCGGATAAAGCCCTGCGTTTCCAACAGGCTGGCTCGTAGTTCAAGGAGATCATCGGGAACGATGGTTTCGCCTTCTTCGCTGATTTTGTGCAAGGCATCAACGCGCTGAATAAGATCCTGAACTTTGCGCTCGTTGTCAGAAAACACGTCACTACCCAAGTCGAATCCGGCCATCATCTTGGCCATCTTCTCCGCTTTTTTCTTTTCCTTCTCATCCAAGGCGGCGCTAGTCTCCTTCGCCTTCATACGGACATCCAAGAGCTGCTGCTTCACTTCGTCAAGTTCGGAAGTCAACTCGGTGTTCGCTTCCTTCAAACTGTCCATGGTGATGGACGCTTCTTTGCTCTCATACGAAACCTTCTCCAAGTGCATACGGAGCTCATTGACTTCAGTATTGAGTCTCTCGTTGTCCTTGCCGGAACGAGAGTTGTTCTCCTTCATATTCTTCAGCTCCTCCTTCGCCTCCCGTAGAGTCCTCTCGACATTCGCGATATGCGTTTCCTTCTCGGTGATCTGGTCTTGAAGCTCGTTCTCACGTCGGAGAAACTCTTCACGCTCATCCTTTTCGAGCACCAGACTGGGGGTTCCAGACCGGTCGCCCAGTCTGGAGTCCGGCCGGGGAGTCTCTGAACGAGGCACATCCTGCAACCGGGAAGGAGTGCCGGGGCGAGGTGCGCGGGCTTCTACCTTTGCCGCGCTGACGCCGTCTGCGGAGCGAGACGGTGTCCAGCGCTCTTTTGGAACATTATCTCCACTTCGCCAGACCTGGACTTCGTTTTCAAGCGCAGAGATGTAGGTCTCGAAGTTGGTGACCTGACTCTGCGCCTTGCGTAGCAGCTGCTTCAGCTCGGCAGGGCTCAACTCGGCGTTGATCTTCGCCTTGTTCTTGATAGCCTTGGCACGCACACCGAAGCGAAGAGTAGATATCGTTTCCGCATCGTTGTAGCTGCTGGGCGAGCAGTTAATGATCAAGGTTGTCCGGGAGTTACCTCCCAAACTCTCTTGTAGGATTCGGGTGAGTTTCGAGTCGCGATAAGGGATATGTGTTGACTTTCCGTCCGTCAGGGCGTTGATGACCATGCCAAGAGCACTCAAACTCTTGTTGATTTTCTTGGCCTCTTCCAGCGTCTGGCCACTAGCACCTGTCTTGCCGACCTTTTCACTACCTGCCAAATCAACCAAGAAGAGCTGACCGCTTTTGGCAGAGCCCGTTTCAACGTTCTTCTGCGTCACGGTGATCACAAAAATAGAGTGAGACCGGGATGACTCCTGATTCATGTTTGTCGCAGCAACAGCTCTTGCCGCCCCACCGCGTCGCATCACTTCATAAACTTCCTGAACACTCGAGACATACACCTCTAGCAGTCCCTTGACGTAGACGCCTCGTGCCTTTTCTTCGTGGACGGGAAGATTGTCGTTCTGAGGAACGAGCAGATCCCTGATCCGCTCCATATAGATTTCCATATAGCTGACCCGGACGGTGTACTCGATGTTGCTGGGACTGACGAGAATGCTCGCGAAGATCTGCTCAACGATACGCGGGATGATACCCTTGCCCTCATCATCGTCGATATCGGAGCCCATCATCGTATACGATTTACCCGCACCCGTTTGTCCATATGCAAATACGGTGCCGTTGTAACCGTTCAGAATATCATCCACCGTTGAGCGAATAGAGAAATCGAAGATATCATTTTGTCGAGAGCCCATGGGGAAAACCCTATCGAAAGTGAAGGCACTTATGCCTTCCCTGGACTATTTTCCGAATCAGAACTGTCTGGTATATGGAATCCCCTCCCCTCGCCCTTGGCTCTCTAATCAACTCACGTTGATCTTGCATGACTGCTCATTTTCGAAATCCACAATCGGCTCCCCTCCCGACGCTAATTCAACTTTGTTCTGCGGTCGAAATCTCGCAACGACTGTGAGCGGGGTAAGTTAGCACTCGACGTCTCTTCGCTCAGGGATATTTTGCTTTCAAGATTGCGCGCACCCTTGATCGTGTTATTCGAGGAGCCGGACCCGGAAGACCTATAGTATCAAATAGCAAAGAGAGAATAGTCAGCCTTATCAGTTCTTGCAGCAGCGGCAGCGGTGAATCACAAATACTCACGCCATGGTGCTTGTGTTTAAATATGCAGAAACGCTAGACCAACGACAGAGCGGGTGAAAATACGACCAGAAACCCCAAGCAGGGGATATTCAAAAGCAAGTCCTCGACTTCTTCGAATCCGCGGGTGGTCCAAGATCGGCAGGCCGCTGGGTGTGTCGCCGTGACGGGGTCAGGGGTTCACGTGCACGCAAAGGCCGCAGAGAACGTGGAAAAACAAAAGCAGTATGTGCAGTGTCCTCGACCCGGAGGATTATAAATCGGGATATGCAAAGAATGGCAGGCCCGTGCACACCACAGCGAGCGTCGAGATGTGAGGTGGAAGTCCACTGTCCAGGTGGAGGGGAACCGCGTTGATCGCGAGAGAAACCGTTGTTGACAACGCTTGTTGGGATGTCTTGGCGCCCGCCTAGAGTCCCGCATCACCGCTACTTGAAACAGCCGCAGGGTTGGACTATGTCGTATTATTTATTACTGCGCATTATGCATTACCACCGAGATACAAATTTTTTTATATTCAGGGGGAAATGATCATATGGTCACTAGATGATGCTGGTAACGCACGACAAGCTGATGCATTATGCAACATCGGAACAAGATGCAAATATCCACGGAGAAAACAAATAGAGCAGTATTCGCCAGGCGCCTTATCCCCCGCGCTGTGCATGTCTGGAAAGGAAATAAAAAGAGACCGGGAAGCTCAGGTACTCAACATGCCTGTTCGGCGTTGTCCTGGTTCAGAAAGGATGGAGGGAAGAGAGAAAGAAGAGGAAAAGGTGCAGAAAAGACCATGGAAGGCCGAACACGTCGGAGAGCATATCATGTCCAAAAATGACTTGAATATACCCTAGTCTTCCCAGCTCTTTTCGACGGTCTCACGGACACGCTTAACGTACTCCTTGCGATTATCTTTATAGAGGTTCGAGGCTTCCACGTTGGCAGGAGACGATGTGTTCGGATCGTTCAGAAGACTAAGGGTGGCGATATCGTCAGCAAAAAAATTCTTGCAGCTTCAACCTGAAGAACCATACCTCTGGATGCTAGTCAAGATGGCTGCTACATCATAAGTCGGACTCCACCTGTTCTGAAGGATGTCCAGACAGAGTTCCCCAGTACCATATACATTAGGGTGAAACATCTGACTGATAAACTTCACCCCAGGAGGCTTGTTCGGATATTGCTCTTCAAAGTGCATAACAAGACGAAAGGTTCCGTCCTCGAATGGTGTATCGGCGGGGCCAATGATAACGGCATTCCTACTCAAAAAACAGATTAATTAAAAAAACAAGCCTTATTAGACCAGTAAATGGGGGTTTCAGCCTACCAGGTCATGACATTGTCTGATACAGGAGATGCCGAGACTCCAGCAGGAGGATCTGTTTGCATGCGCTGTAATCACCAACGATGTATTAGCTCACGAGATCAAGACAAACGAGGGCATGACGTAAAATCGAGGGAGGGTAGGAAGCATATTGCAGATGGGAAAAGCAACGGTTCCTAAAGATTCGATGATACTAGGGACTTTTCTGATGAAAGCACCTCTCACATACCTTGAAATCCCGCATGAGGCGGCGGCGGGCAGAGGTCGACATGGCGGCGGGGTTCTGGTGATAATCGGCAAGCTATCGGGTGACTGACTCAGTGAGAGAGGGCGAGAAGAGATGGAGCAGTCAGATGTGACAGCTCGTTAGAAGCGAGTCAATAGGGGAAGGGTAGAAGGTGTGTTGTAGATGGAAGAAGGAGACACAAGAAGCTGCCGAGTCGACAAGACAATCGATGGAGATGCAGCAACCCTCCCGCTGGTCGATGACCGCTCCTCTCGGAGCCGACGTTCCTTCCTCCTCTTCTACCTTGGGGCCCATTTTTTGCCGCGTTGTTGGCTGTCACCGCTCATTGTCATTGGATTTCCGGCCGGACAAACAGCCCACATGGAGAAATATGCAGAATCTAGCTTAGAGCCTGGCTAGCCACAGTAGGTCGGGGAGCTTATCTAATGACGCCACATTTGAATAATCATGTGACTCAATTGATGTGGCTCGTTGGCTCGTGACCCAGCGCTAACACTATTAAACACTTGCCTCGGTCCAGGCGGGTGGCGGCTAGAGGCGGATGTGGACCACTACTACCGCGGCGAGGAGAGAGAGGTCGTCGTCTATATTGTTATGAGGTCAACCTTGAGGGTTTGTCATTTATTATCATCTTCATTCTGCTCTTTATCGTCGTTTCATAATACTTCCACTATCGCTTTGGGATTTCTTTCTTAGCGCTTCGAAATGACACCCAGAGTTCCATGCCGCTTGACCTCCCTAGGGGCCTCCTTCCCCGCATCGCGAAGGTGCCAGCAGAGGTCCTTCAGTTCTGCACGCCCGTTGTTTAGGGAGATCCAAGAAGCGTACATTCTCAGTGGGGCTCGAACACCAACAGCAAAGGTAAAGAAGTCGTATGCGAGTATCTTTTTAATTAGTAGCTACCATGCTAACATCATGTTGCAAAGTTCAATGGATCTTTCGTCTCCGTCAGTGCTCCCGAGCTGGGCGCTGTTGCCATCAAGGCTGCTGTGAGCAAATCGGGGATCCCTGTTGAAAAGATCACCGATGTCTATATGGGCAACGTACTTCAAGGTTCCGTGGGGCAGGCCCCCGCACGTCAAGCGTCCATTTTCGCAGGTCTCTCGCCTAGTGTCGAGTCGATGACTGTGAACAAGGTCTGCGCGTCTGGTTTGAAAGCGGTGGCTCTCGCCGCTCAAAACATTCAACTGGGACTGGCAGAGGCGCAGGTGGCGGGGGGCATGGAAAATATGTCTCGGGTGCCGTATTATATGGCCCGTTCGAGCCAGTTGCCACCTTTTGGCGAAATCAAGCTGGAAGATGGTCTTATCAAGGATGGCCTGTGGGACGTTTACAATCAGTTTCATATGGGAATATGCGCCGAGCAAACCGCCAAGAAGTATGACATCTCTCGCGAGGACCAGGATCAATACGCTATCCAATCGTATCAACGTGCCCAGCAAGCCTGGAAGGAGGGCAAATTCGCTGAGGAGATTGCACCCGTCACGGTCAAGGGCAAGAAGGGAGAGACGGTCATTGAGCGTGATGAAGGCTACGAAAATCTGCGAATCGATAAGATGGCTACTCTGAAGCCTGCCTTTCTGAGGGATGGAACAGGTACCGTCACCGCTGGCAACGCTTCAACAATGAATGACGGCGCCTCTGCTTTGGTACTGGGCAGCAAGGACATTGCCCGCGAGTTCGCAAATAGCAATCGTCTGCTGGCCCGGATTGTCTCTTCTGCTGATGCCGCCATCGACCCCGTTGACTTTCCCGTGGCGCCCGCCAAGGCCGTTCCTATTGCTCTGGAGCGTGCTGGCATCACCAAGGATCAAGTTGCTGTCTGGGAGTTCAATGAAGCATTTGCAGCAGTTATCAAAGCTAATGAGAAGGTTAGTATCATACGCCTAGCAGATTTTTCTCATGTTCACTTCCGAACATTCGCTAAGATGTATTGCAGATCCTCGGTCTTCAAAACGCCCGTGTTAACCTCCTCGGTGGCGCTATATCCCTGGGCCATGCTCTCGGGAGCTCTGGCTCCCGAATCCTCATTACCCTCCTTCATCAACTTCAGCCTGGAGAATACGGGGTTGCTGCTATTTGCAATGGTGGTGGTGCTGCCACAGCAATGGTTGTCCAAAAGCTGGATAGAGTCGAGTGAGCACGCAGTCGCTATATGATGGTTTCAATATGGAGCTTGGCTTTGGCATTATTCTATACCCTTCCAATGATACAATATATCTATCTCTAGCTTTTAGCCCGTTGACACCATACATATTATTTATGCGTATGATACTGCTAGATACCTAGACTAAGAATCAAGGTTGATATGCTATACTTTGGTCTAAATCTACCATACATAAAGACAGCCAATTAAGATGCTAGGACAGAGGTAATTGATTTTTTGTATTTTATACATTTTAGATCTATTGTATCTATATTTGTCTTTGTGACAGCCCATAGCAACTTACTCCGTCTATCTCATGATTTCATCAAATGTGCTGGCCCTATCTTATTAGCTCTAATTTTCAGGGTGCACAATATGTTGAGCCACCTCCTGCCACCAGGTCCATGCAAAGTCGTCAACACCGGCTAACAAGGGCTCATAGTAATGACCAACGCCCAGGACATGTTGTGTTTGTAGGTTATACTCAAGTTCGCGCAGGCGGTCGACGAGGCGGGGAATGGCCACAGCCAGCCGGGTGTCCTTCTCGCCGGAAATGACACGAATAGGCATATTGCCAGCCTCTTTGCGCTTCACTCCAGCCACATAGTACGGATGAGCTTGGTCCCAGAAGACATGACTGGCTCCGTAGGTGGGTGTGGTCAGCGAGACGGGCTCATCCTCCATGATCCAGAGGACAGCGGGGGCAAGCGCTGACGCTGCGCCGAAAATCTCAGGATAGGTCAGGGCCACGTGGAGGGTTCCATAGCTATAAGCAAAAATATACATATTAGCATCGTACCATTTGTATTGTTATCTTTAACTCACCCTCCCATGGAGAATCCCTCGATCCACCGGGCCGATGGGTGACGGATGGTACGGTAGCGCCTATCGATCGCGTTGACAAGATCCTTGCTCATAATCGTCGCCAGAGGCCGCGTGCCGTCGTAGTTGTCGATATACCGTCCCTGCGGGAGCATCTACCCATTGATTGTCAGTGTTTGGATCGCCTCAGACTCTTTTATTCTTTTCTAAATACCTGCGGGGCAATGACGATACATTTCGGCATCAGTCCCTCATCCATCTTCCTCCCGTAGAACCGTAGCGCCCACTCACACGAGCGTGAAGTCTGCATGCCACCGTGGAGCCAGAAGAGGACCGGGTAGCGCTCCTCGCTCTCCTCGTACCCAGGGGGCAAGCGGCAGAGGTAGGTTCCGAGGCAACCTATGCCACGCGTGGGCTGCGGGTATGGCTGGGCATAGATGTCTCCAGCGAGTGCGAGGATATCGGGGTCGATCCAGGCGTTGAGCATGTTATCACGATCGACATACTTGGCGGCATGGTCCTCTGCAGGATCAAGTCAGTCTCAGTTGTATACTAGTACCTTAGTATTGGGAACGGGAAATTCGTGTACCCTTGTCCCAGGTGGGCAGCGGTGGGAAGAGCTCGCGAGACATGGTGTTTGGATAGATCTAGAGTAACAGGGAGCTTGACGTTTTGGAAGCTGCTTGTGCGGAGGTTATCGGAGGTTACCAGGTCCCCCTCTTATAAACATCGGGAATAACTACTGGGGAGGACTAAAAAGGGAAACAAACGCCGACATTCATCCAGCTGATAAATCAAAGAGATCGAGATCAAGACCAGGATCGCTTGGGTCGGTTAGTTCAGCTATCTCATTCAGTGCTCACTCAGTGTTACTGACTGGAGTATACTTACCCGTACGCTTCAATCTTAGACCTCGGATATGACATGGTTTAGTAGAATAACAGCATGGTTAGGAAGGCTCGCTCAAGCCAAGGGCTTCATCTCCAGCCTTAAAGTATTGTCTAGTTGACTGCCTAGTCAGTTAATCAACAACTAAGCAATAATAAGTGTTGGTCAAGATCATTGAATCAATAAACCGTCCGGCGTCAACCGCAATACTGATCACGTGAGATTGCATCACGGGACTGGAAGGCTAAGCAAAAAACGCTAAACCCGAAGCGGGAGCAACAATAAAGCTCCTTCCACGAGTTTGAGGACCGGAAAGGAAACCTCAGGCGTTTATCCCTCCCTAATTGTCTTTTATTGCCACGAACATGGAATGAAAGCCGGCCGTTGATTGAGAAATAAACGACATGCTGCCCCCAGTGGAGCTGCCGCTGTTTCCCTCGTGCTACAACTGCATATCTTGGTCGGCGGACGGTGATATTGCCGTCGCGGCAGGGGACCATGTGCATATTCTGGTTTGGATACGGCATCTAATTTTGGACTTATCTGAAGCTATTGGCTAATATTGTGGTAGACACCCAAGGGCTCTGACCAGGGCGTTGAAGGGCATAAAACGAGTCCAGTCCGCTGGCAATTCACACGCGTCAAGGTCAATGTGTTTACCAATGATGAGTGGCCTACAATTTACCCACAGAAACGGGCGGACTTCTCAATTGGAGCGGAACAGTCTATGAGCACGGTTGTTGGACTCTCATGGTCGCCGCCGGGGATTGCCAAACACCGGCGATGCCTCCTCGCCGTTTTGACGTCCAATATGCTGTTGTCACTATATGAGCCTTTCGGCCCACAGGCTAAATGGACAAGAGTAGCTGTCGTCAATCATGCGTTGAGGGATTATCTTTCTGATTCGGCTTTCGATGAGGGAGTCCGTCTACGAAAGGCCAGAGTACGCGCCTTCACATGGAGTCCCCCTCTGCAGGTCCCGGATTCTGGTGTTCCACACGCAGCCGCAACCCCGGAAATTCGATGGGGAGCTGGATTGATTGCTCTGGCCAACGATGATAATGATATAGTTGTCATTCATATCGGTTATTACAAAGCAGTCTCCACATCCTCGAACTATTATTCCATGGGCATTCTGTCCTCTACGTCGCTCCAAGAAGTGGATGAGAATTTCTCCAAAGTACAGACTGAATCTATTCTATACCAAACACTCAAGTCCCATACCAGGGTCTCGTCTCTGGCCTGTGGGCCATGGATTCATCACTCTCCCGCTAAATCTGCAAGCGCTATGTTAGCTGTGGTATATGGATCAGGTCTGCAAACTATTAGAGTCAATGTGTCTATGAGCTTGGGCACGTCACAAGACGCGCTCCGACCTTCCTACAAGCTAGAGGCTCGAACAACAGAGCATCGCCTCAACCTTGAGAATGGAAATATACACAACTACCAATTTACTGGTCCTCTTCAGTGGCTTCATCAGGTCCGTGCAGATTAACATGTCTTAATTTCCAGGCTCATGATTTCTACAGGAGGGAATGGACCCGTTGCATCTTGCTGCCGGCGTATTCGCGGGATTGCTTACATTTTCAATGCCAAAGTCCGTTTACGACGGGTCCAGTGTGTCCAATGATGGTATTGAGATGCGGGAGACTCCATTTGTCGAAAAAACAAACGAAAATACCCAAGTTGACGGCACAAACCACTGGGAGCCGATCGGTGGTATGGGGATCTGATCTGCTTTCTATGACTGAATGACTTGAGCTAATCCCCTTTAGCCATGGGTTCAGTGGTCAAGGACAAAGCCAGTCTACCTTCTATCCATCTAGGTACAATGGGCGGGTATACTTTTGCAAGTACGTTTGGTGACGTGCGAAACCAGGATAGCTCGTTTACGCCCTTCTGGACCAAACAGCTGGACGACTTTCGAGAACGTTTTGATATCGATCGTGACCTTGGCGGACTTGCTATTGTCCGCGTGAGGGGGCTTGCATCTTATAAGGGCATTATTGCTGTGGCCTTCACGATGCACCCCGGTGATGTTATTGAATATCGCACTGCGGCAGAAGAACGCACCACGCTGGTATTTGCATCCGCAACACCAGAAGATGAACTTGAGGCTCAGCTGGTTCTTCCACTGCCTCCCTCGAACTTGTCACCAAGTAACCTGCGGTCAAAAAGAGAACCTATTCTGAGACTCGTGCTCGATTTAGGACTAGACGTTGAGATTGCTGACCCTTGGTCCCAGAGGCTACTTTACGCGGCAGTATGCTGCACGATTGTTGATTCTGAGAATGAGGAGCTGCTATCACTGGCACACAAAGCCTTGATCCGGCTTGCGACTATTACCGGTGCAGATCTCAGCGAGGAGATTTCCATGTGCCTGCAGAGGAATAGGGATAATATCGTAAAGACCAAGACTATAGAACAGCTCGAGGGACCCGGCGGGCAGTTTTATGAGAAATGCGAGATGTGCAATGCCGGCTTGACATGGTATTCACCACAGGAGGCGCAGTGCGCATCCGGACACCTCTTCGGTAAGTCGCCAATACGACTTTACTTTGAATGGCCGGAAAAGAAAAGAAGAAGGCTTTGCTAATGTTATCTAGTCCGATGTGCTTTGACATTCATCTCCATCCAAGACCCGGGTATTTCTAAATTCTGTTCCAGTTGTGGAGCAGAGTATATATATGAAGGGTTGATCAAACCTGCCACTGCCACTGATTTAGGACCCTTGTATCAAATCGTTTCAGATACATTCGACACTTGTGTGCAATGCGGCGGCAAGTTTCGCGACTGATGTTGGTTGTACCCTACCGAGTTAGTTTTGAAGCAACCTGGAATGCCTTGAATAGAAACTCAATTCGGCGTAATGCCGTTTTAAATTTATATACTTGTTCATATCAGCCTGATTTGCAATTCAGTCTATCTTTACCTCTGAATCCACCAAACCAAATAGCTTCCCCGCTACTGGGTCCCATTCACTATCCCATCGACGGGTCGACTCTATGCAAGCGCCGTCACGAAGAGTGTCGAGACGATCCGGATGACCGAAGAGATCGACGAGATGATCCGCAAGTTCGGTGGCGGTTTCAAACCCCCTCCCGTTGACACCCTCATGAACGAGTTCCGGCCAAGCCTCGAACTGACAGCCGACAACGGGCAAGCCGGCGCCGAACATGTCGACGACTTTCATGGGCAGGTCGACGCCGCTGCTGCTCGTGTGCAGACTGACACCTAGCGATGCGGAGGCCAGCAGACGTGCGTAATCCTGCATGCTGAGCCAGGTGGTGCGAACAGTAGCGTGCTCCAGCTTGCCAGCATTTTCCAGCTCGGCAATTCTCTTCAGGTACTGCTCGCGCTGGGGTCCTTTACCAGTAATGATGGCCATGATGTGCGGAAGGCTGTCTTCTGGTTTCTGGGCCATGCTGGTTGCGATCTCCGAGTACTGGCAGAGTGCATCGAGGAGGATCGAGAAATCTTCATCCGGGGTCCAGGATGTTGAGCTCACTAGCACACGGGCGTTCCCAGAGCCTTCCAAAGCCGCGCGGATAGGCTCTGTTTCAGGTAGAGAGGTAAGGAAGCGGGTTCTATCCTTCTCGTCGGGGATCGGTTGGAACAGGTCGGCGGGGCGGTCGTGGAGAGGTAGAATGGGCGCCTGGAGCGCAAAGTCTTCTTTGAGAACACGAGCCATGGCTCTCGTGACGCAGAGATGGGCTGTTGCATAGCGACAAAAGGTCTTCTCGTACCATTTGGACCATCTGACGAGGGGGTGTCTGGGACCGAGTTTCAGAGCGAGGATGGAGTATCCGAAATTATGCCAATCAATGACAAGATGCGTTTTTCTGCAGAAGCATACTATCGACGCAACGGCCAACGAAGGAATTGAGGGTGGATTCTAAAAAATGATTTCAAGTCAGCTTCAACACCAAAGGTTTTCGAATCAGATTTTGTCTACCTGTACAAGTAGCCATTTGGCTGGCTTTGTCCGGTATGCAAGACAAACCCACAAGCAACCGATCTGAAAGAGCACCTTTAGTGGCCCGTATAGTAAAAAAAGGATTCGATTGCTTGTCTGCAGAACGGCCGGGTGAGGAGGAAGCGGGACGATCGAAATATTCGGGTGGGAAGAAACGTCAGGATGAGGCTCCGATTCTATACAGCATCCCAGATTATCAATAATAGCTCCCCCTTTATAATGATCCTCCAAAAATGATGACTTACCATTGTATCCAATGATATCAACCTGACCGCCTTTCCTTGCTATACTGAGTGCGTGATACTGCATGCGTGGGCTGCGACCAATGTCCCCTAGGACAAGAATCTGGACCTTACACTTCGGCGCCTGTTGTGCTGAAGCGTCAGCCTGTCCATATTGTGATGGAAGCAGCCAGATCAGGACTGTCAGCACAGTCGAGATGTAAAAAGCGATGCTAATGATAGAGTCGATCATCATGGCGAAGCGGCAGCAGCGAGGGGGGGGCTGTCCATCAACAGCAGTCAAGAAATAACACAATCAGCCAGCCATTGAAGCTTTGGCATCCAATTATCACAGCCAACAGGCAAGCGTCGATAAATTTATCCTCTGTAGATCAACAGAGGGGCCAGCTGTCAGTGTCCACTGTCCAGTGTCCACCACCTTTTGACGACGTAATGCTTCGGAGGAGAGCCGATCAGGCGTGAACGTTGGATGCCTGATTTATGCCTGATTTATGCCTGAGGCGCCGAAATTCTGGGGACTCCTCAGGGGGCGCTGCAGATCGACAGTTCGTTGGTAGACGCTAGAGGGGATCGAAAGGCCAAGTAGGCTGAGCATTTGGCAATGCATCCATCCTCCTCCGAGAGGAGAGCATCGCCTGTCTGATCCTGTATCCGAGTCTCTGAGTATCTTCATCGTCGTCCTCGTCCTCGTCGCTGATCGTCGCAAATCACGTGCTCTCCTTATCGGCCCCGGCATTCGCCTGGACGAACTGCACAGCACCAGATCCCAGTGAGGCTGTTCAGCTCGAGTCGTGCCTCCCTGCGCCCGTCCACTATCGTCGTGAGTGGACGCGACATCGCGTCATTGTCGAATGAGCTCTCTGGCATGCTGTCTAGTCTTGTGCTCATTGTCGGCGTCCGTCTTTCTTTGAGCTGCTGAAGCTCGGAAACCCACCTCCCCCCTCCCGATCGTCGCCGCGCGTCCGTTGGCGTTCGTTCTACCCTCGTCCCTGACCCCATACGTTCTACAAAATCGACTGTACACGGGGTAGTGTTGCTCCAAGGAACTACATAATGGCGACAGGAAGTCCAATGTCGGGTGTGGATTTGATCTCCCCTGCGGCTCATGGCCATGGCCGTCGTGGTCACTCGCGTTCGGCCCGCTTCACCCACGTCCCCAGCTCATTATCCCTCAGCTCATCCGACCAATCGACCCTGCAACAGCAGCAAACGATGGTAGCTGCATATCCGAATGGCCCTGTACTCGGTTCTTCGCTGCATGATCATGTCGATACGGATCCCCGCTCCCATTCGCACTCTCATTCCCACGCCCATTCCCACGCCCATTCACACTCTCATTCGCATTCCCACTCTCACTCTCATTCGCACTCCGTTGCAGGGCATACACGAAATGCTTCCCACTATAGCATATTCCATGACCATACACACGACAAAGCGGAGGCCAATGGAGTGACAAGCGACTCGATCAAGGCAGATTTGTCATTACAGTCCGAGTCGACCCCAAACGAGGTGATAGCAGGACTGTCTCTCGCTTTGCCGTGGATAGTACTCTCTTGGTATTGGAAGCCATCGGCTTTAGGAGCGATATCGTCTGGGGCTGCAGCTGCTGAAACCGAGTTACCAAGCCAGGTTTCTGGCATATCTGGACTGGGTGTCTGCATGATCACAGCGACCACTCTGCTCATAACCGGATTCTGGCAGGCTTTCCGGTCGAGACAAGCCAGTAGTAGCCCGAAAAGCTTCAGGTTTCCAGCTGTGAATGTGAATACTGCCAAGGCTAGCTTCCTTCGGATGTGTGGGATTGGTCTGCCAATCTACGCTGCGTCCCAGGTTGGCGGGTTTCTTGTTGCCTTTGTTCTGTGCTTGGTAATGGCATCAGGTGTTTCCACATTCATGTCCGGTGCTCGGCAGCAACTTGGCCAGAAAAAGATGACCCTAGGGCTTCTTGGGGCCATCGTGATTTTGAATCTCATGAGCCTTAATGTGGGGTGGAGTGAGTACCCGTTCCTGGGGTACGCCGCGTTGATGGCCTCGGTGTGTGTCATTCGACCGTATTCCACCCTCCAATCGATCTCTTCAGGAGCTCTATCGGCTGGCCTAACCTACAGCTCAAATGGATCTCCATCGTCTCTCGCTAATGCCGACGAAGCTATGTTGTCTATTCTTGCTGGCGGAATATTGGCCATTTGGACAGTCCTTATTGCGATTATTAGAGGAACCTGGTCGTTCGGCCTGTTGGACACGATTACCCTCATCTTGACGGCCAGTTCTTTTGCGTTTTCTTTGACATATACTTCTCCCAAAACCTTGAGATCCCCGCAAAAATGGGGTCTTTCTGTCTGCACAATGGCGGCAGCCATTTTGTGTAGCCCACCGGCGAGAGATGGACTTGCCAGCATATATATGGCACGAGCCGTTTGTGCCATCTTGTCAGTTCTTGCATCCCGGTTCGATGACAAGCAGCTCCGACCTGGGACACACTCGCATAACCATGACCACCACTCGCATGGTCCAGTGGAAATGTCGCGGGTGTCAAAAATGATTCTCCAGTACAGCGAACCTTATCCACTCTTGTACAGCATTTTGAAAGAGAAGGATTCCCGAAGCATTTTCTATTTCATGACGTAGGTTCCATCATACCATACCTTGCGGGTTTGAGAATGGGAAGCGCTGACGTTGTGGATAGACTGAACTTCTCGTTTATGCTTGTCCAGCTGTGTTACGGTTTCTTGACTGGCTCTCTCGGCCTCCTCAGCGATAGTATCCACATGTTTTTCGACTGCTTGGCGCTAGTTGTAGGATTATGCGCTGCGGTCATGAGTAAATGGCCTCCCAGCGCTCGCTTCCCGTATGGATATGGGAAGGTTGACACGCTTTCCGGGTTCGCCAACGGAATCTTCCTCATGTATGACTAGCAGTCCACAGAAAGCGGAGAAAACTTTACATGCTAACAGACACCTTAGGATCATTAGCGTTGAGATCATCTACGAGGCGGTGGAAAGACTATCATCTGGAAGCCAGATGCAACGGATCGGCGAATTGTTCATGGTGAGCGTAGCAGGGCTGTGTGTCAACCTGGTGGGGATTATGGCTTTCGAACATGGGCACGCCCATCATGGCCATGACCACGGGCATGACCACTCGCATGGGAACGAGAACATGCACGGTATCTTCTTGCATATTCTGGCGGATACACTGGGTTCCGTGGCGGTTGTCATCTCCACTGCTCTGGTCCATTTCTACAACTGGCCTGGATTTGACCCCATTGCGTCCTGTCTGATCGCGATCTTGATCTTTGCCTCCGCCATCCCTCTGGTCAGCAGTACCGCCCAGAAACTCTTACTCACGTTGCCCGCTGATGTCGAGTATAATCTACGCGACACGTTGGCTGGCGTCAGCACATTGAGGGGAGTGGTAGGTTACACGGTGCCGAAGTTTTGGCTCGATGATACCGGTTCTTCCTCAAGACATGGTCATGATCACGGACACGACCACGGGCACTCTCATAAGCACGACGACTGTAGCCACAGCCACAGCCACAACCATGACCATGACCATGACCATGACCATGACCATGACCATGACCATGACCATGACCATGACCATGACCATGATCACGACCACGACCACGACCACGACCATGATCATCAGAAGCAAGCACACATCCTAGGTGTCATCCACGTCATCGCATCGCGCAGTGCAGACCTTGAAGATGTCCGACAACGGACGGTCAATTTCCTCCGAGAGAAGAACATGGACATTCTGGTTCAGGTCGAGAGAGAAGGGGATCCACGTTGCTGGTGTGGGAGTGGGAACAAGAGCTCCTAGTATGGAAAAATCCGCCATACTTTTTGGATAGTGTAAAATAATACGCTTTAAATATTCTTCATGTCTGAATCTGTGCTCCTCTGCAGGGACTTCCTACGGTAGTACGGAGTAATATTGACCTGGTACCTTGAATCAGGGGTACAGGACATCTATAGTATGCAAAATTTGATAAAAAAGGCCTTCACCCTGTCTAGCTCTGCATTAGTCAAAAGCCAGCATTTCTGTTGGAATAAAATAGCGAGACTCGAATAATAATGACCAACCCAATTCAAGAAGATAGCTACTGGAGATCCAGGGATTGGAGAGAACGCCAATCCTCAGGATCTCTTCTTGGTCTATTGTGGCGATTTATTGTGGTGAAAATAGCCGACACACAGTACGTACTGGTATATAGTATAGAAAAAGGGGGATTCAGAGTAGGATTATTTAGATGAAGCCCATCACCACAACAGACATTTGAATCAACCACAGGCTATCGTCAGAATCATGGCGTTCTATAGTCTTGGCCTTCTTACAGCCTTCCTCCTGGGCCCTGTCTCAGCAGGTTCTTCCTCTGCTGCTGTGGCTAGCAGTAGCAGCAGCCATGTCGACATCCATCTCCCTTCGACCTGCTATTCAAGGCTGGGGACGACATCTGTGCTTTCTGTCCCGACAACCACGACCACCTCCACCATCCATGACCCGAATCCTGTTGTTGTCTATATCACTACTCAGGATACCGTCACAGCGACGCCAGCCACCTCAACCGCGATCGTTACCGTCTATGAGACCTCGACTGTCACTTCGACTGCCAGCACGGTTACCGATACGTTCTCAACCACCTCGACGGAATACGATACAACAACCCTGACCGTCACCCCAGCTGCCATTACCAGTACGATTACAAGCGGGGTCTCGGTCACTGCCACCAGAACCGTGACATTCGCAACGTCATCTGGCTTCACGCCTATTGTCGACACCCTGACTGCCCCGACAGCTGCCAAGCGGTCCCTCTCTGATGGCGACGATGAGGAGACTTGTGTCCCCTGGCTTGATGACTATAAATATGCCACTGCGGTTGACTGTGTGGTTCGAGTCACTGCCCACACTACCACAACCTCGATCGTCACTGCTACGCCAACTACGACAACTGCAGCCACACCGATCACAACCAGTACCACCACAGCGACGATTACCAGCAGCTCGATCGTTGTCCCTGCCGATGTTTCAACTACATCAAGCTACAGCACCACCTCAACCCTTACCGCGACCATCTCCGCTGCAGCGGTGACGAGCACGGTGACGGCCACCACAACCACCGTAATTGTGACCACCACGCAGGAATATGAGGCCTGCGCGACTAACAACATCGCCGGAGCCCCGCTGTCTGCCGAGTTTGGCTCCCTGGCTGGCGAGTACATCAATTACTTCGACTACAGTGACATCAGCGTGTCAACCATTTCGTCTGTGACTGATCTGCCAACTGCGTACGACTGCTGCGTCGCCTGTATCGAGGACTCTACCTGTGCTGTAGCCATCTTTGAAGATGTTTCTTCCTCCGTCCAGTACTGCTTTAAAGTTGAGACCAGTACTTGCTCAACGTCAAATACTATCGCCGCGTCTCTGTCATCTGTACCGGAGACATTCTCCATGTCGAATGGTAACTGTGGCGTCGTTGAGGAGGGGTAGCCTTGCAGTTTGTTAGGTACCGGTCATATATCTTCACTCAAGAAATACTACCTGCTCTTGCTCCCTGCTGCTAAATCTTGTGTAGACCATTATGTGGTGGGTGGTATGGCTTCTAGGATTCATGATCAACCGTCCTAGACACGAGAATGACGGTAACTGGAGCTTTCTTGGAGAGCTGAATACAGCTATAATGAGCATCCTGTAGCCTTTCGGAAGTGCTATCAATATCGCAATTCCTGATCCTTGTCATATCCTTTGGCTATCTAACAAGCTGACTAAGCGGTCATATGTTTGGGAATGACAATAGAGTATTAAGATAATAACAACTCGAATACCTTTGTATATCATCTATCTTTAATGATCTAAGAAGGCAACCGATTCTTTAAATATACCGCGATGACTGAAACTACTCAGGATGTATCCAGAAAAGCAGCTCCAGCTCCTACTCTCCATCATCTCACCTCCTCTCAGTCGCTGCGTATCCTCTGGGCGCTCGAAGAACTCGCCCAGGCCACGTCGCAGCCCTTTACGGTGAAAGTGTACCAACGCATCAAAGGACGCGCACCACCAGAGCTCCAACAGATCTTCCCCCTGGGGAAGAGTCCAATCCTGGAGATTCCCTCAAGCTTAGGGGAAACCGCCGAGTATAGGCCCATCCCATTCCTCACGACAGCCAACAACAGCACCATCGTGGCCGAAAGCCGTCTCATCCTGCACTTTCTCTCCGACCACTACGCAGGGGACCTGTGGAGAGCCTCTTCGGCCGACGAGCAGCTGACAGATACCTTCTTCCAGGAGTTTGCGACCTGCACGCTCGCCCCGACGATGGATCGCATCGTGACTTTTGATCTGATCGCGTCCAATGCACCCCTCCCCGCTCGACCGCTCACCTGGGCAGTCTTCACGCCGCTGGTGCGGATGTTCCTCAAGGACCTCGCTGCCCCCTTTGCCCTGATGGAGCAGACCCTCGCGAGCGGGAGGGCCTGGTTCGGCGGCGAAGAGAAGCTGGGCCTCTCGGATTTCCTGCTCAGTTGGCCGATGGACGTGGCGATGCAGAGGGGGTATCTCGACTCCAGGAAATACCCTCGTCTTGCAGAGTGGGTGGAGCGAGTGCATTCTCGAGAGGCGTACCGGCGGGCTGTGAAGAGGGCGAGCTATGATCTGGTCAAATATGATCTGTAGTCTATCATTTGGCTTCAGATTTTAGTATAACTCTTCAGATCTAAACTTCTTCCCTTTGTTAGCTTCTATCTTCTCTTCCAGATCTGATGTTCTATTGACATCTGTTTTTTTTTTTTTTTTTTCACAGTAGTATTCACAGTTGAAGGAATTTCATTGAGCTTGTCACCGATCAAGATACTTCCACTTTGGCTTCATGATGACTGATGTCCCCTTTTTTCCACACAAACAGCTGGGGAATCCTTCTAGCTTTCCCCCAAGCATCCATCCTGGTGAGTACGTTCAATCTCGACCTCGTCGTCGACCACCTGATGTTCATGTCTTCCTGTCTGTGTCGATCTAGACGTGGCAGCATGGCCTCGGATCGCTCTCCAGTCATCTCGCCGGTCCCGGTCAGCGTGCCCTACCACGAAATCGCTCCTGATGGAGAGGTGGTCATCGTCTCTGTCGACGAGCGCTGGGGTCCCAAGAGCATGTACGACAACGAGCCTCATTTCCCTGGCGCAGGGGAAGACTACGATCCCTTTGCCAACTTTGACCAGGATCTGACCAACCCCATGACCACGCTCTACGCACATCTCAACGACTTCTTCAACCTGGGCCTGCAGACAAACGAGCTTGAAAGCACCGAGCCTGGCTCTCGCAGTGACGAGGAGGAACACCCGGATAACATGTGGTCAATCTTCTCTCCTATCGCACAGTTTCAAGGGTCGATGATCTCTCCCAACGCACAGGTTCAAGATGGAGAGAACGACAACAACAACACCACCAGTGGTGGAAGCAACAGCAGCAAGGGTCACGTCAACGTTTCAGCTACAGCCTCCACCAGCGAGCAGGTGAGCGGCTACTCTCGTCCCCCCCTCCGGATTGAAAATGGTCGGTTCCGCGTCTCTGCCCAGCGGCTGATGCTGGCCTCGCCTTACTTCGAGTCGAGCCTGAGCAACAGCTGGGCGGAGGGCACCACTCTGCGCGCCAGGGGTCATCTCGACATGGTCATCTACGACTTCAACCCCGAAGCCATCTTGTATTTTCTCCTTATCATCCACGGCTTGGAGGCGAGAATCCCGCGCATGATACCGCTGCAGCTTCTGACCGATTTTGCCGTCCTGGTCGACTACTTCCAGGCCCACGACGCAGTGCACATCCAGATGGGTCTGTGGATCTCTCTTCTGGCGCCCACCATCCCGATCATCCTGTGCGACGACCACGTCAAGTGGCTCTGCATCGCTTGGACTGGCCGCTGCAATGAGACCTTCAACCACGTTGCCAGGCTGATCCAGCGTCAGAGCAAGATTAGGATTGACGCCTTGGTTTTGCCTATTCCGGATGTGATATTGGGTATGCTTTTCCCTTGAAATTCCTGAACTCTTCTTTTGCTTATAATGAATAGATAGCATCAATCAAACCCGGCAAAACTGTCTCCGATACATCATCAGAGAACTGTGGACTCTCATCGGCGAATTCCTCAACGGCCACAAGGGCTGCAGCTTCGAATGCCAGGCTCTGTACGCGGGCATGCTCATGCGCAAGCTCCAGGCCGAGGGCTTGTTTTTGCCTTTACCCTGCCGCTCCTTTGACGGCTACAGTGTCGAGAACGTCATGCGCTTCGTCTCCAGCGTCTTCTTCTTGCACATCGGTCGCCGCCACTGTCCCTCGCGCGCGCACTGCAATTTCCAGGATTTCGTCCGTCCCATCCTCGACCATGCAGAGAAGTATGCCTCTCGCGTCAAGGGATTGGGTCATTATTTGAACTCTGCTGCTACTGTTTCTCAGAAATGATCATGTTTAAGATTGCGGCTGTTGGACCGGATTCTCATGGCTTCATTCCTGGATTTATGGGTTAGATACTTTCCTGTGAATTCAATTATCCTACTATTAGAGCAATATGTACACGTGAAGCAGTAAACTCATGTAGTCAAGCCCATCTTTTTCGGGGGCCATAATCTGGCATTCTCCCATTGCCGGTCGCCCGATTTTAAGCAGGGCAGCAACTCAGACACCAACGCCTTGCCTAGCCCGTTTGCCCACCAGATGCGGCCGTCGAATTGACCGATCAGAACGCCCCAGTGCATGACAATCAGCAGGGCGAAGGGGAGTCGCCGCCGGACGGACTGGACGAAATCCCGGTGGACGGCCGCCAGCCAGGCAAGAGCAGAGGCCACATCCGTGCAGTTGGCGAAGCGGATGAAGCAGCGCCGAAGATAGTACATGGCGTCCTTGTTGATGCGGTGTTGCTCCATGTCCGAGGGGGCGATTGCCGTATCGTTGAGGGTCTCGAGTCGGGTCAGGGCTTCGTCGGTGTCTGTGTCCAAGGCCTCGGTCTCGGGGCCCCAGAATCCGTATTTGTACGAGAAAAGATTATATTTCAGCCAGGGCCCGCTCAGCCGGCGGATCTTGCTGACGCCGCGCAGAAGCTCGAAGATCACCGTCACGTTCTCCGTCATGCTTGGCGTGCCGTCGTGGTGAGGCATCAACCGGGGCAACGTGATGCCCACGATACTCGTCACCACCGAATGGGCAAACACCGCGTCGCAATTTTCCGGGGTCAGGCTGTCCAGCGCCTGTCGGAACGGAGCGAACGTTCGGTTGTGATACTGTAGCGCCGTGTCCACATACGACAACGCCGCCGACGGCTCCAGGGTGGTGGCGGTGTGTAAAGACGCGAGAGCAAGAAGACCCCCGAGTAAGAAATCGTGGTTTAAGGCCTCTCGTGGAAGGACTATCTGCCATATATGCTTGTCTGCCTCGTTGATACACATACTCTTCCATGTCTCTGTGGAGAACTTGTGCATCAGTTCCAGATCTCGCAGGACAGTAGACCGGCTCAGAGGAGTACTGCTGGCAGTTCCCGGAGACGACAGATGCTGCACCTGAGCAGGACGCTCTGGACCGGCCGCCGGCCTGGAATCATCGGGGATGGCCTTCGGTTTAGGCGCATTGAAGAATGTGCATTTCAACTCGCGTGAGATACAGTTTGCACATGGAGATTGCTCATCGCACTAGACATATGACGGATTAGAAACAGGAAGTACTAGCAGCCTAACAGTCCTCTCCAGAACATGACAGCCAGAGAGGACAGATTTTCTTTCCATATTCTCATATTACAGAACGCTTCATCTCCGCACAAACACTCATCAGGACCGAAGGATGATGACCCACCTTGACTCGTCTCCTCTTGCACTGATCGCAACCATACCGGGATTTCTTATGGGCTCGTCGAGGTGGCATCGCTTACTCCGAACCAGGCCGTCGATCATCGCCGGCGAGACAGGTTGACTCGCGCAGCAGATCACCTCGATCAACGAGAAGTTCTCGGCCCTGCGCGGAAGTTGTCACAGGCACCTCTTCTTGGCAGCCTGAGGCATCATAAGCCACATGGTCCGAGCAACTTCCCGATATGGAAGTCATGTGATCCGCGTTTCGGATATCGGCCCTTCCGAACGATTTCACGTGGGAAAAGCATCCCGGAGGTGATGTCGGTCATCTTTTGGCATCTCGCAGCATCTGGAGACAGTGTTGTGCCTTTCAAGCAGTCAACTCTTTGCTCATTCCGTCCCTCCGCGTCTTTGCAAGCCCCCAAGACCGCGTGGATCGGGCATCTCCACAATAATCAATGAAACGCCTGGCTCACAGGGCAGAGAGATACCTATCAGACTCTCTGCTCTGGTTTGTTTATGGGGGGGGGAGGGACTTTATCTGTTCGGGTTTCCAGCTTCAACGGTAATCTCATACCTCTCCAGTTCAATATAAATTAACTAACTAGTTGCTGACCCCTTCATGACTCTCTCGCCAGGGTCTGGACGGATTATTCGGCCTTTGCGAGAACGGGAACGATAACGGAAACGAGAACGAGATCGATCCAATGGATTTGTTGCTTACCTCGTCTAAAACCAGTTGTCTCCACTGCAAGGATGGCTCGGAGATGGTTCAAATGACGTTCCGAGTGCCTGGTTGGGGGAGGCAACAAATGGAGACGAAAGGATTATTCGGTTCAGGTGAGATTGGGGTGATGAAGAATACAAATAAAGTAAACTCATCTGCTTCTTTTTTTTCTCCTATTTTCTCTGTTGTCCTTTCTAATACGGTGGCCAACAGATAACTTAGGTCCCTGATAACGCCGCCATGGCGAGTTACGAAACATGCACACATGTCACTCCCGAGTGTCCAGTCTCCGCCACTACCTATGGCTATTATCCAAACTTGGGGGGTAACGCGTTCTTTGCCGTTTATTATGGTATCCTTGGAGTCAGCCAGGTTGGCCTGGGGATTTATTTCCGAACGTGGACATTTATGGTAGCTCTGGCCATCGGTACCCTGATGGAAATGGCAGGCTACGTTGGCCGCGTCCTAATGCACTCGAATCCCTGGTCGACCCCGTATTTCGAATTACAGATTGTGTGTCTGGTCCTTGCGCCAACCTTTGTCGCTGCCGGAATCTACTTGGTCCTGAAACATCTCATTCTCTACCTGGGCCCCGAATATTCGCGTCTCAAGCCCAGACTCTTCACATGGATCTTCATCGGATGTGATATCGGGTCGCTCTTGCTGCAGGCTGCGGGGGGAGGCATCGCAGCGGCGGCCGGAAAGACAAATCAGCAAGAGCTCAGGATCGGTGACGATGTCATCATCACCGGCATCTCCTTTCAGGTCGTCACGATGAGCGTCTGTGGCCTTTTGGGCCTCGAGTTCTTCTTGCGGGTGAAAAAGCAAGGGGGCAGCTTCTCGGCAGAGAAAGATCTCACGAGTGGGAACGGAGAACGTCAAAGGAACGTCCGATTCGTCTTCATAGCGGAGGTTATCGCCTACTTCACCGTCCTGATTCGGTGTATCTATCGGTACGTCGCTGTTCCCACCTCGCATTCTTTCGGGAAAAAAATTTCCCCAACTGACTATTGGCGATGAATAAGTATCCCTGAAATGGCCGGCGGATGGGGTAGTCCTCTGATGCAGAAGGAGAATGAATTTCTGGTTCTCGACGGGACGTACGTATATTTATTCTCATTCCGTGGTGACCCTATTATTGCTGACTCCCAAATTTAGGATGATCGCCATCGCCACTCTTTTCCTTACCATCTTCCACCCCGGATTCTATTTCACTACCATGAGAACTAGATACAGGCCACATGCATGATTATTTATACACACATACATATGTCAGATTAGCATTTAGCATGGCTGGATTTGAAGCAGTCAGCATGGTACATAATCTTAGGGCAAGTATGCCTCGTACAGTGTCTGATTCTTTGCCTTGATAAATATCCAAGTATAAGGCTAGCCAAGAGCAGAGATATTTAACCAGCTTTCTATATAGAGAACTGGCGAATTACACAAAAGACGGATAAAGACGAAGAAAGATTGGCATCACTAGCTGAGTGAAGGTATATACAAGTATAACATAACTAGCCCAGATTGATTCCAAAAACAAATGACTCCAGACCCGGCCCCTAACTATAGCAAACAAAGAACGGACAGAATAGCCTCTGTGTGAATCATGAAAATGCAGGAGCGAAGGAAAGAAAGGAGGAAAAGCAAGAAATCAAGGAACCCAGCTGTTCGCTCAAATCACAATAATATGTAGGTGGATATGCTATGCCTGAGACTTTTTCCCCAGCATTCAGATTGAACCTTCCTCCTCCTCCATGTAACTTGGCTGAAAATGGTTTGAAAAGGATTAGGAAAGAAAAAAGGAAAGAAATAAAGGATGAGTGGAGTGGATAGAGATCTTAGAAATCCCCCTGGCTGTCGCGCACACATTTCCGCACTCTCTTCTTGAACTCAGCGGGGTCCTCTCGCCACAGACGGGCGGCCTCGACGTTGGCCGGGCTCTCATCGTTGGGGCTGGACAGCATCGATATCACAGATAGCAGGATCGTCTCGGGCGTTTGCACGGGTGACCAGCGTTCGGCCGCAGACTCGTACCCGTACTTATCTTCCTCGGGAGGATGAAGGATTGAAATGCACACTTCGCCGTTATCGTAGACTAGGACAGAAATCATCAGCGATAAATCACCAAGCGCCTTTCGATTCGAAGGAAAAAAGGGTTTTGGCTAGAAAAAGAAAAAATAATAAAGAAATGTAGGACGCACTGTTCGGGTGGAAAATGGGTGTTTCAAACTTCATCTTGGGAGGTCGATGGGGGTATTCTGATGGGAATGAGAGATGCGCACGAAAGAAGCCTCCTAGATGAAATCGTTAGATACTTTCATTTCCTTAAGAAACAAGAAGATTTCAATAAAATGAAAATTCATAATCACCTCCGTACAACTTCACGTCGTCCGAGATCATCAGCATGACCTCCCACTCGAACACGTTGTTGTCGACCAGACCGCAGCTAATCCCGGGGATGTCCTTGTCGGACTGCATATGCTGGAGCTGGCGGGCCAACATGCGGCCAGCGGCTGTGGTAGCCATTCTGTTGGTACAGTCTGGGAGTACTATGTGTGGGTGGCGAGATAGGCGTTGGGAGGGTGGAGGAAAAACCGCACTGGGTGGTGGTAGGTGTCCGGCTGCAGGGAAATAGAAAGACGACAAGTTTCGGGGAGGAAGGACACAGGGACCCTTGTGGCCAAAGGTCTCAACGGAAGCGTCTGGAACGCAGTATGCAGTACGGAGCAGTAGTGACTTAACCCTGAGTATCGCTCCCAGGCGCTGCTTAAAAGATAGTGAGGGCGGCAAGGCGGTGTGGAAGTGGGGGGAGAGAGGGGTAGAGGCAGAGAGAGAGGAGAAGTTGAGAAGACGACCTGCTGCGCAATAGAGAAGGGGCAAGGCGTTAGGTCTTTTATATATCTGGGTAAGATAGCGGTGACGATGATGCAGAGCTGTAGCCTGGCGGCAGATGTGTTTAAGACAAAGGGCTGAGACGATTACAGCTGGCGAGAAGAGAGACCTCAGGCGACACTTTTCTGCCGCGGCGAAGACCGGAACTGTATCCGAATGCCTATTAAGCTTCTACAAAGTATACGGTAGAATTAACTTTTTAGACAATAGACATTGGCTGGATACTTTAGATGTAAATGTGGAGGTGGCATGCCGTTAGCAGATTTGATAAAATTTGATTTGTGCTAGATGATAGCGAAGCGGTCTGGGCCATTCCAAGACCATCAAGGTCGAGATATCAGAGTGAGGAGATTAGTGTAGAGAGTGTCTATTTACATCTGTAGTAAATGTTGATAGTAGAGATGAGATATAAGAGAAGGGCAGCGGGAGAGCCTGTGTGTTCAGAAAAAAGAAAGGAATGTGCAATTACTAGAACATGGACATCATTTAAAAAGAAAGACAAGGGGGAAAAAGAAGAAAAAGAAATGCCAGGGAGGGCTAAACAGCTCGAGATATCAGGGAGCAAGAGGGGGAAAAAAGGGATAAGACTCAAGCAGGGTTGTTCCCAAGGACGGCAGCGAGTTTGGTAATGGTTTCTTGACCGACCAAGGCCATTTGTCCTGCCACAGCCAGAACGAAGCCGACAGCAATCGCCATTTCGATAGCGAGGACCTTGAGAACAATCTTGGTGAAACGGATCCGAGCAGGCCAATCGAAGGTCTTCCATGCATTCTTGATGCTGACTTTGCCGGATCCGCCGAGAATAGCCGGGACCACAGTGTTACGGAAGCTGCGGTCGAAAGGCACAATGGTCTCGTCCTCTTCGGGCAGCATAGAAGCAGCGACACGGATGAAGATCGCGCGAGCCGGGACAGAAACCAGGAAGGAGACGATGGTGGGGATGAGAACGAGGGAGGTGATGATGGCGCATTCCTTGACCGAAGACAGGTTGGGCTTCTTCTCAAAGGGATCGATCAAGGTGATCAGACGTCCCAGCGCCAGAGGACCGTAGAAAGCGACACTTGTGGCCGCGCTCTTGAGCGCAGCCACCGGGGCGATTCTGAGCCAGCTTCTCCAGCCGGGAATCCGTTGGTACCAGCGCTTGGGAGAGGGCTCAGAGATTATAATGTGCACCCACGCCATGGAGAGATTGGCCAAGAGGGCCTCGCCGAGGACATCGACGAGGATATATTCGAGCTTGAAGAGACCGGTGTCGAAGGGAATGATTGCGAAAAAGGCCATCTTGAGGATGGTGTAGAAGAGGCCAATGCTGAGACCGCGGAAGCGCGACCAGGGCCCAGCGCGCGCCCGGAGGTGTCTCACGGTGGTGCGCATCTTGCTAGTAATGGGCTGCGGTTGAGCGGCGGCGGCCGCCTCTGCCACCTGTTCCACATCGCGTACGGGGGTCATCGGGCTGTCATCGTCGGCATCAATGCGGATATATACATCGGGGCTGGAGTCTTCGATGGCTGCGAGAGTCGAGACGACAATGTCATAAGTGTAATGGACCTACACGCGGATTACACCGCCAGTCATTAGAGACAAGAAAAAGGCAACGAAACGAAACCCATCAGGTTTCCATCAACAAATCCCCAACTTACAGCCCAGTAGATAATGACCAGAGCAACCGAGGTCACGAAAAGAAGGCCCATCAGCCATCCATCGACTTGGCTGTCCGGTCGCTGCTCGGGGTTCTTCGACGAGTAGTCAGCGACGTACTCCGCACCGCGGCGGATGTGGGCGTGAATAGACATGGCGTGACCAGCACAGCAGGATAATTGTCGTCGAGATAGATGAGAAAAACGAGGGAAATGAAGGAATTAAGCTTCAGACGGGGGTGGGGGAGGAGATGCAATAAGCGAGGGACGGTGAGCAAGAAGGATCGCGATGGCAGCAGTTCTTGCAGGCAGCTAAGGCCCGAGTGAGGCTGAGCGCCGCGTCCCGCATCCTTACGTGATATAATGGCACAACATCAACTAACTATCAATTTCAATACCAATAATACGAAGAGAGGGAGGCAGACTTGCATGGTTAAATATTTGATGAGTTTAGATGGATCTTGAGTCGTTTATTTTCGGCTTGACCGCAGTCAGTGAGATTCTGTAGAGTCTAGAATTGCTTATTGTTTCTGCCTCAGGCTGCAACGTATACCACATCACCATAGTGCTGTACGACGACTAACATAAACGACACTTGAGGCTAAATCCATTTTTTCTTGAAACCAGTAAGTAGTGCTATAGGTATAGAATGAAAGACAGAAACGCCATTGAATATGGAGGTTTGGGGAACAGTAAGTTCAAAAGTCTAGCCGAAAGGGATATCCAACCTGCCATTGCGGACAAAAAAGCAATGAAACGTGGAGAAACAGTAGTCTGTCTATCAGGGAGTATTTATATATCCACCTTGCATTACCCATTGCAACTCCTTAAAAATTCACCTTGCTCATCATTCGTACGCTTCAGTCGAAGAGCTTCGTCATAAATTTGTGGGCCAATTCGACACCCAAGCTGAAAACAGTCAGTCTTGACAGAACGGAGGAAGAATATGTCAATTAAAAAAAAAAACTCACAAAGTGGCAGCGTTAGCAGGGACAGCTCTGGCTAGAGCAGGTCCGAACCCGGGGAAAAACGCCTTAAAACCACCACTGCTGTAGATCGAACGAATGGTGCCTCCGATAGTGGGATTTCCAGCAGCACTCTGCAACCGCGACTTGACGGTGTCGACGGGGAAGACAGGAATCCACATCGCAATCCCAGCGCCACCACCGGCCGTTAAGACAGCCGTCAGAGACAGTTCGCCCGTCACGTTGCCATTCTCGTCCTTGGGCGTCAACCGGCGCTTGATATATTCGTACGCGGCGAAATATGCGGCAGATCCAGGCCCGTCTCGGGCGAGAGTCATGGCGCTACCACGAAATACACTGCGAATACCACCTTCCTTGTAGAGCTGCCGGACGACATCGACCCCGCCGGAGTACTTGGGCTTCTGGCCGGGTGGCGGAGGGTTCTGCCCCTGGATTTGTAGGAGAACCTTGACGCGTTCGAAGGGAGCGGTGATGAGGGTCATCGGAATGGCCGAGAAGAAACCCGCAGCAGAGATCTGACCGATCGAGTATTTCGGTGTGTTATGGTGGACTGGTACAGTGGAGAACTGGCTAACCAGCGTTTTGCCCACATCATAGCCCTGTCACAGCTGTTAGCATTCGACCTCGTTACGGGACATCAAAAACTTTCAGTGCCATACCCAGAAGCTCACAGCAACTATTACCTTCTCATTAGCAATTATTTCTGATAATAATAGAAGAAATTCGCTTACACATAGGTGTCACTCCGACCAAAGGCGCCGATACACCGGCATACAACCCCTTGAAAACGAGTAAGCTCAACAATATCCACTTTTCTCTTTCACGCTCAAGCTCCGCATACCCTAGCCAACCCTTCACGGGCAATTGTCTTCTTCACCACATCGATTGCACCGCTGTATACCCCCTTCTCTGCCGTTTGCATTCGCACCTTGACCAGATCGAACGGATGGCCAACAACCACTGCGCAGATGCCACCAATGCCCCCAGCTGCGAAGGATCGGATCTGAGCGAGCGTCTGGTTAACCGCCTTGGCTTCGATCGCCTTGAGGTCTGCCTGAATTGGCTCCGGTGCGCCCTCTGGCATGGACGCCATGGTTGCTTGATAACAAAGTAGTACTATGGAAAAGGCGGGGGAAACGCGCGGGGAAATAGGGAGTAAACGGGACGACAGAGTCAAGAATAGCGCTGATATCGAGTGAGGAGAGACTTCAAACACACTCACGACAAATCGAGAAAACACAGCCAGATGAAGAAGCTGGAAAGAAGCAAGGAAACCAACATCCCCTCCTCCAAACCAGTGCACACCGACCAGCGACCGCGGGCCGGCGAACGTGACTTTCCCCTGCCGACGCGATGCCTCGGCTCGGCGGGGAGAAACATATCTCCGTCGGACGAGCGACGCCAAGAAGGTCGAAGGGAGATCGTCTCGCTCAGTGACATAAGACTTCGGGCAGCGACGATGCCGGGTGAACGGACAGCTGGCGCCCAGACAGACCGTCGCTCTCTGACTAGAGTTTCTGTCTGACGTTTGATCGGCGCAGAGGAATTGCTTTGTGCTTTGGTATTTGCGCGCGAGCCGCTAGTCTGTCACGTGTTCTATTTACACATGACATGGTCACGTGTGGCCGAGACAGCATATGCCATGTCAACATGAACATCCACAGAAGTCCCAAGGCAGGTACACGACATGGAAATATCGTGCCTTCTTCCAGCTGAGTCTTCATATTGTCCATCAATTGGAACAGACGGCAGTGGAACGCCCTGCCCACTTGATTAATCAGACGCATTGAATGAAGTCTGCGATAGTAATCGGTGACATACGTCCCGGTGAATCGATTCAAGTTATTCTTGTTCTTTCAATTCCAACCACTGTTCTGGAATAAAGCACAGTCCTTCTAGGAAGATGTTTTCTTTCTTCGCGGGCTCGTCCATCCCAGCCAACGAAGGTTTATTTGAGGTGGTCAGGCTACTCACACCCTGGACTCGCTTTCTTTGTCTAGCCATCGTGTATGAAGGGCAGCTCCTAAGTATGGACAATTGCCCAGCCAAGGACACTAAATATATCTTTTCTTTATCCATATCGTCTGTGCCTCTTTTTGGCGCTGAATTTCTCTTCTGATCAAGAACTAACAGGGGTTCCATGACTGACTGACAAAAGACAAGGACAAAAACCCACAACTCTTTCTAGGCCTACTTAGACCCTCTCCAGATGACGCACTAGCAGTGCCACGGGCTCCATTCAAGACAGTTGGATATATGGTCCAGTGAAGATTCCATCGAGTACCGTCCGTCAACAAAGGATGCCAATTTGAGGGTCAAAAAAGCTCGACCACGGGACCTTTTGATTCAGTCGAGTAAGAGATATCACACTGTACACTCTTTGGGTCATGAAAGAATGTAGAGGTCAAGGTCTCATTCTAGAAAGATCTGTGTTTTGGCGTCCTTGTCACCGACAAAGAGCATTTTGCGGGGGACCAAAAGCTGCATCTGGTCGACAGGGCACCGCAAGAGACGATCTCGGCTCCTAAAACACCAAATGAGGAACCAATAAATATTTGGAAGAGAAAGAAAAGATAAGAAAACAAAGCATGGAGAGCGGGAGGGAGAATAGTGGCCGTTATTCGGACACCCTCGACTAATCTTATCGACTCCTTATTTATAAAGCTATAAAATAGCAAGATCGAAACAGTTGAAAACCTCGAGTTTTTTAAACAACAACTCCAGAAGACGACAACAAATCTCGCCGACTGCGAAAGCTCAACTTCTCAAGCCTTGGCTTAAAGCCTTTCAACCATGTCGGCGGATATCGCAACCAAAGCGGCTCAATGCCCGGACTTTCTAAATTTCATTGAAGCCAATCCTAATCTCCTTGCACAACTTGATAATCTTAGTGCCGATCCTCGAAAATGGCGCCAGGAGGATCTGGGCAATATTACTGAGTTGTTTACCGATCCTCGACGGATGGTCCGGCAAGCGGGCGAAGCAAAAATAAACATTACTCCAATGACTGCTGAAGACGTTGAGAAAGCTGCGACTGGGATGGCACAGAGTGTGTTGGAGCACTGGAAGAAGCTTGGAAACATTCTCGATCGGCACGAGCAAGTCATCCGGAAGAGATGGGCAAAGAAAAAAATGCCTGACCGAAAGAAAATACTGCTGGGTGCATGGCCCAACATGCAGCCTGAGCGTCGTCCCGACTACGCCAGACTTAGAAATGCGAACTTTGGATTCCAAGACAAGACAAAGTCAACCTCTGACCCCCAGGAGGCGTGGCTCTTTCCTTACATCAATCAGGAAAACTTGCTTGGAGACAAACTGTTTCCTTTACTTCTCAATTCACGGGGGCGCAATGAACCAGGGAAATTTGCGTTTCTGGATATCTGCTCCTTTCATGTGGCACGGATGACGGGCCAGCTGGAGGAGATCTGGAATCACGACACTCAGATCAGTTTGCATGGCACAACCCTCGACACCTTTGGCAAGGTCTGCCCCAGGCCCCCCAATCTCCACAGATACGCCATCATGATCTCCTCGGATTGCTTCAATCCCACGGAGGGCTTGTACGTTCTCAACATCCAGGACCGGATCTTGCGATTCTTATTTGACTGCTGTTGCATCATGCTCAAGGATAAGGGAACCTCCTACGATAGCCTGGTGGATGCCAATTTGAATCCGGTGCAACCGCCGCCACCTGCCTTGGAGTTGGGAGTGGACTCCGACGGATATCGCTCCATTACCGTGATGGCAGAAGAAGCCCCATATTCGGTTCCTAGAACGATCGACTGGGACTTCGTCCAAGGACTCGTGCACGCCAAGGTCCAAGATAGTATCGAGCATTACTTATCCATGAACGAAGACCCTCAATACTATATCGAGAGCGTGATGGCCATTCATGATCACAAACCCGTCACTGCCTATCATTTCGGTATCAGCCACGGAAAGCAGCAGCCAGTTACCGAGCGAACTGTTTCCCGTACCGTCTTCGAGGCGCTTAAGACTATTTGTATCTGGACTCAGTTTCATAGACTACTGTGCGACTTTATCAAGCTGGATCGACAATTCACCAAGAGTGGCTTCAAGTATGAGGTTGAATCGGAAACATACTTGGTTAGTTTGCTACGGATCGTCTATTTCCTCGACAGCTGGCTCATTGTTGCCGCGGCCAGAAGGTTTCACGAGGCCTTTGCGGCGGCACCAGAGGTTCGAGACTACTTTGGCTACCATGTGAAACAGGAGTTTCGGTCGTCGGTACACGGCCCTGACGAGTCCCATATAGAAACCTCGAACCAGTTGCAATTGATCATTGCGCGTGAAAACCCGAACAGACCCAGACCCCGCAATCCGTTCGTCTGGTTACACAGTATGCATGCTAAGGGCGGGTCGAAGTTGGATGATCTCGGTATAGAAAACATGACGGGTGAGTTGGAGAGGTGTATGCATGAACAACCTCAATTCATCAACCCGTATACGGCTAGGTTAATATCTAGTCTGGGTCTTGTGGGTGAGATCCGCCGTCAGCTGAAGTTTCATCGACCTCGAGTTCTTCTTCCCCATCAAGGCAGCTTTCTTTATAACTGCAGAGAGGAAAAGGACCGCCTATATTCCTGGATCAATAACTTGATGCATCCGCTAAACGATCTCGCGAAAGCTATCGATTACGATTTTTTGAACCCTTTTTCTGGCCATATATGGAGACGGGGCATCCCGGCGGGTTGGAAGTATCCTTGCGACAAGCCTAGGTCCGAGAAAACAGCCGCCCAGATGATTGAGACGGAAGCAAAACACTTACAGTTTTGGAAGCTGGTCCATGATTATATTGGGGCAAACGTCAGTCCCTCAAGCTTGAATTTCGTGCTAGCCGGTATTCCCACCGACCGCCAGTATCGACACACCACGCCTTGGTCCGCGGCGGAGGAAGCTGCTGCGAGCCAGTCCTCGCGTTCGCGGGGTACCAAACGTGCCGCTCCCGGGGAATTTCAAGAAAGACACAATGATCTGAAGCGGAAAACAGAGGCAACACTGGAAGAAGAGACGTCGTTCAACCCCCGGCCCAGGAAGAAGGCAAAGACCCGTGGCCTTCCCCATCCGCTGCCGGAGCAAGCGCAACCGGGGGACGACAATGCTGGCCTTCTTGCTGCCGCCCCTACCCTGCCCAAGATCATGATCAACAGTGTCCGGAAGTACAATGTCATCAAGGCCCTCTTTCACACCCCGGGAGACAGGTCCAGCAGAGGCACAATGCTCTGGGTCGATTTCATCCACACCATGGCCAGTCTCGGGTTCACGGTCACCAACTTCCACGGCTCAGTCTGGACGTTTGAACCGTCGGAGAGACTGCACGCCCTGGGCGCGGTTAACAGCATCTCCTTCCACCAGCCACACCCGATGAACTTCTTCCCCTTGTACACCGCGCGAACCATGGGCTCCCGGTTGAGACGTAACTATGGATGGGATGGCAGTATGTTCGAGTTCGGAGAAGGGTAACTAATGTATATATCTACATTTGTTTGAGAATGTGAGTACTCGCCCTAGCTCAAGGGAATCATGGTGCCCTACTAATACATAAACTATAGACTTGTTTGCTTTCTATATTTTTCTGTTGTACTCGTACTGAGTGAGATCCATTGTATATCTTGCATGGTCCTATTTTTCTTTCCCCCGATATTATCGATGGACGCACTGGCTGTGTTCAATCTTCGAGTTACTGTTCTTCACTCTTCAAATATTAGGTTAATTAATTGATTGAACAGGTGCAAGTTGATGCCTATCTCAGCATTGAGGAGATTGTCAGAGACTTTGAATGGACATGCATTATTGTTTGAGAATGGATATATCGTAGAATATTCCTCGATAGACTGCTAATTACTTAAATGAAGATGAGCATCTCCTTCAGTGACCTTCCTGTTTCCCGATGCGGTGTCAACATCCTTTCTACATGGTCAATAGCCAAAGATTGCCTTGTGAATAGATTCAGTAGACAGCTATCGATGAGTTGGCTTCCGAGTCTTTGAAAAAGATGGAAATTCTGCAAAGGAATAAGGACAAGGAGGAGAGACCTGAGGATATCCCATCTGACTACAGATTGGTTTAATTACTTGAACCTTTCTTAATAGGTAACTACACACAACCTGAGTGGTAATTAGCTGCTGCCTACCTAGTTAACAAGGCGAAAGAAACTGTAGGTAGACGACATAATCAATTCAGTTTGATTAGGCGAGCATTATAGCGTATCGTAAGGAAGGTACAGGATTATCTACTTATTAAGAGCGTATCGCTAGTCATGCGGACCATATAGACATAACTCATCCCAGCAATGAACCATCGTAACACATAAAATCACTTGGCAGAAAACGTTCTGCCATAGAGGGGTGTTGTGCTTAGAGAACGAGCATGGCGACAAGGCCAAGAGCACCGACGATGCCGCTGCCGACAGTGGCCATAGGGTGGGCAGCACCGGTCGAAGTGGAAGAGGAAGAAGAGCCAGAGCCGGAACCAGAGGTTCCAGTGGCGCTAGAGCCTCCGTTGTTAGAGGCAGTAGAAGTAGTGGTCAGCGTAGTGCCAGCTGTTTTGGTGCTGGTTTTCCCAGTGCCGGTCGCTCCACTTCCAGTTGCCCCAGTGCCGGTTGCTCCAGATCCTGTGGCTCCAGTGCCAGTTGCACCAGTTCCCGACGCTCCAGTGCCAGATGCTCCAGTTCCCGATGCTCCAGTGCCTGTAGCCCCAGTACCGGTGGCGCCAGCACCAGTTGTTCCACTACCAGTCGTTCCACTGCCGTTTGCTCCAGTACCAGTGGTGGTCGCACCTGTACCAGTGGTGGTAGCTCCAGAGCCAGAGCCAGAGCCAGAACCAGTGGTCGAAGAACCCGAGGAAGCAGTAGCAGCTGTAAAGATTAACAACCAATTCAAAGGTATTAAGAAGCAAGGTAAGCATACTTGAAGTTGGGCAATCGGCGAGAGCAGAAGACAGAACCTGTTCAGCGTTGGCTGAAGGGCAAGCCTCGGTCGTACAGTCGTAGATGCCGTATTTGTAGTCCGCGCTCTGGCACAGGCAGGACAGGTCGCCGCTCGTGCAACCCAGAGAGGATGCCAATGCATTCATGCTGTCGACACACGTTTGCTATGCATTTGCAGTCAGCAATCTTAATCCGTCATCAAGTCTCTGTTTGAGAGAAACGTGTCTCCATACCGCACAGGAGGTAGAAGTCTCCGCATGCACCATGCCAGCAACGGCCAGGAGGGCCACAGAAAGCGAAATAGTCCTCATCGTAAGGTTGGTTGGTGTTAGAAGAAGGGGTTAAAATACAAAGGGGTATTTATTAATTCGACAAGGAGGAAAAGTTCAGGAACAGCTGTCTTGGATTGCAAGGCAGGAAGAAGGGCAGATTGGGGGGGGGGGGGGGGGGG